TTGCACAAATGGCCCCTTACCAACGAGATTTCAGCAACCCGGCTACCATCAATGGTCATATTGTGGATGCTAGGCAGTCCCCAGGCTTGTCCATTGGGGGGCAATCTCGCTCAAGCCCGTGCGCGTCGGTAGTTAGCCGACGAGGCATTTGGCTACCTTAAGAGAGTCATAGTTACTCCCGCCGTTTACCCGCGCTTAATCAAGTTTCCTTGGCTTAACATTCAGAGCACTGGGCAGAAATCAGACACGGTCAACGTCCTGCAAGGACCATCCGTCTCCTCTGTTTTAATTAGACAGTCGGATTCCCGGAGTTCGTGCCAGTTCTAAACTGGTTGTTCAGCGCCAATCGAAGTACTATATCTTGCGAAATAGCACGCAGCTGAAGCGCTCCACAAGCAGTCCTCACTACTAGTCCACAAGCGCCGCCCCGAAAGGAAGCGCAAGCAGCCACGAGCAAAGTCCACCTGTTTCACACAACAGCCCGACTGACCCAACCTTTAGAGCCAATTCTTTTCCCGAAGTTACGAATCTAATTTGCCGACTTCCCTTACCTACATTATTCTATCGACTAGAGGCTGTTCACCTTGGAGACCTGCTGCGGATATGGGTACGATCAGGCAGGAGATTTTAAATTGCCTCCCTCGCATTTTCACGGCTCATGTGGAGCACACGGGACACAACAGGAACCGCTGCGCTTTACGAGACCAGCATCCCTATCTCAGGCTGAGCCACTTCCAGGGACATGATCTCTAAACCAGAAAAGAGAACTCTGGCCCGGACTCCACACGAGGTCTACGAGTTCGTTTGCGTCACCGCGCAAAGTAATCCTTGCGGATCACCATCTCCCATGCCTGGTGTGGGAATATTAACCCACTTCCCTTTCGGCAACCGGGTGGACAAAATACCGTAAAGTATCTCATCTCCCCGCAGTGTCTAGACGGCTTTAGCCGGTGCCTTAGGATCGACTGACCCACATTCAACTGCTGTTCACGTGGAACCCTTCTCCACTTCAGTCTTCAAGGATCTCACTTGAATATTTGCTACTACCACCAAGATCTGCACTAGTGGAAGCTCCAGCTGGGTGCACACCCAAAGCCTTCAACGCAACCACTACGACCCTCTTACACGTCATTGCCAGACTCTTCACGGAATACAAGCATATGACGGCAGAGTATAGGTGGCCCGCTCCAGCGCCATCCATTTTCAGGGCTAGTTGATTCGGCAGGTGAGTTGTTACACACTCCTTAGCGGATTCCGACTTCCATGGCCACCGTCCTGCTGTCTGTATCAACCAACACCTTTTATGGGGTCTAATGAGCGGGCACTTTGGCACCGCAACTCCGCGTTTGGTTCATCCCACATCGCCAGTTCTGCTTACCAAAAATGGCCCACTTGGAGCTCGTATTCAACGCCAAAGTTCAAAATCAAGCAACTTTGACATCATACCCATTTAGAGTTTGAGAATAGGTCAAGAACATTTCGTTCCCAAGTCCTCTAATCATTCGCTTTACCGAGTATAACTACTCGTGAGCTCCAGCTATCCTGGGGGAAACTTCAGAGGGAACCAGCTACTAGATGGTTCGATTAGTCTTTCGCCCCTATACCCAAGTCAGACGATCGATTTGCACGTCAGAACCGCTTCGGACTTCCACCAGAGTTTCCTCTGGCTTCGTCCTGCTCAGGAATAGTTCACCATCTTTCGGGTCTCACCGCGTACGCTCTTCCGCCACCCTACTGTAAACAGTTAGAATGGGGCCATGCTGCACTTTTTTACAAGATCGCACATCAGACTCTAAAGAGTCATTTACTTTCATTTCGCTTTTAGGTTTTTAACACCCAAAAACTTGCGCACACGATAAACTCCTTGGTCCGTGTTTCAAGACGGGTCGGATAGATGACCGGCTTTTACATGGGGAAATAGTACGAGAGCATTAACCGGACCGAACTAATTGAAAAGCACGTGTCGCATGCGACCGTAACTAACACTTAGATCGAACCAATAAATGCCCGTAAGCCATACTCAAATGTCCAAGACAAAAAATGCTAACACCGTTTGGGTACCAGCAAGCTGGCCTCAAAACGGCGGTTACAAATCTACCTTAAACATCCCCAAACACCAAACAAGTAAATGCATCACAGAAAATTATGCTGCTTCTTTCTGTCCCAATCTGGAGCTCAGAGATCACAACATAAAAATAATGTAAATGAATACTTGAAAGATACGCCGACTCTATCCGTTTCCACCTCATCGGTTTCACGTCCTCTTTAACTCTCTCTTCAAAGTGCTTTGCAACTTTCCTTCACAGTACTTGTTTGCTATCGGTCTCGTGGCAATATTGAGTCTTAGATGAAGTTTACCACCGACTTTGGGCTGCGATCCCAAACAACCCGACTCTAAAGCACGTAAATATCAATCAATTATCTCAATGTACAGGACTTGCACCTTCTGTGGAACCCCTGTCAAGGGGACTTGTTTGAGACAAAAGATCAAAGATTACGGCTTATACGCTACACCTCATAATGCCTGAGGCAAAATGATTTAGCGATGGACATTTCCCTATTCACTCGCCGTTACTGGGGGAATCCTGTTTAGTTTCTTTTCCTCCGCTTACTGATATGCTTAAGTTCAGCGGGTGCTCTCGACTGAGTTCAGGTCAAAAATGTTTTATTGTTGGTGATATATTCGTAAACAATAAGACAACCAACAATTATTTTAAAATATAAAGCATTAGAAGCAATGTATATTAAAAGCTTTCGCTTTAAAAGAAAATGACCCTGAACCAGACATAGCAGAGGGTTTGACCCCAATGCCGAAATATACGTTCAAAACTTTTGTGCTCAAGGTTTCTGCAGTTCGCACAAATTATCGCAGTTTGCTGCGTTCTTCATCGATCCACGAGCCGAGTGATCCACCGATAAGGCTAGAAATTTTTATTTTTTTAAAATATAGAGAAAAAAAGAGTGCTGGCGTCCTCACTTAAGAGGCTCATTAAGTCTTAAACTCATTAAAGAGTCCTAACATGTCACCACATATACAGCCACGGACGTTCACAACTGTATCAGCAACACCTAGACACCAGCGACAGCCGTTTCACAACGATTATTTCATTGCGAATTCAAATTTGAACATCACATAAAGTAATGATCCAGCAGCAGGTTCACCTACAGCTACCTTGTTACGACTTTTGCCCGGTTCAAGCCACTGCGATTAAATTGGTTTCCATCAAAGTAATTTAAAAAAATTAAATCAACGGTCCCCAAATTTCTCGAAATGGCTCAGTCCCGGGCAGCGACGGGCGGTGTGTACAAAGGGCAGGGACGTAATCAACGCGAGCTGATGACTCGCACTTACTTGGAATTCCTCGTTCACGGAAAATAATTGCAATTTCCGATCCCAATCACGGCAAATTTTCAATGGTTTACCCGCCCCTTTCGGGGTAGGACAAGCACGTTGATTTTGCCAGTGTAGCGCGCGTGCAGCCCCGGACATCTAAGGGCATCACAGACCTGTTATTGCTCAATTTCTTTCGGCTGAACACCGCAAATCCCTCTAAGAAGCTGTATACACTAAGAGTATGTACCAGCTATTTAGTAGGTTAGAGTCTCGCTCGTTATCGGAATAAACCAGACAAATCACTCCACGAACTAAGAACGGCCATGCACCACCATCCACTGAATCATGAAAAAGCTATCAATCTGTCAATCCTCACAGTGTCCGGGCCGGGTGAGTTTCCCCGTGTTGAGTCAAATTAAGCCGCAGGCTCCACTCCTGGTGGTGCCCTTCCGTCAATTCCTTTAAGTTTCAGCTTTGCAACCATACTTCCCCCGGAACCGGAAGACTTTCGTTTCCGGGAAGCTCCCCACCAAGGCAATATAATTTCCATCGGCGGATCGCTAGTTGGCATCGTTTACGGTCAGAACTAGGGCGGTATCTGATCGCCTTCGAACCTCTGACTTTCGTTCTTGATTAATGAAGACATTCTTGGCAAATGCTTTCGCTGTAGTTTGTCTGGCCACGGTCCAAGAATTTCACCTCTCACGGGGCCATACAAATGCCCCCGTTTGTCTCTGTTAACCATTATCTCAGTCCGTAAAACCAATAAAACTGAACCGAAATCGTTTTCTATTATTCCATGCACGATCATTCAAGCGAAAACGCCTGTTTGAAGCACTCTGATTTGTTCAAAGTAAACTTGCAATGCCTGTTAAGAATCCTGTTAAGGACTCAAAACCGAACATTACGATAAATCGATAACACCCAGAAACACCCGGAGGGTTCCAGGGTACCGATACGAATCCAACTACGAGCTTTTTAACCGCAGCAATAATTCTATGTATTAGCAGAGCTGGAATTACCGCGGCTGCTGGCACCAGACTTGCCCTCTGCTTGATACTCGTTAAAGGGTTTAAATTGTACCCATTCCGATGACCGGCCTCAAAGAGAACGATCTCGTTATTTCTCGTCACTACCTCCTCGAGCCGAGAGTGGGTAATTTGCGCGCCTGCTGCCATCCTTAGACGTAGTGGCCATTTCTCAGGCCCCTTCTCCGGAGTCGAACCCTGATCCTCCGTTATCCGTCACCACCACGGGAGTCGATTATGCTCCCGTCAAGTTGATAAAGTGGACGCTTGAAAGACACGCCGCCGGCACAAGGCCATGCGGTCAGCTTAGTTATTCTGAGTCAACAAGAAGCAGCCGAAGCCGCGTGGTTTTGTTCTAATAAATGCGCTTTTCCGAGAGGACAAAGCTTTGGTGCATGTATTAGCTCTAGCTTTTCCACAGTTATCCATTTAGATAATCAAGATCAAGTAAATCATGGCCATTGTAATGAGCCGTTCGCGGTTTCTCGTTAAAACGATTAAACTTATACATGCATGGCTTAATCTTTGAAATGAACACATCAGTTCAGGCAGGATCAACCAGATATCTCGTAATCCAGGTAAAATTCACTCACGAAATCTGAATTCTATAAATTTTACCCAGAAAAGCGTTAAGCTGCACGATAATATACTCGAGCACCGTCGGCGCCAGAACGACCACGAGGCGAGACAGATTTGGTCTCACAACCAATCTCGGGTCACTTGCTAGCTTTACGAAACACTTAAAAGTGTGCATCGAACCGACCGATTGCTGTTCTTGCCAATTCAGCAATGAATTGGCATAAAATTCAGATCCTTCGACGAGGACGCTTCGTCTCAACACAAAATCTCAACTTTTTACTTCACCAATCAGCCAAAAGGCTACATTTAGTCTCACATTTTTCTCTTTCATCGAGATTCAACCGTTAAGCATTTTTCAACTAGGAATTTTGTCAAATCCCATTCATGTTAATATATTACTGCAAAGCTGCCCCCAGGTCACCACGAAATCCGCGAGATTTGAATCGTCTGGCTGTCCATGACCAAGCTTATCCGTTAAACATCCGCAGCGCCTTTTGAAATCATTACAAATCGATTTAAAACGGTTGAAAATAGAAGTACAGTTGAGTCTGCAGATTGTAGCATAAACGTGTTGATTGGACGATTAGAATTTTCATAAGAAGGCACCAAGAAGCCCGGAAGGACTTGAGATCTGCTAAGTCGAGAATTATTTATTTTCCTATGCATTCTTCTTTTCCATTTCCTCAGCAAACAACCACTTTATTTTACAATTCGCCAGCACACAGCCACTTTTACGATTTTACTCAACAAACAACCACTTTTCTAATAATATGAGTTGAGGCGAAAAGAGAAATGGACCAAATGCAACCCCAAGCTATGCGCCATCATGAGAAAAATAAATGGAAAGAGAATTAAGCAAGAGAAAGCAAAAAGTGGTCGTAGAATTGGTAAAAGTGGCTGTTTATATAGTAAAAGTGTTTGCTTTAATAGTAGTTATTTAGTAGTAGCTAAATAACTACCCTTTGAGCAGAGTAGCTTTGACAGTAATATTAAAAACAACACCGAAGCCGAAGAAACTTTAAATTTTCACTACGCAATTTTGGTCTTTCTCAATGTATTTTAAACAAAAATTTAATTCCTCAATCGACAATGCTAAATCGGCTCGCCGAACAGTCCACTAAGATGCCCACCCCGCATTAAATATGCCCTCTCCGCAGAAATCCGGGCCTCACCAATTACAGAGATGTTCCAACACTGGCTCTGAGTCATATTTGGCAATGATTATCCCGTGGCAGCCTGGGTAAGTTTATAACAAAAACGGCATTGTCTTGGAACACCTCTCTCAGCCCGAGTAACCACCTAGAGGAACAGTTGTTCGAAATTTAGTCATTCCATAGTGTTCAACCCAAGTCACAGCTCAACCCATGTCATTTTCAATGAAAAGAATGACGGATAGACGGATAGTCCCCAAAAAAGTAGAAATTTGTTCCAGCCCAAGTAAAGATAAGTTAACTCCGATTCCCTTAACCACTAAAACCTATAAAATGTTTCGGGTAATGTTTCAGAAAAAATCAAAAATTCAAATATTTACCCTAATTTAAATTAAAGATTACAGCTCTGCTAATGTGGAACAGCCCGGGTAATTCCAGCTTTTAAAAGTATTTTCCTAATTTGCCCTATGTTATTCTCTTATTTGCCCTATGTTTTTCTCTTATGATTATTAAATTTGTTCTCTTTTTCATAAATTCTAAATCATCCCCGCGGAACAAACCTTTCACGCTCACTTTGTACAAATTTCCCTTTATTTTACTTCCCTCTACTCAAGAAACCCACCCGCCCACTTTCTCTTTGTTTTTTGTGTCTGCTTTTTTTCTTTGCCTTTTTAAATTCTTCACACCTCGTACATTCTTTTCTCTCCACGGTAAGACAATATGAAGCAAGCAGAGAAGAAAAAATAAATAGTGCATTTTTTCTCTTCAGTATATTCAACACCCCCAAAGACAAACTTTGATTAACTATAACTCGACCTAAGGGCATTTTTAAATAAAACGGATATAACTTCGCAATAGGAAGTGGTCCTCTATCGAATGGTAAGGTACATAAAAACCAAGAACATAAAAAAGTGACCATTCCTTGCTGAGTTATAGAGTCCAGATTGAATGAGGTGCTCCGTGGAAACCCACGAAAAAAATTCATTGTATAACGTTAACAGATTAATGAGAATTTTAATAATTTTATTAAAAATAATATAAAATATATTTAAAAATAAATTTAACAAAATTCTATTAATTTGTTTTTTCTGCCTTATTTGCCAATTGTTTTCTAAGTGAAAATGGTGAAAATTGAGAAGGAGGTAAAAATCCTTGTGGAGATGGAGGGGGTGGTGGAGGAGGAAGAGGCCCTCCTGGTGGAAATACTTCTACACAAAATGGAGGTAGGCATGCTGGGGGTGGTGCTGCTGATATTGGTGGAGGTGGAAGCATTGGAGGTGGAGGGAGACATTGACAAAGCATCTAAAAAGGATTTTGTCATTTAGAATTAGGATACCGTACGTTAAACTGAGGTTTATTTAGCATAAGCTGTATCTTATACCATGGCCGGACTATATATCGAAAAAATACCTGTGCAGGCATAGGTTGAAGTTGTGGCGGAGGTATTGGTGGAGGAAGCAGTTGTGGAGGTGGACAAGGCGGACAGATGGGTGGCGGAGGAGGAGGCGGCATAAACATTAATGGTGCCGCAGAAGAAAGAAGCGGCGTTATCAGCCTCACTGTTAATGGAGGTATTGCAAGAAAAGGTGGTGGAGGTCCACCCATTGGCATTGGAGGAGGCGGAGGTGGTAGAAGAGTAGGCATTGGTGGTGGAGGCGGAGGTGGAAGTGATGGCGGAAGAGGAGGTCCGGGCATTTCAAGTGGAGGAGGGGGTGGTGGAGGTGGAGACATTTGTGGCATAGTTCCCGGAAATGGAGTTGGTGGAGGTGGTGGTGGAAGTATTGTCTGAAATGAAGGGAGAAATTGAGAGAATTTTCTAAAAAATTAACCAAGTCTGCCAAAAAAGGCACGCCTGGAGGCGGTAGTGTAGGCAAACAAGGACCTCCTGGAAGAGGAGCTGACATCATTGGACTTCTGGACAGCAAAATAGCCTTAAAAACTTGGAAAATAAAATATATTTGTTCGTTAAAGAGACCATCATTGGAGGCATCGGCGGAGGTAATGGTGGCGGCATCGGCTGAGGAAAATCAGCAGCAATTGGCGGTGGTGGTAAAATCGGTGGAGGAGGAGTGCAAATCATTGGAGGTGCCATTGCCACAGGCGGAGGAGGTATGGGAGGTGGAGGTGGCGGGACTGAAGGGAAAAATGATGGCTGAGATGAAGCAACCACGGTGACCTTAATTTTGGCTTTGAAAATTTTTTAAATTTATTTTACCGTTGTAGGTGGAAAAACGGGAAAATCAGGAGGAGGGGGCAATCCGCCAGGACCCATAGGTAAGCCATTTCTGCCAGAATTGAGCAAATTTTCAATTAAAGGGGAATATGAAGTAGCCGGCCACTGAAAATAAAATGGGAAAATGGCGGTGTATATGAGGGAGACTTACAGCTGCAAGTTCAGCTTTTGTAGAAGATTGAAGAAAAAGAAGTAACAATCTGAAAAAAAATTTTTTTGAGATTATTTAATAATAAGAATAGAAGGAATGGATTACGGACTTTGCGGAAACTTATTGTGATTTTCCGGAATCAATTACGCAGTCCGAAAAATATATATTTATTAAAGAATTTCCGGAAGTAAAAACCTTCCGAAATATAAATATCACAAAATTTCCGTAATTCTATTAAAAATATTCCGGAACATTTTCAACCATCCGGAAAAGCTTCCTATACGTTATTATTAATTAACTTTCCGGAAAAAGTTTTAGTCCTAAATGTACGTTAAAAAATTCCAACTTACATATAAATCACAAGCAGATTAAGAGCCATTTTTGTGTATTTATGAAAATAATTAAACAAGCGGGTATATTTATTAAAATAATTTCAGGCGTGACTTTTATATAGACAAATCTCTCAGTCTTCAAAAATTATATATCAAATTTCGTTTAGCTACCGACCACTGACCACACCTTTTAAACAAAAGCTAGTTTTCTTGAAACAAGCAAAAATTAAATTGAAGAAAAACAGTAGAAAATTAAGGATTTGTTTTTAATGTCCAACAATAACAACCACACATTTATTTTATTTTTCTTTTATTCCGTCTCAGCTTTTCACGCCGCCGATCGCTAAGAATTCGCTAAAGATTTGGCCTGTTTTTCAATTTTATTTTCTTCCACTCTACAAATTATTTTTTTATGTTCCGCCCTTGGCCACAAAATGTTTTTTGTTTGTCTTTAATCCGCTTCTTTTTTTGTTTTTTTTTGTTAAAATTTTTATTTGCCGTTTTGCGGATAAAAAGGAAAACAACCAAAAGAACAAGGAAAAGTGACCACAACAAGAACAACAATGAGAAAAGAGAAAATAAAAAAATTGGGGAGGAAAAAAATTTTTTTGATAAAAGAATTGAAAAAAGAACAATTATTAATATTTTTTGTTTTTTTTTACTTTATATTTTTTGTTTATCAAAAATACGTAGAAAATACCCAAGTGTAATGTGATCAGGGTGGTAAAGTAAACACAGTTGGGAGCATTTTAATTTTTGGTGTAGTGGTTTAGTTGTGTGACTGCTGCTGGTAGACGGGAAAGAGGGCTGTGGGTTCGATACCGTTTGTCGAGTAATTAATTTACTTTTGACGATGAAAAAATAAAATGATAAAAAATGGTTAAATTAATATTTTAAATGGGTGGAGAATTTTTTTTATGGAAATATTCTTCTGATTTGGTGTGTTGGAACACTTGGTGAGAGGTGTGCAAGTTCGAAACCGTTTGTCGAATAAATAATTTATTTATGAAAAAAAAATAAAAAATTGTAAAAAATAGCTAAATTTGCTTTTTAAAATCGCTTGTGATTTTTTTTCCTATGAAAACATTTCAAAATTAAGATTTTTGTTGGAAAGGAGAGTGGAGGTTCGATACCGTTCATTAAATAATTAATTTATTTTTGAGGAGAAAAATGAAAATTTAGTAAATTTATTTTTTCTGTTTTTTTTCTGTTTTAAATTAATTTAAAAATTAATTTGCTTTCACTTTTTTTTAATTTGGGTAATCTCAATAGGTTTTGCAACGCTTCCTTTGCCTATAGAAAAGAATTATTACAACTCAAACCCGAAAAAACACTTGAAAATGAACTCAAAAAAGGAGGGTCCGACAAATAATGCAACAATAAATGGAGACGGAAATAATGCCGGGAGGAGTTGAGAAAGGAAAATTGCTTAGTAGAACAACTCATTCTCTTTTATGCTTTCAGACGACTTGGCCAATTAAAAATAAACCAAAATTTATTTTTGTTTCTATTTTTGTTCCAACACTTTTTTTTATCATTTCCGTCTTTTTAACACCATTTTTATTTAAAATAAGAGCAATATAAATTTAAAAAACCTTCCTAAAAATAGTCGAACCTTACTAAAAGATACCTCTTAGGGCTGAAAATTCATACCTGATAATGAAGGGTATATTAAATAGAGGATATCGGTTGATGAGGTGTACCTTATAATGAGAGGGGCACCTTAAATAGAGGTATCGTGGCAGCTCTCCCACCCTATGACCAACAAAAATTTTAAGACGGCTTAAATTGAGAGCTTCTAGTATTGGGAGTATCTTAAACTGGGAGGTTTTTCTATTGGGAGTATTTTAAATAAGGAGGTTCTAGTATTGGGTGTATCTAAAAACGAGGTTCTGACAATGGGTCTTAAATTAATAGGTCCTAGTATTGGGAGTATCTTAAACAGAGAGTTTTTAGTATTGGGTGTATCTTAAATTAATAGGTCCTAGTATTGGGTGTATCTTAAATTGGGAGGTTCTAGTATTGGGTGTATCTTAAATTGGGAGGTTCTGGCACTGGGAAGTCCCTGTACTGGGTGTATATTAAATTTGGAGGTTCCATTATTGGGTGTATCTAAAACCGAGATTCGACTAATAAAAATCACCTCATATATTAAATCACCCTTTGTCCTCTCTCTCTCCCAATTTATTTCCTTCCACCCATCCCAAAAAATAAAATCCACCACCCACCCAATCCGTGCTAGCCACCTGCGCATCCAAATATTTTCACGGCCTCTTATTCTCTAGGCCGGGTGGAAGGGTCATTGAGCAATTGGCAGTGACCGTCACCGATATTTGAACAATCGTTTATAGGACAATCAAAACAATTGAAGAGGGGAAAAAATAATTTTTTTATTTATCCAATTTTTTGACTTTTACTCGATAATTTTACTTAATTTTAAAAAAATAGGGAAAAAATAGAAAAAAATTTTTTTTAAATGTTTCCCTTCCTCAATTACCTCATAAATTCCCCCTTACTCTCCCCAAATCGTCTTTTATTCTTATTTATTATTCAACGGGTATTGGCTCAACAACAACAGTTTTCTTTGTATTCCCGGCATGATATTGTTGATAAAACGGTTAAGGCAGCAGAAACTTTCCTTTCAGCCCAGGATTTGGCAAACATGCCGGAAAGGGAAGTGGACTTGCGAGAACTGGGAATAAGGGTGGAGACGGGTAGGTAGTGAGTAAATTTTCGGAAAATAAAATAAATATGTATTTGAAACTTTCCGGAAAATATATAAAATTAAATAAACTATTGAAAAAGAAAAAAATTTTTCAGGCTATATATTTCCGGAAAAAATGTATTCGTAACTTTCCGGAAAATACTATTATAAATACTGTTATAAGTCGATTCTGTAAAATTTCCGGAAAAATAGGTAATACATAAATATTCCGAAAAATAAAATATAATTAAATATATTCAAGCCTTTCCGGAAAATATATAAAATATACCGGAAAAAATGTATACGTAACTTTCCGGAAAATACTATTATAGATAGGTAGATTCTGGAGAATTTCCGGAAGAATAGGTAATACATAAATATTCCGGAAAATAAAATATAATTAAATATATTCAAGCCTTTCCGGAAAATATGAATAGGTTCTGAAAATATATTTCCGGAAATGAAATAGATTCCGGAAAATAAAATAAATGTATTTAAACCTTCCGGAAAATACTGTGGAAATGTATTTAAGAATATATTTCCGGAAATGATGGAATATAATCCGGAAAATAAAAAAAAGTATTTAAAACCTTCCGGAAAATGTATACAAACGGATTCTAAAAAATATATTTCCGGAAAATAGTTATCATATTAAACATTCCGGAAAATAAGAAAAATATTTAAAACCCCTTCCGGAAAATATATAAAATAAAATACCAAAAACAATTTAAAAAAAGACCCAACACTCGGCACACGTAATAGAGGCGATATAGCAGAACTACCGCCTTCTCTCCGTCCCCAATTTGATGCCAACGGACTTGCGCGGAATTCAATAAAACAGCCCTACAGGAGATGGCCTCGGAATGAAATTCCATATGCTTTAAGGTTTTTAAATTTAAAAAAATTTAAATTAATTTTTAAAGTTCCCAATACGGCGCTTATTCTCGTTCAGTTATTGCTAAAGCTATGGATGAAGTAAAAAAAAACAAAATTTTTTTAAATTTTTTCTTAAAAATAATTTTTAGTATCATTCGAAAACCTGCGTTAGGTAAACTTAAAAATTTTTTTTAATTCTCTAAAAGAATTTTTTCTAAATTTGTGCCCTTAGATTTGTGCCAAGAGACCTTAGAAGACATCGAGATTATGTATATATTCACCCAGATGGTAAAAATAAATTAAAGTCGAACCTCATTTATAGACGAAACTTTCCGGAAAATATTATGTAAATTAATAAAATTACTTAGAAAATAACTTTCCGGAAATGGAATATATTGCAGGAAATAAAATAAATACTCTAACCATTTCGGAAAATTTGTATAATTTCGGAAAATTAAATATATATTTTCGTAAAATATGTATATTATTCCAGAAATGGAAATATTCCGGAAAATAAAATAAACGAAATATTCGAAACTTTCCGGACATATTTTTAAGGTAATTTTTGGTGTATGATGGAGGTGTATGATGAGTGGTGTAATGATGATGGATGATGGAGAAAATCAGAAATTTTTTAAGAGCATCCTCCCTATTTAAGCTATTCCGCTTTATAAATTTTTTCAACCCCCAAAACGTATCTAAAAATGAGGTTCGCCTGTATAATTGTTTAAAAAATCAGAAATTTTTTAATAAAGACGGTTGTTATTCCTTGGTTGGCAGAACAGGCGGTAAACAACCACTAAGTTTGGATAGCGGTTGTATTCAGGCAATAACTAATTCGGAATTATTTTAAATAAATCCTTAAAGGTCGGAACTGTTGTACACGAATTAATGCACGCTGTTGGATTTTTCCACGAACAGTCTAGACATGACAGGGACCAATACATTCAGGTTAAAACAATTTTGAGAAATTTTCTAAAAGTTAAATATTTGCTAGCCTAGATCCTTTGGTCTAATGTGCTCCGAGGGGCTGATGACCAATTTGAAAAGTATGGCTTTAATACTATTGATCAGGCAAGTTTTTGAGAATAGTTTCAAGTTCCCCTAAAAATTTTCCGGAAAATATTCAAAGTTACAAAAATATGTTTCCGGAAATAGAATTTATAAAGTAGATCCGGAAAGAAACTGTTAGGTATGTGTGGGTCTAGTATAAAAGGAGTCGTTAGCGATCAGTCTGTGTCGAGTCATTGTCCTTAGTCATTCTTGCCTTTTACCACTTTCATTATTATTGTATTTACTATTCGGATAAACGTTATATTCTATTTCTGTGTTATTCTGTTTGTTACTAGGTAAGACCGCTACCCTAGGACATAACAGAAACGATGGAATAAAAAGTTTCCGGAAGATTCCTGTGTTTCCGGAAAGAATAATGCTTCGAAGGTTCACATTCCGGAAAGAGATAATAAATTTCCGGAAGGATTCCTGCGTTTCCTGAAATACTAATTCCCGGAAAACAATAACAGACTTTAATTCTTCCGGAAAATATATAATTATAATTTATATTCAACTTTTCAGCTTGGAGAGCCTTACGATTATGGGAGTAAGCTTTGAAAATCTAAAAGCTTTCCCCTATAACTTTAAGGTATAATGCATTATGGTGCCTATGCTTTTTCAGCTAATGGAAAGCGTACAATAGTTCCAAGAAGGGCAGGTTCTCATAAAATGGGGCAGAGAATTGCTTTTAGGTCCAAAAAATTTTTTTTAATCTCGAAAAATATCCGAAAAAAATTTTTTTAGTGAAATAGATCTCCGAAAAATCAACAAATTATATCAGTGCGACATGCTCAATACTCGTCGGAATAGCCTTAATACAGTTTCCAGTAATAGGCCATTAGCGCAGGTTAGAACGAGGAGATTTTAAAAAAAATTTCAAGTCGCATTAGCATTGCTTTAGTAGCTTAAATATCTTTTTTGCTTATTTTTTTAATATTCGAAACAGTCGAATCTCACCGGATACACCCAAAAGATCCCTCAAGTTAGGATACGCCTTTGTAAAGATTTGGTTGGCCACTGGGTATGAGAGCTAGACGATGCCTTCTATTTAAGATACCTCATTATAAGGAACAATTTTTAGCCCCAATGATATAATAAGTCTGTTCCCTTCACACTATATGTAGAGTGAAGGGAACATAATTACATCCAGGTCTTTTCACACTATCTAAGGAACGAAGGGACATCTGATAGTGAAATCCAACCGTTATTCATATTGAAACATTTTAGGGGAATACCCTCTATTTAAGATAGACCTCATTATAAGAGACCCCTACAACGAAGTTCAACGGTATAATTTTTAAATAAACAGAAGCCTTCAACAAATATACGAGGATTTTGGGTGCCAAAGTGGCGAAGAGGAGGAAGATGAAATTTTAAAAGAAGATAAGGAAGAATGCGGGTCACTTATTTTGCTTTATATCTTATTTTTGTTTTGCTGCCAAGCTCATATACTTTTTTGTTACATTTTTGCTTTAAATAAAAATATTTAAAAAAATAAGTAAGGTATTTTCTGTAATAGAGCCCAATGGGACCTCTATTTTTCAATTTCCCATAAAGAGGCTTTATTAGATAGGAGACATCATCCAACCTCCTAAGAGAGGCTCTCCCATCCTCCTAAGGAGGGCCCGGTCATTCTAAGAGGGCCCCGGTCATCCTCCTAATGGGGGCTTTATTAAAGAGGAAGAGAGGGAGTTCTAATTCAGAAGGGGACTTTATTAAAATGGGAACTCCAAAGAGGACTTTATTAAATGGGGCTGTATTTGTCACCCATCCTCCAAAAGGGAGGAGGGCTTTATTACATAGGGGCTCTAATTCACACTGGAGGGGGGGGGGTGTTGTATTTTAATCCAGCCTTCAAAGGAGAGAGGGCTCTAATTCATACAGAGGTCTAATACAGAAAATACGGTAAATTTTATAAAGGAAATGTCATCTTCATTAATTATTGGAGGGGATGAAGCGGAGAACAATGGTTGTGAAGATAAAAATTGGCGTTGCATTTTTTGGTTTGAGCAAAAAATTGTTCTAATTAAAAAAAATAAATAAAGGTCCTTGCCAATGTTTAAATATTGTGCAAAATGGGAAAAGCTTCGAACAGAAATTTGCCCTTTTTCGTGTGGCCAATGCCCAAAGGCTAAAGCTGAAGAGGAAATTAAGCCTTTAAGTAGAATAACGGAAGAGACGGACTGCAAAGATGAAAGCCCAGTATGCGAAAAATTAAGCTTGGAACACTGTCCTGGACTTACGGGAATGCTTTTTTGTAAAAGAACTTGTGGAACGTGCGAAGAATAATTTATAAATGATCTCTGACCTAAATGAGCCTTTTTAATTAAATTTTTTTATTGTAAAATGGAATTAAACAAAAAAATAAAAGGTGCTTTTCCTGCGGACTTTTTCAATTTGCGGGCATTTCTTATCAATTTGCGGATTTTTATCATTTTGCGGACTTTTTCCAGATTTTCGGACTTTCTAAATATTTGCGGACTTTTCTTATCAATTTACGAACTTTCACACAATTTGCGGACTTTTCCTATCGATTTGCGGACTTAACTAGATTTACAGACTTTTTCAAAATTTGCGGACTTTTCTGTGAACCTTATTTAAGAAAAAATGAAAAAAATCCGCAGAAAAAGCATCCCTCTCTTTAATAACACGATTAATCTAATAAAATACAAAAAAATTCCTAAAAAATTTTTTTCACCCACAAACAATTTGTTGTTGTTTGTCCATTTCCCCACCTTCAATTTGTTCTTGCCCCGAATCTTTCGTTAATTCCAACATTAATTCCCCATTATTTAACAATTTATTTTGTCGTCTAGCCTCTAAAAGGGCAACTCTTTTATATTTTGGCAACATTTTTATTTCTGTAGGTATTCCTTCCCAATGTCTCCAGCCTTCTTCGTGGGTTAATATTGTTTCTACCTTAAATTGGGGGGTTTGGAAAAAAATTTTTTAAGGAAATAAACTTGTTCTGTCCATGAATAACCACTAGGTGATCCAACAAGAAAATGACGTAATTTTCCTTAAAACAAGAGAAATAAAAAAATTTAATTTTCAAAACATTTCAATATTGAAAAAAAATTCGAAAAAAATTTCCAACAAATTCCAAAAAAAAAAATTATAAAATTTTCGCAAAAAATTAAATTTTTTCGAAAGAAAAAATGTAAAAATAAAACTCAAAAAAAAATTAGGAATTTTCAAAAAAATTTTTTACTTTTCCTAAAAAATTCCAAGAAAAGATTCGAAAATTTTTTTAAAAAAGAAGAAATTTTGAAAAAATTTTCAAAAAATATTTTAATAATTTCTTTCAAAATTCAGAAAAAATTTTCACAAAAAATTTTTAAAAAATTTCAAAAAACTTTTTCAAAAAATTTTTCCCAAAAAAACCTTTAGCCAAATCATCCAAATCATCAAATTCTTCAGTGTCCATAGCTGGAAGTTCTCTTCTTATCATTGAAGTCACCAAAGGTTTGTCCTGATCACAGACCGCAACCCTTTCATTAACCGAGCCTTTAACATAGAAAAATCGTCCATTGTCATCTTCAATGAATGCGTTCCCTTAAAATTGAGATTTTAATCAAAATAATATTTAAAAACCTTTAGCATCCAAAACTATTCGATCGTGTCGAAGGAGCTTTTCTTCCTCTTCAAGTTGAGATAATGCCTTGTCATAATCTGAAAAATGTTAACGATTAAAAATTTAATGGATACATTTATCACCGCACCAAGGAATAGCTCGGATTACCCGATCAGGGCTGGACTCAATTAAAAAAATTTCCGCAGCCGCAATCCGCAACTGCGTCCAAATCCGCATTTAAACGCAGTTGCAACTGCGTTTATCCGATATCTGGGTTTTTTATCTCGACCATTTTTCCTGACAAATTTTTGGCGCCCACCTCATTTTAACTCCCCATGAAATCTGAACATAGACGCCCTTGCCTAAATACAAAAAAAAATTCGGGTATCCTTGGGATATTATGCCCTTATTTTATTGTACAATGCATGGTATTGCTTATGTAGCCACGCTACAACCAAATCCATCCAAATTTTAAAAAAGCGTGCCCAATTGTATGTTTTAAAATTCTATAAAATAAATATACCAAGTCCAGTTATAACCAAATCAGGAATTGCATCTTCCAACATTAAAGCACTTTTCTCAATTCCTTCAATATTTTCAAGCCCATCAAGCCTTAAAAAGCGTAGTTTAGTTAATGAACGTAATCCAACGAGTCCTTTAAATTTAAAAAAATTTAAAAATAGAAAAAATTAAAAAAAACCTTTAGCAGAAATTCGTTTACAATTACTCAAATCTAACATTTCCAATGAATTTGAAAACATTCCTCCAATTCGACTCAAAACCCAATCATCAACATAACGACAGTTTTTTAAACTTAGGAGGCGAAGGAATTCCAAGTCGTATAAATTATCAAAACCTTGAGGAAAAAAATTTCGAAAAATTAAAAAAATTAATCCGCAAAAATTTTGCAAATTTTCCGTAAAACTTTTGCGGATTTTTCAAAAAAATTTTTCAGAAAATTGAAAAAAAATTTTAATCCGCAAAAATTTTGCGGATTTTCCGTAAAATTTTTTGCGGATTTTTCAAAAAAAAAATTCTTAATTAAAAAAACCTTCAAACATTAATTCTGTCCCAGATGCATCAATCGCCTCAACATACATTCCATCAACCTTTTTTCCTGGTAATGCATACCTCCTAAGCTTTCCCTCACGTTTATACCAATTTGGATCTTCCATGAATTTAACGGAGCCATTTCTTGAAAAATAATAAAATTTAACATTTTAATTAAAAACAACATTTGCGGACAATTCACATTAAATTTGCGAACAATGCGGACTGACATTTGCGGACGAAAAAGTCACATTTGCGGACGAATTTGCGGACAAATATTTGCGGACACCAATTAAACATCTTTCATTTTTCTCTTTAATAAGTTGTACAAGTACACTCAAGCGGTCTAATTTTAAACTCCTATAACTTTTCGAAATGGGAGTCAGGGGGAAAAAGCCCAAAACTAACAATAGGTTTTCGACCCTGCTCTACACAATGGTGCAAAAAGAAATATAAAATTTTCACATACAGTTCGGGATGTTTCCTTGTAAGGCTCTTGAAGTCAGTTTTCCCGCAGTTCGACGTAATTCCAAAATAGGATGACGCCAAAATGGCATCCCCCCTCCCCACCTCGAAAAGCCGCATAAATGCCAAAACCCCCCAAAAAAACCGCCGAAATACCGATCGAATAAAAAATCATTTGCTCCAAAGTAAATAAACTTTTTCGTCCGCAAATGTCAGTCCGCAATTGTTGATAAGCTAAAAAAACCTGTGAACAATAAAATGAGCAGCAGCCAAATCAGGGCCCAAAAACAACAAACGTTCGGGCAAAAATCTGTAGAAATTGTAGATTAAACTTGAATTCTAGAAAGGTTAACCTCTGATCAAATTGAAGCCGTTGAAAGTGTCTATAGTCCCTACAACGACGAAGATTGTCAAAACTATGGTCAACATATCGCTAAAAATGTAAGGAAAAATGTTAAGAAATCAGGGAAAAGTCCGCAAAAAAATAAGAAAATCCGCAAAAAAAGTCGCAAAAATACGAAAATCAACAAAAAATGTCCGCAGAAAAGATCGAAAATACTCAAAAAAAATCCGAAAAAATTTGAAAAATCCCCAAAACCCAAAAGTCGCAAAAAAGTCAGCAAAAAGCCCGAGAATATCCTAAAATCCACAAGAAAGTCGAAAATACACAAAAATGCCCAGAAAAAATTTGAAAATCTGCAGAACAGAAAATCCGCAAAGTCTGCAAAAATCTGCAAAAGTCCGCAAAATTTCATAAACTTATAATTGTTCGAACAAAAAAATTTTTAAAATTCTCAAAAAACCCTTACAAGTTGTTTCATGGCAATATGGTATTGAGTAGGAAAAGTGCCTAACATCCACTGATCCTGATCTTGAATTGCTTTTTTGGGCATAACTTTAAAAAAAAGATTAGAGAAATATAAAATATATAAATTACCATCTTGAGATCGTTCGGGTGTTAAATACATCTAAAAAAGGAAAATAAAAAAAATTTAGAGTAAAAAGTCAGCAAAAAATTGTCCGCTAAAATAAAACCTCCAAAGAAATCAGAAGAAAACAAGTCCGCAAAAAAATTCGCAAGCTAAAATCCGCAAGAAAAAATCCGCAAGAAAAATCCTCAAAAAATCCGACAGTCCGCAAAAATCAGAAATCCGCAAAAAATGTCAGTAAAAACGTTCGCAAAAAGTCCGCAAAAAGTACAAAAATCCGTAAAAAAGCCCATCAAAGGAAAGTCTGCAAACCTCAAAGTCGAAGAGAGTCAATAAAACATTGTCAAAAATCCGCAAAAATAAATCCGAACGTCCGTAAAAAATCCGAAAAAAAAGTCCGCAAGAAAAATCCGCAAAAAAAGTCGCACGTAAAAGTCCGCAAAAAGCCCAAAAAACATAAAAATCCGTAAAGAATCCCACAAGTCCACAAACCTCAAAGTCGAAAAAGGTCAATAAAATCATTATCGAAAAATCCGCAAAAATAAATTCGAAAGTCCGCAAAAAGGTCTGCGAACATAAAACAACACGTCTTACATGAACCTTACAACCTCCCCAGAAAACACCAAAAAAAACCACAACTAACCCCATCCATTTTTATATAATTTTCCATTCTATACTTCCATTCAAAATATTCCTTGTTGTGATGCTCAACTTCTTGCCACCGCTTAAATGACCTCCATTGATTGATAAAAAATGTTCTTTTACTATACTGTTTTTGGCGTTTTAAATGGTAAATACATTCAAGAAGCAATTTTTTCTCTCTTGGTCCACCAATAAAATTTTTTGAAAAATTTAAAGTTAGCATAATCCTAAACCTTTCTTAAAAATTTTAGAAAAAATTAAAAAATTTTTTTTAAATATGAGGCCATTAAAAAGCCAAAAAAACAAAAAAAATTTTTTAATAAATAAATTTATCGCACAAATTTATAGTTATAAAAATCAACAAGTGCTCAAAAGGGTAAATTAAATAAATATACCGAAATGTTCCAATAAAAGCCAAGGTTCCAATAAGCCCATAAATCCTATATGTAGAACCCATTAAAACCCCATTAAAGAATAAACGCCCAGAAATTCGTAAAAAGTCCGCAAAAATTTATAAAGCCAAAAATAATACATAATGAAAAAATAAACCCCTACAGCTTATATTAGAACATTTAAAGTAAATTAGGGTTGTTGAGTCAATAATCGGTCGTCAAAAAAATAATTTCGCAAAAATCCGCAAATTTTTTGCGGATAACGACTGCTAGACTTTTGGGGTATTCGAAAAATCCTCGAAATTTTTTTGTGAATTTTAGTCGCCAACAACCCTAAAATACCTATTTATAAAAAAATATACTTCAATTCTTTTTAACAATTTGTATAACATCTTCATGGTGCAATTTATGTTGTATTCCAACTCTTTGTGGAGAAAATTTAGTGGAAGTCCCCCAAACAATTGCATAACGAAATGCTTGAGCTAATGTTCTGTGTAATGCATGGCAAGCATGTTCCTTTAAAAAATTTTATTTAAAAAATTGATTTTACAAGAAAATAAAGACATACAACAGTTGAAGAACCACGCAAAATAATTCCATCTTCCGGGCCTTTAAAAATAAATTTTCGTTAAAGTTGATGGGTAAGAAGCTTGTCATTTTTATGGGCTATATTTTAAGGCCCAAAACTCTGAAATTTTCCAAGTCTGCAAAGAAAGACCGCAAAAAAATCTCCGCGAAAAAATCTCCGCAAAAAATCCAAGAAAAAAAGATACTCAAAAACTTCGAAAAAAAAAATATCCGCAAAAGTAAGCGAAAAATCCGCAAAAAATCTGCAAAAAAAAAAAGAAACGACTGCAAAAACCCTCCTAAAATCGTCTGTAAAAAATCAACATAAAAATCTGCAGTTTGCAGAAAAGTCCGTAAACTGATATAAATCCGAAAAAAAATACTTAAAAATACCCCATTATAAACAATTCCTCCCAAAAGGAATTTATAAAAAAAATTTAAAAATAACCAAGATCAGGAGGACTTCCAGGCTTTTTAGTATAAATTCTAATTAATGCCAAATATTCCCATATTCTTTTCAACATATAATCCAAATTTAAATTTAATTCGCAGCTAACAACAACATTATGGGGGGAACTTCTAGCTAAAGTATCCATTTCCTCTATACAAATTTGGTCAATTTTGTTGTAAACATATAGACCTAAAAAATGTAATTTTTATCCTCCTTATAAGATAGCAGTATGTCTTAAAGCGGTGTGATGCAGTTATACTAACCCAAACTACCAAACCCCCAAAAAGCCACTGTTAAAACAAAATCCCCCGTTATTTGGACGACCTTCTCCGTAATTCTCCTAGGAAGTTTGGTATTTCGGCGTTTGGTATAACGGCGCGCTCCAACCCCTTTACTACAACAAAGAAAATTCGCTCTTTTCTCTCTTTTACGTCATATACTCTTCTACTATCGACTGAACGCTTATAACTTCCTTAAAACTCATTTTACAAGAACAGATATCACTTCGCGCAGAAGTCGAGGGTCCTCTAATAAATGGCAGTCAAAGTAAAAATTAAATTGATATTAAATAGAAAGTAACGTTCGTAGCCTTAAAACCTTATAAGACAGCGGTATGCCTTAAAGCGGTGTGATGCAGTTAACTACAAAACCCTCAAAAGCCACTGTTGGAACAACATCCCCCGTTATTTAGCTGAAAAAAGTGAATGTTTTGGCCTGAGGCTCCACCCCCTAAAGAAATCCTGGTTACAAGCCTAATAGAAAATATCATCAATGGTCAACCAAATTTCAAAAAGTTTTAAATTAAAGCTATCTACTTATTGTTAGTTTGGGCCAGGGGTGAGACTATATTAAGAAGCGAAAGGCGAAACGACACACTCCTGTTTTGGGTGTGAGGTTTCTGGGTTATCTTAAAACTTATAAAAAATAATATTAAAAAACTTTACATGGAATATAAACTCTGTTGCCTTGTATAACGTCAATTAACTCGTCAACCCTTAAAAATAAAATTTAAAATAAATTTTTAAAAATTCCAAAAAAAAAAGACAAACGTGCTATTTTCTCTAAAGATAATATCCGCATTAAATATTTTGTATTCATGCAAAATTGATTGAATCATTTTTTCATCACAAAAAGTCAGTGGAACTGTGTGGGTGAATTTAACACCTCCTCCAGCCTTTCTTTTAAAATAAATATTTGGACGCTTTTTGTTGAGACGAATACCAACAGCTTCCAATTCTTTTTCGAGAAGTCCTCTCTAAAAAATATATTTTTTGAGTAAAAAATTATCAGTTTTGAAGTTGGAACTACTAAAAAAGGATCGAAATTTATGCGGACATTTTTTGCGCACAATTTTGGTTTTGCGGACAATTTTGGTTTTGCGGACATTTTCAAATTTTTAAAAGTGTCCACAAATTTAAAATTGTCCAAAAAAGTTTTGCGGACATTTCTAACTTTGCGGACAGTTTTTGCGGATATCTTCAATTTTCAAAGTGTCCGCAAAACCAAAATTTTCCACAAAAAGTTTTACTGACAATTTTTAGTTTTGCGAATACTTTTTACGGCATTTTTTTAAATTTTGCACAGTTTAAAGTTGAAAACTTCCCCAAGAAACGACAGTCCCGGCTTCAGTAGTGTTTTGCTTTTAATGAAATTTAAACCTGAATGTCCCCCTTTGTAGCATCCAGCATCATCAAAATTAAATCGGCAGTTTTAGCAACAGCAATAACTTGCCTTCCACGGCCCTTTCCTTGAGAAGCGCCTTCAATAATTCCGGGAAGATCGAGTAATTGAATGTTTGCGCCGTTATACTGGAAAAATTTAATTTTTAGAAAAAGGAAAAGAGGTATTTGTGGGTTATCCCAAACCAGTTTTTGAAAATCTATTTATGCGGACTCAATCATAATGGTCTCATAATGGTCAGAGCATCCATACCCCCACCCCGTTTCTATATTCAATGTACCCGTGAAAGTTTTGCGGACGTCTTCTTGCAAACCGTTTTTGCAGACATTTTTTGCGGACAAATTTTTTACGGACGATTTTCTGCGGACATTTGGGAGAAATGGTGGGGGTTGAATGATTTGTTATATTGACCATTATGAGTCCGCATAAATATGTCAGCAAGGACTGATTTGGGATAACCCTCAATTAAATGAAAAAACAAACCTCGATAACGCCAGGAATGCAAGTCAATGTTGTAAATTCACTTTAATTAAAAAATGTTAAAATCCATCAAAAGGTACTCACTATGAGGCTGCCACGCTTTCTTAAATTATAATAAATTGTAAAAAATTTGGAGTTTTTAAACCTGTAGTGGTAACGGTAGACAAAAATGTTGACTTTCCAACGGAAGGGAATCCAATAAGTGCTACTAAAATGAAAAAAATTTTTGAAAAGTTACCGGTAAGGTAATATCTTTCAACTGCTGTCTTTCCTTTCCTCCGAAAGATGAGGACTTCTGGGAGTAAGACAAACCGGCCAGTAATAATTCAGCTTCTACATATTTACACTAACTTAAAACTTTTATGGGATACCAAAGCAAATAGGAAAGCTTCATGAGAAAGAATGTTGGACAATTGGGATTGCTATCCGTTCGATAATAATTTCGGTTAATCTCCAACATATTTTCCTTTCTTCCAAAATTAAATATTTTTTGGATAATGGAATGGATATAAGAGGAACTCTGGGGAAGACAAAAATGTTGGTCAAAAACCAAAACATGTTGCCAAAATGTTTGCCAAACCCCAAAATATCCCCCTTTGGTTCCTCACTCTAAAAAACTCAAAGAAAAATAACCTCTAGCATCTCCACTCTTCATAACATCGAAACCTTCTCCTTTAGAACCTCCACCTTTTGCAGAAGGCTCTAACAACTCCTGTCTGTATTTGGCCAATTTTGCTTTGAGAACGCCCAAGTGATACTCTAGAAAATAAAATAAAATCAAAAATTTTAAATTAAACCTGTAGCTTTATTCTTCTGTGTCCGCCCTATTTCACGCTCAATTTCTTGAATTTTTTCTACAATACCCATATTGCTAATAAATTAAAAACTACGAAGAAATACGTAAAGTTCTCTGAAAAATGAAAAAAATTTTTGGCAATCCCGGATAGTGTTGTCGGCTCCTGGGAAATTTCCGGATATCCCAAATAACCTAGTATAAGTCACAATACCGCCGTTTGATTTAATTTTTAAAAAGGGAGCCTTATTGACGAAAAGGGCCTCTGACGAAACTTATATCTGACCCTGACGAAAACGTCCTGAGCATTGGACATGGAATAAAAAAGGCGAGAGATTGGTATTTGTTGTTATGTGTGAAGAAAAATGTTAGAGATGAATAGAAAAAACGAGACATTGTAAAATTTAGAGAAAAAAATAAATTATATTTTCGTCTTCACATAATGCCAATACCATATTTAGCCAATAAGGCTAAAAATTTACATTTCGCCAATAAGTTTGTTGTCAAAATGTAAATTTTTACCCTAATTGGCAAAATATGTGTTTGACAAAATGTGTAAATTAGTTAATTGGGATAAAATGTCAGGGTACAGCCCAACTAGTCGCGGGCCGACTAGTCGCCGGCCAACTAGTCGCGCGGCCAACTAGTCGCCGGCCGATTAGTCGCCAAGTTTTATAATTAAATATTCTTCAAAATACTATCTGATTAATAGTATTTTAATCAGATCGGCTCGATTGGATGATTCTGAACAAAGTGATGACCAACTGAATCTTCGCTGGAAAAACTGTTTTTTTGCTGCTACGGAGGGTAGGCCGGGCATGGTCTTCGCTACACGATGGCCGTGCTTCGCTGCGGTCGTGCTCGCTTCGCTCGCGGCGACCGTAGCGAAGCGGCGGCAGTCGTTCCGCTCGACATGCCCGGCTTCCTCCGCAGCGGCAACAACTTTTTTCCGCGAAAACCTTCTGTGTCAAATCAAGTCAGATTTCGTTGATTTTGGCGTCATTAGAATCAGCTCGACGAGCTCTTTCGAATGACATATCATTCGACTTAATCGGCGTCTGTCTGTGTCGTATACCGAAATTTTACCCAAAATCCGGTTTCCAGGCCCGGAAAAATAATTTTGCAGGTTACTAATCAGAGTATTTAATTAAAAAACTTGGCGACTAATCGGCCGGCGACTAGTTGGCCGCGCGACTAGTTGGCCGGCGACTAGTCGGCCCGCGACTAGTCGGGCGTGTCCCAAATGTCATTTTCTTTTGGGTAGGGGATCATTGAGTCCCGCGAGTCCCTAGTCCATATTTTGGGCCATAACTTTTTGACTTTTCAATAAATTAGAATAAATCTTTTATCATTCGAAAGCCCTGGATGTTTGGATTATTTTTGCCAACTAGATTGATTTGATCAGATCAACTTACAAAAAGTTACATCTAGTTAAGTGCGCGAAATCGTGATTTTTGATATTTATTAGGCTGTAACTTTTTGTGAGTTGATCTGATCAGATCAATCCTGTTAGATAAAATAATCCTTACATCAAGAGCCTTCGATCATTATATTAATTAACTAAATCGATTAAGAATTGGAAAAGTTATGGCCCAAAATATGGCTTCGGGACTCAACCGGCGGGACTCAATGATCCTGTTCCGTTTTCTTTTGGCTTGGGGTTTTTTAGAAATTTTTTCAGATTTTTTTTGCCTTGATTTTTCTATTTTTGTTTCCTAGTTAAATTTTTGTCCGATTTTTAAGACGTATGAATGCAAGGGAGAGTAAGAGCACATCAAATTCCTCATGTTTGGGTCACTAAGCGTTGCAAACAACCAAATAAACGAAAATGTGCAGTTTGTTTAAATTCGCTAGGATTTTTGTTGCAATATGAAAAATGTCAAAGTTGCAAGTTTGTTAAGTTTATAGATGTTTTTTATTGGAATTTAAGGTTGTCGGTACATATTGAATGTAAAAAGAATTCACGGGTGCGTGATAATTGTGGTTTAACACAGAAGCACTTGAAAGAACTGGTCACTCAAATGGTTATTTCTAAAACTCAGGTTTTTCATTTATTATTTGTCTCTTATAATCGGACTTTGGTCTTTTTCTTGGGGATGTAAGGATGAGACGGGGCTCTTTTTCGTACTCTCCGTTTTAAATCAGCTCTCGTTCCTTTTCCCTTGTTTTTTTAGAAATGAGGTGAAAACTGGTTTTGTGATTCTGTTTTATGTCCTGCCCTTCTTAAAATCATGTTGGACCCTTTTTCTGATTTTTTAAAGTGCTAGGTGAAACTTGGATCGGGTGTTTTGTTTTAGCATCTCAGTCGATTCCGCTGTCCGTCCGGTTTTGTTTACTGGCTAATTTTCAATTCCCTGTTCCCTCCGGTTTTGTTTCCCGTCCGATCTTTAATTCCCGGGTTACTCTGTTTGCCTCCAGATTCATTTCACACTCCCTGGTCTCAGTTTTTTCAAATTCTTTGTTTAACTAACTTTTATCAAATAATAAAATTCAGGACAATTGGGCCCCAGAAATTGGGAATTCTCATTCAATGAGCGATATTTACGCCAATGAAGAATCGCCCACTACAATTGTTGTTTCTGAAGAAATTCAAGTTCAACGGACAGAAAAATTTGACAGAAGATCGTGGAATATGTTCACTTTAAGAGCTTGGAAGGATGACTCAATACCTAATGGTGAACTTGAGGTTCTATCTCCAATTGGGCGCGGAAGATTTGGAGAAGTTTGTGATTTTATAAGATATTTTAAAGATAATTTAGTAATTCTTCGGCTCAAGCCCCCTTTTTCTGTTCTAATGTTTTTCATTTTCTAAGGCAAATTATATCCATTCGAAAGAGCATCGATGATTTAGCTTCATGTTTTTTTTCAGAATCGCCAAATCTAACCGATAATGGTATCATTCTACCCAGCTCGAAGAGCTCTTTTGAATGTTTTATTGTAAATTATATGTCAAGCAAAAAAGCTCAAAATGGTCAGAGAAACAGAGTGGGGGGGGGGGGCATCAGCCGAATTATTACCGATAATTTATGGGAGTTTTAACCTGGAACGAGATGGGTTATCCGAAACCTGATTTTTTTGACAGAAAGATTTTTTCGGTAAAGATCATATTTTTAAAAATCCTTTACCTTGGCTTGGTTTTATTTCGGTTTTTAGTATTACTAAATCATTCCATTTTCCTTTTTTCTTGGATAGAAAAGTTGAAAGCACCTCATTTACTCCATACTTATTATTTTTTTTTTCAGGTCTTCGCTGCCTACTACTACGAACCCGCAGTAATCAAATTTTTTGACATGTATCATGTTGACGTGCACAAACGTTTAGAAGTCTTTAAACAAGACACTGCCTGTTTTCAAAATGTTCGACACGAAAATTTAATTTTTTTTCGAGGCTTTTACACAATTGACCGGTCAAAATTGGGTATTGTAATGGAATATATTAAAGGGGATACTTTGTTTGATATTTTGCATGATCCTGACAATGATAGACGCCCAATAGATTTTAATGATATTATTGAATATGCTAAACAAATTTGTCAGGTTTGAAAAAAAAATTTTGTGTAAAAAAGGCTTTGGGATTTTACTAGGGAACGGGCCTTTAGCCAGGAAAAATTTTCAATGGGGACTGGTTTGTAAAGGACTCCCATGTATTTCGCGTCAGAATTTTGTACTTTTCGGTATTAAAGAAGTAAAAAATATGAGTTACAGCTCGAGAAGTTACGTGTTAAATTAGGTATATTATTCTTGTGAGCTGTCCGCAATTTATTTGCGGACACGAATTTAGGTAACCAATGTTTTACTTTTTGCTAATACCTTGTTAGATTTATTTTATTAAATTTTGAGGTAATATTGAATCGTACAGACCCCCTTTTTTCATCCCCAATTTTCCCCATATATTTTTACAAAATGGTCAGCCTTTTTCTTTTCTTCCATCCAATTTTCTTCCATCCATCAATCAAAAATCCATCTTTTTTGTTTGATTGTAGGCAAAAATTAGTAAGGCAAATTGTATGGAAGAAAGGAAAAAGACTAACCATTTTGTAAAAATATATGGGGAAAATTGGGGATGAAAAAAGGGGGTCTGTACGCTTCAATATTACCTATTTTGACGAACTAAATTTGTTTCCGACCTCTGTCAAATTTTTTTGGCTTCGTAGCTAGATTTCAGATAGTTTGGACATCTTATTTTAAAAATTCTTGACTTGAATTTATTCCCTTTTCTATATTTCTTTTATTCTAGGGAATGTCATACCTTCATACCAGACATATTTTGCACAAAGATTTACGTTCAAAAAATATTTTCGTTAGTGAAAGACGGTCAATAAAGATTACAGATTTTGGAATTTTTAATTTAAAAAGGCTATCATATCCCAACAGGTTTTCTTTTTTAATTTTCAGAATTTTGACAAAAAAATTTTTTTAGAAATTATTCATTCGTTGTTCCGTTCAATTGGCTTCGTTATATAGCTCCAGAGCTTTTGAGAGTGTTAAATGAACGTTTTGATCCAGTTACGTTTACAGAAGCTTCTGATGTTTTTTCTTTTGGGTTTGTTTATTTTTTGGAATATTTTTTTTTGAATTGGGTTTGGGTATAAGTGAACTTCGCTATAAGATACACATTTGAGCTGTTTGACCCTTATAATGAGATTTACTTTAATAATAAGATTAACCATCTCCCCTACCCATTGTCCAACCACATATTTAGGGTTGTCGGGTCGGCTCTTCGGTTCGGTTTCGGATTTCCGAAGAATTTCCAGGAACCGACAGCACTACACATATTAAATAACATTATAGGTAATTTTGTGAATACGTCTAATCTCCCTATAAGATACATTTTTAGCTGATTATCTATATTGATCATTTTCTATAACTAATCGACTCTTTTAACGAGGGTTGCTTTAAAAGCATGTTGGGTATCATTTAAATATTTCTCCTACCCATTTTTTGGATTATTTTATAGTTATGCTATTATTGATACCTTTAGGCTAATTTAAATTTTTAACTTTTTGTAAATTTTGTTTGGTTTTCAGCACAATCTGGTACGAGTTGTTAACAAATACATTTCCTTTTGATTCTATGCCTTTTGATTTTGTCATATGGCAAATTGGATCTGGAATCAAAGCACCTTTGACTGATCTGAAAATGTGTCATGAAGCTAAGGTTATCCATTTTTAATTAATTTTTTTCTCTATTTTCTTGAGAATAACCCTGGAAATGCCATGTTCGGGTCTTGGGGAAATGGGACCGAAATACCAAGCCCTTTGGAAATGACACCTAAATTCTAAACCCCCAAAAGAACACTGAAATACCCAACTATGGATTGATGCCGAAACTCCAAATTTCAAAATCCACCAAAATACCCAACTATGGATTGGTGTCAAAATGCCAAATCCCTACAAGATTCCTATCTTTATCAAAAAATTGCTTAAAATACTTTATTAATAATTTTTTATAAGGTTATTCACGACACAGTTAATTTTCGCCTTTGACCGATATAAAGTCCTTCAATTTTCCTCATTTGTCCCGTCACAGGCGAAAATTAATTGGTCTTTAACAATTCTACTTTTTAATCTTCTCTTTAGGTTTTTCTCATGTATTGTTGGTCTTTCAACCCTTTGGATCGAAAATTATTTTCTGAACTTCTCCAATTGCTCAAAACTATGCCTAGAATAACTTTAAGGCGAAGTCCATCTGTCCCATTATGTAAAAGTTTTGAATCAATTTTTTGACAAACTTTCTCAAAATTTAAAAAAAAAAGGCGAGCGCATTTTCTTGTGATATATAAATTTTTTTTTGTTTTATTTTTTTGGACACACTTCTTTTTCTTGTTTATTTTTTTGTGTGAATAACATTTTTTGTTTTAAAAATTTTGGGGTTGGTCCTCGATTCCGATTTCCATCCACTCTGGTCCCCGTTCTCTCCCTACCCCTCACCCTCTGGCCACGAGGTGAGGGGTAGGGAGAGGAGACCCTCACGGGGTGAGGGATAGACTTGGGTTCACTTTTCCCTTACACCTTTGGGTATGTGCCTGGATCCTGATCCTCCTTTCTGTGTATGGGCTTGGGTCCCCGATTCCCTATCCTTTTTTTGGCTATGGGCCCAGGTCCCCAATTCTCCACACCCTGGCTATCTGCTTGGGTCTCTATTCCCACCCAGCGATGATTTTTAGTTCCTTCCCCGATATCCTTTCCTCCCTAAAAAAGATACCCCGACATATCATGGACCCCAACCCTAATAAAAATAAAGTATTTAAAATTTTCTTTAAAAATTAATGAAGATTAAAAAGGCCATATACTTTTTTTGTTGTGTTTATTTTTTTAAATTTGTTGCTAGACAAATTTTTATTTTTAATTCACTTTGTTCTTTAAATATTTTTATTAAATTTTTATTTTTAAATTTTTAAAAATGGCTACTTTACTTTGTTCAATTTGTGGTCAACAACCTGAAGTCCCTGTTGTGTCACCCGTTTCTGGAAAAATTTTTGAAAAGCGTTTGATTGTGAAATATATTGAAGAAAATGGTACTGATCCAATTAATGGAGGAAAGTTGGAAGTTTCTCAGGTTTTTTTTTAATTTTTTTGGGTTTTTTAATTGGTTCTATTTGTTTATCCGCCCGCAGTTTCATTTTCGGTACTTTTCTGTTTTGTTACACCCCCCTATATTAACGCTCAAAATGGCACATATAGGGTAATTAAAGGTGCTGAGTCGAACGGTACCCTTTTTTTTCAGGAGATGTCTGTGAACCGAGATAAATGGCTCGAAATCCCCCTATGGTTTTTGACTATTTCGAGCCCTATATCTCGGTCCACAGACATCTCCTGGGAAAAAGAAAGGTACCGTTCGACTCAGCACCTTTTATTACCTTATATGTGACATTTTGAGCACTAATATATGGGGGTGTAACAAAACGGAAAAGTACCTCATTTTCCTTTCTTTTATAAAATTACAAAATGGTCAAATATGGATATGGACACCTTGTCTTTTTATGGTACTATCGCATTATACCAATACTTATCCGCAAATCTTGCCTCCGCAAAAATGTTTTGTCTACAAATGTTTTCTCCGCAAATATCCTTCCGCAAATGTTTGTCTTTCCTCTATCTTTCCTTCCTCTCATCATGATTAAAAAATGTTATTCCTCAAATAGTACCTAAAATTTTTTGGCTCTACTTCAGTTTATGCGTCCAATCGACTTTTATGCGTCCAATGAAAGTTTATGCGTCCAATAAAAAGAAAATTGGATTTTTCTTGGTATTGCACAGTTGGGGTATGGGTCCACAACATTTCTTCATGTTCGGGACCTACGTCCACTGGGTCTGGGACCATTCCCTACCCGACCCCTTAAAATTTCTGAAAGTTATAATTGTTTTTCTGAAATTTTACAAAATTGGCTGTAACTTTAAAAAATTTCGAGGTGTAGGGTAAGGAATGGTCCCAGACCCAGTGGATTTAGGTCCCGAACATGAAGAAATGGTTTGGAGCCATACCCCAACTTTACAATACCAAGAAAAATCCAATTTTTTTATTGGACGCATAAACTGGAGTAGAGCCATTTTTTTTCGTCCGCAAATGTTTATCTTGCCTTCTCCATCTTTTCTCCTTTCATAAGGGTCAAAAAATGTTCAAAGATTAATAAAAGTCAGGCAAATAAAATACCAAACACGTAAATTTTCCTCACCTCCATTTGTGGACGTATGGTGGATTAATGCGCAATAGTAGTACATTTCTGTTTTGATACAAATTTGTGTGAATCATTTGTCCGCAAAAATGTACACGGAAAAATTAGTCCACAAAAATTGTCTGTGAAATGTAGTCGATTAAAATGCCGGCGGATAAACGCATAGATAAAAAAAAAATTTTTCTTAAACTTTAATTTTAGCTCGTCGAATTAAGTCAAGATCAGGACACTAAATCTATTCAACTGTTTGTTTTTGCTTTTATTTTTTAATTGAATTTTTGTTTTTAAGTTCGCTTGGCACGGCATCTTTGCCATCTCTTCTTAAACAATTGCAGGACGAGTGGGACGCGACGATGCTGAATACTTTTACTTTACGTCAAGAACTCAAATCTGTTCGAGAAGAATTGACGCATGCTCTATTTCAGGTTTTTTAAAGTTTAATTTTGAGATGTTTGATTTGTTCATATTCGGGGGTGGTGTCTCTTTCGTCTCAATTTTGTTCTGAAAATATCTCCAGAAAATTTTTTGTCCACGAGAAATGTCCGCAAAAATATATTTGTCCGAAAAATAATTGTCCTTATAATTGGAATTAATTGTCCGCAAAAAATGACCGCAGAAAGATTTGAGTGCAGGCCTGCGCCGCCCAAAATTATTCTTTTATGAGAGATTAAAGGGTATTGGTGGATTTGGCAAGATATCAGGGATTTGAAGGGATATTGTGGGATTTGGGGGGTATATTGAGTTATTTGGGGGAGTAAGAGGGATATTGGGGGATTAAAAAGGGTATTGGAGATTTGGAGAGATATAAGGGATTTGAGGGGATATCGGTGTAGTCGGAGATATTCTAGGGTATATTGAGGAATTTGGTAGAGTAAGAGGCGTATCGGTGAATTAAGACAGACATTGTGGGATATAAAGGTCTTTCTTAACAAAATTTCAATATTTTTAGAATGATGCAGCCTGTCGTGTTATCAACCGTCTGAGTAGTGAATTACAACAAACTCGTCATATTATTGCTACATTACCTCATGGACGAGGCAAAAATGTTGAAAGTGAAGTTGAAGTTACTGATGTTGAGATGCATCAAGATGGAGAAGGGCTTCCTGGAATTGATACGGATTTGATTGAGGTTTGTTTTTTTGAGGGGGGGGGGGTTAAATTATTAGAGTTTGGCATCGGCTCATGTCTGATTTCGCAAGCTCGGTGTTCTAGAAACTTGAGTTTTCGGACCCGGCATCTCATAGTTGTGGTAACCAGAAACTTGATTTTCAGTCTGTAGCCCGGAAACCGGGTATTTTCGATAAAATCTTTTCTGAGTGGAAAACGTGGCCATGGTCAGCCGCGAGGAAAACGCTCGATGCTGGACCCAGGACCGTGTTTCCAGACCTCTTAGCCCAAAACCCGTTATTTTGATAAAATCCTGTTTTTCCAACAGAAATGACCCGCCTGAAGATGATTTTTCGATTTTTGAAAGACTAAAAATATCTCGAAGGGCCTTTCTTTTTTTAGCCTCCTCTGAACATTCTGGATACGCCTTTAGAATTTGCTCAAATTTTATTTTCAATAATTCCCCAATTATTTTTTTCCAGTTCTTCACATTAAAAAGCCAAGAATTCTCATCTTCGCGTAAACAAAAAGGAAAAAATTTGCCTGAAGACTTGGCATCTGTTGAAGATGTTAAACGATATGAAGAAATTAAATGCCACGATGCTTTGCATAGTGCAAGTGTTCCGGGAATTACTGCTTTGGATTTGCAGGTTTTTTTTTAATGTTTTCCTTTCAGTAAAAATAAAAGGTATTTTTCCGTTATCCCGACGGGGAATAATTTTAATAAGGACTACGCTTAACTAGAACAAGAGATTCGGAGACTCGGCGAGGACTCTAGATATTCAAAAATTATAAGAGTCGAAATGGTCAAAATTTAGTAAAAGGACTCGGAATGGTCAAAAATTAAAAATAAGGCTTGAAATGGTCAAAAGTAGAAATTGGGTTCGAAATCGTCAAAAATTTAAAACAGGGTTCGAGATGGTAAAAACTGAAATAGTGTTCGAAGTGGTCAAGAACTTAAAATAGGGGCTCGAAATGGTCAAAAAATCAGAAAGGGCTCGAAATAATCAAAAACTCTAAATAGGGCTAGGAAAGGTCAAAAACTCGGAATAGGGTTTGGTGTGGTCAATCACTTAAAATAGGCCTGTAGGGATAACGGACGAGTACCAAATAAATTTTTTTAGCAAAATATGATATTAACTGGTGGTATTGACAAAACTGTCGTTCTATTCAATTCTCAAACGGAGACCGTTGAAAACGTTTTCAAAGGAAATCAGAAACGTGTTAATGCAATTCGTTTACATCCAAATTTGGAAACTATAGTTTCTGGAGGGCAGGATTCAAAGGTTTGGAAATTTTTTTTTGGAAATTTTATGAATTTTTTTTGAAATTTCAAAAATTTTTTCAAAAAATTTTCTAAAAAAATTTTCGAAAAATTTTTCAAAAATTCTTAAAATGATCTTTTTAGATTCGAATTTGGTTGGCTAACGATCCAGATGCTCGTAACGTAATTAATATTCACGACCAGGCAATTACTGATGTCTCTCTTCACCCAACTGGAGATCACTTTCTTTGTACTTCAGACGACTCGTATTGGTCATTAACTGATTTAAATACTGGCAGCCCGTTAATTAAGGTTTTTTTTTTCGTCTTTTTTTTTCAAAAAGGGGGGATGTGAGGAAAATCCTTATCTCTATTCCTGATTCTAACGTCCAACTTTGAACGGCCATAAGTCGACCCAAAGTCATGTTGCAAGGATTCGATTTGCAATAGAAAATTGTGGGTCTTTTATCGAATGATATCAAAAAATAATTCGCACCGATATCATAAGATACTTCTTGTAAAGCATATAGCTATTAATTTTCTAAGGCTGAGCAGTAGGCGGCGTGGTGTAATGGCTAACACATCAGTCCGGTCTACTGAAGATGCTGGTTCGCTCCCAGCCGCCGAATAACCTTTTGCTCTAGCTAAAGGAGAGAAATAGCTATAGCCCAGCTGCTTTACTTTCTCTTACACCATGGGTCGCATGTGTGTATACTTGCAAACCAAAATTCTGGTGTTTTCGCAACGTCAGAATTTTGGCGTGTACACTCCATTTCGCCCCCTTGAAATTTGACCCCTTGTTCGGATTTTTTCTGGATATGCCCTTGCAAGAGTCCATCTTATATTGAGGTTTGTGTTAACTAAAAAATTCTAATAATTAATTCTAAGGTCAAATCTGGTGATGATGATGTCTCTTTACGTTGTGGACAATTTCACCCTGATGGTTTAATTTTTGGAACTGGAGCAAAAAGTTCAATAGTTAAAATTTGGGATATTAAAGAACAAAATAATGTTGCACAATTTCCTGGACATTCAGATTCTGTTTGTGCAATATCATTTTCGGAGAATGGTTATTATTTGGCTACTGGTTCTTTGGATGGAGAAGTTAAAATTTGGGATTTGAGAAAATTGAAGAATTTGAAAACTATTTGTCCTTATAATGCTAAACAAGCGGTTTTTTTATTTTTATTTTTTTTTTCGTAGTTTGGAGATTTTTTGAGGGGTTTGGGTAGGTTTTTTGGGGGAGAGATTTTTCAGGCTAGGACTTTTGCGAGAGGAGGATTTTTGGGGAGGGTTTTTGGGGAAAGATTTTTCTAGAGGTTTTTTGGGAAGGTTTTTTTGAGGTTGGATTTTTCTGGCTAAGTTATTGGGGAGTACTTTTCTGGAGATTTTTGGGGAGGATTTTTGGGGCTAGGTTATTGGGAAGGGTTTTTGGGGAAAGATTTTTCTAGAGGTTTTTTGGGAAGGTTTTTTTGAGGTTGGATTTTTCTGGCTAACAATAAGTTATTGGGGAGTACTTTTCTGGAGATTTTTGGGGAGGATTTTTGGGGCTAGGTTATTGGGAAGGGTTTTTGGGGCAAGATTTTTCTGGAGGGTTTGTGGAGAGGATTTTTGGGGAAGGTTTTTTGAAAGGATTTTTTTCAATTTAAAATAGAAGTTGCGTCGGATTTTGGATCGGGGTTCGAATTTTGTGTCGAAAAATGTCCAGATTTTGGCTCTCGGGTTGTGGGTAACTCGTCCTATCCATGGCCCACCTAAAATGAATTTTTAATTTGAAATTACTTTTAAATATTTTTTTAAGGTAAATGCACTCACATTTGACCAATCTGGCGCTTATTTAGCAATTGGTGGGGCAAATGTTCAAATATTTCAAGTAAAATCATGGAATAAAATTTATCAATTTGATGGACATACCCAAGTAGTTACTGGAATTAATTTTGGAGAAAATGCAAAATTTGTTGCTTCGAGTAGTTTGGATAAGACTGTTCGTATTTTTGGGTTAAGTTGAAATTAAAAAATTAAAAATTTTGATTGATGGATATTTGTTTAGGGGTTGGTCCCCTGCCCCGTCAAGGGACAAATTTTTTCGGGGAATGAGGGCATCGGGAAATGGTTTGGGGATTGCTGTCAGGGATTGTGGACTGTAGGATAAGGTTGGCGGTTCCGGGTACCCGGAACCGAAAAAACTCAGGATATCTGGAAATCTTCGGTTCGGATATCGGTTCCGGATATCCGGAAATTTCCCAGGAACCGCCATCCTTACTGTAAGAGCGGTCGGGGAATGGTCTTGGGGTCAGGGAATGGACTGAGGAGCGGGAGGTGGATGTCGGGAAATGGGTTAGGCTAGGGAATCGGGGTCGAGGAATGTCGCCTAAAAATCATTGTCGAGCGGGGAATCGAGGTCGAGGACCAACCCTAAATTTTTTTTACATTATTATTATTTTTTGGTTTTTTTTTATTTTTTAAAATTACATTTATTTTGTGTTTTTGAAAAATAAATTGAGAGAAAAAAATCTTTTTTTAATGATTCATTTACATATTAATTTTATATTTTTATATTTGATCATTTTTCTGTTCTTTTTTTCTATTTAAATGTACAAGGATCCCGAAAATCCCAAAAATTGAAAAGAAACCCCCGGGATTAGTGGACGGCAAAATGTCTATTCAGTAATTTGTCCTAGCTTAATCAACTATAATTAGTTAAGATAGTTTACCGAAAGTACATTCTGCCGAAATTTTCATTTTTTTTATCGTTCCCCTCCACCTTTCACCTTTATTCCACCTCCATTGGCATTTTTGTGTTGCTATTTAATCATGCATTAAAAACATGTGAGTACACGTGGTGTACACACTCGAGAAAAAAATCATACCGCTCAGAACACATTCCCAAATTTTTTTTCTTATCATTAAAAAAAAGGTCATTTCCGATTCTTTCTGTTTCCTGAACTGACAAAAATAAGACGCGATTAAAGGACAAAATTGCAGAAATATGGCATTTTTGATTTTTGGCATTTTGAAAAAAATTTTTGAAAAAATTTCAAAATGTCAAATACTCAAAATGCCCAAAATTAAAAAATTTTTTCAATTTAAGTAGATGATTGATAATAGTCTCGTAGTTGATGTTAATCCCCTTGCACACCTCAAAGATGGAGCCATTGACTTTGTTGCTGGAACGGCTGGTGGTGTTGCAATTGTTTATTCTGGTCAACCACTTGATACAGTGAAAGTAAAGGTTTGTGTTTTACTTTCTAATTAAGGTAATTTTCGTCTGGGGAGTAGAGGGGGGTAAGTAGGTTAGGAAGTTTTTTTCCTTCTAAAGTTTTTCAGTAAAGAGTACATAATGGTCAGAATTCTTATCTTTCTTTTCCAAATTCCCCTACACTCAAAATGTGTTAGTTTTTAGGAAGGAGAGCTTCATTTGGGAATGTGGAAGGAAAGAAAAAGAAGTTTGACCATTATGAGCCTTTTAAGTTAAAAAGGCTTGAATAGGGAAATATGTAAGTAACCCAGTAAACGATAACATTAACGCCATTAGGAGGATGAGTATTCAAGCGATCCCTTCATAGAGACAAGCCCTTTACTCGACCAAGGCCCGAGCCTTCGCCTCATGATCAAGACAAAAAGACTCTAAGAAAGTCTTGAGTAAATCTTGAGTCATTTATTTAAGCTACACCTCTATAAGTTAACATTTTTGGGTCGGGGTTATTTTAAATTGATATCTGACCATTTTCTATAGATGCAAGCATTCCCAACATTAAATCGCAATTGGCTCAGTTGCTTTGGCAATATTATGAGGACCGGGGGCATAAAAGGATTGTATGCAGGTTTGGGACATTATGTCCTTTTTAATTTTTTAAATCAATTTTAAAGGTTCAATACCATCCTTAGTGGCCAATGTCTCCGAAAACGCGGTCCTGTTCACTTCCTATGGGTTTTGCCAAAAAGCTGTTGGGTATGCGAGTGGATCCAGTACAACTGGGCCGTTGGGGAATGCTACAGGTTTTTTGTTTATATTTTTTGGCTGGGAATGTCAAATGTTTAGAAACGAAAATTTTTCCAGTCAAGACCAAGACTTTGCCTTAAAATCAAGATTGGGCCCACGACCCAGGAGTGGCCCCAAAACCAAGATTTTATCCCAAGACTCAAGATTTCACCCAAAACTAAGACGAAAGACCCTAAACTTTAAGGCTCAAAACGAAAGTTGTGGGCGTCTTTATGCGGCTCGTTGGTTTTGAGGGAAGATTAGTGTTTGCCTTATGGTCAATTAAAAAAATTTTTTAAGCGGGAGCGTTGGCTGCTTTCTTTGCTGCAATTGTATTATGCCCAACTGGTATTTTTATTGAGATTTATGCCTGTTGAAAGCTGTTATTTTTAGAATTGGTCAAGTGCAAATTACAAGCTCAATCGGAAGTTAATTCTAGGCTTGTCAAGTTTGTGTTTCAATTTTTCATATTTGTCGATACTTGTTTAGTGTATTAGGGACAGAATCTCAGCGTCTGAATCTTTCCCCCTTTTCCGACTTTTTGACCCTTCCGATTTTCCCTTCTATGTTTTTTCTACCATTTTTAAGTCTTTCGCTTTTAAAATTTTTAAGGGCCCATTTCTCCTCTGTTACCCTCTCCTGGATCCTCTTTTCGAATTCTTGTATTCTGCAAGTTTTTTATAAAGCTAAGGCCGTTCAGTTTGGCATTTCGGCGCTTTGACATCCTAATACAGCTCTTATTAATTCTATTTCCTCACATTTTTTACAGAACACCAGCCTCAATTTGTCGTGAAATGTTTCAAGAGGGAGGAATTCGGTCGTTTTATACAGGATTTGTTGCTACACTAATACGTGAAGTTCCTGGATATTTTTGCTTTTTTGGAGCGGTTCAAAAAAATTTTTTTTATTTTAAAATTCATTTTTAGTATGAAATGTCAAGAAAATTTTTAACTCCAAGTGGAAAAACAAAAGAAGAAATTGGTTTGGAATTTTTTAAATATTTTTTTTGGATATCCCTGCCACCCTCTCCCTCCCTTACAATTAGTTTCAGTTTCTGTGTTTGTCCGCAAATGTTAGTCCGCAAGTTTTGATTCACGAATGTCGTGTCACCCCCCCCCCTCTCATTTTATCTAAATTGCTTTAATAAAATATAGGCATGAAGATGGAGGGAGTAACTGATATAAGGCTGGAAGAGGGGAAGGCTATCCAAAAGGGAACTTAGTTTTGTGAAATTTTTTGATGCAAGCTTCTTTTTAAAGGAGTATTAAGAACAGCTATTTCTGGTGGTATTGGTGGAATGGCACTGTGGACAGCTATTTTCCCTGCAGATGTTGGTGGGTATTTTTTCCTGTTTATTTTTCTTTAAAAATTTTTCGTTGTAAAATCGCACTTCCGGGATCCCGAGTCGTGATTTCTTTTCTTAACCTATGCCGGGTCGGGATTTCGAAGGATAAATCCCCAAAAAATCACGAAAATCAAAAAAATTGGGAGTTCGGGATCCCGGAAATTTTTTCGGGATCAGGACCCCGTCCCACGACGACCTCTATTAAAAATTCTCTGGAACTTGGCAATATGCCTATGTTTTTTGGTTTAAAAATTGAATGTTTCACGGGTCGAAATGGTTTCAAAATTTTGGCACTTCTTTGTACTACTAATTCTCGAAAATTGGATGAATTATCCCCAGGCTTCCCCCTTGCTGCTTGGTACCCGTGGTTGATCGTAATTCCGATTTCCGACGTTTTTTCTTTCCGATTTCCGAAAAGTTATGCTGATTTTCGATTTCCGATTTTTGAGCGATTTCTGACGGTTCCGATTTCCGGCACCTTCGTCAGTTCCGATCGACCTCTGCTTGGTACGAGTACGAAAGTTGGGTACGAGTGTCTTAGCAATACTTGTGGTTTCACTGATTTTGCCAAAATACTTTGAAAATTATTTAATTATTTTTTAGTAAAGAGTCGAATGCAAATAGGTGAAACTGGACGATTTTCAACCATTTTAATGAAAATTATTAAAAATGAAGGTTTATTTTTTTAAATTAATTTTTTAAAAATAAAAATTTTTTTTCAAGGAATTTCTGCTTTATATAAAGGATTGTCACCAACATTAATTCGAACTTGTATTGCTAGTGCAGCTTTATTTATAACTTTTGAAAATATTAAAACTTTTCTTCATAGTTTGTGATTTTTATTAATTTAAATTTATTTTTGCTCAATTTTTCTCATCTACGTAAATGTTCTAATTAAAGCTCTTGTCCATTTTTAGATTACTTTTAAGTGGATTTGTATTATGGTCTTCTATTAGAGTGTGGGTGTTTAATTAGAAAGTGGGTTGTTATTAGAGAGGGTCTCTATTGTGTATGATTTTTTTCGATGGGCCTCCCTGGGAGGCTTGAGGTGTATTAGATATAGGCTTCTAATAGATCCGGGCTTTAATCAAAACATTTACGGTATTCCTTCTTTTGTGCCTTTGAATTTTTAAAAATTTCACTTTAAAAATTTTTTCTACTTAAATTCTTCTGTGCAGTTAAAAAGTTGAATGTGAAGGGATGGGCAGAGAGTTACTCAAAACTCGAAACCTGAACGTTTTTTGACCTAAAACTTATCCTAAAACGATTTTGAATCTCGAAATCTGACCCTATTTTTTCTCATTCAACTTGGCCTATTCCTTGGTTGACTGGAAACGGGCTCGTGATTAAACCATTTGTTATTAAATCTAGTTTTATTAGCATATCAATTAAATTTTTTGAATAAAATTTCTTTTAAATTTTATTTTTTTTCAAGTTTTTTACTTCAAATATTTTATTTTTTTTAGTCCGCAAGTTTTTTGCGGACAAAATCCGCAAGTTTTTTAAAATCATTTTTAAGAGAAAAATGTCACATCGTGGTATTGTTCATGAATCTCTTCAACAACAGGATGAGAGACGTCTTCCTTTTTGTTTGACTGATAATGAATTGGTTAGTTGATTGTGGTATATTTTTTGAGTAAATATTTGGTAGAAAAAGGTTTGTTTGTTTTGGGCAATTGGTTATTTTTGGGCCGCTATTTTCTATTGTTTTTAATTACTTGGGTGCTAGGGGCGTCACGGGTAGGCCCGTAACCAGGGGGGGGGGAATTCCCCCCCCCCCCCCCCGAAATGGGAAAAAGGAAAAAATTTGGGGAAGGGCTGGGGCAAAAAAAGTGAATTTTTTTGGCCTACGGCCTCTGAAATTTAAAAAATTTTCGCCTGCGGCGCTGAAAAAGTGAATTTTTTTGGCCTACGGCCTTCAATAATTCTCAAAATTTTCGCCTGCGGCGCTGAAAATAAAAATTTTTGGCGCCTTCGGCGCCAAAAATTTGGCGCAGAAAAAATTTTCCCCCCTTGGCCCCCCCCCCCGAAAAAAAATCCTGGTTACGGGCCTGGTCACGGGTACAGAGAAACAAAGGATTTTGGAACGAGTTTTCGTGGATTTCTCGGATACGATTTTGGATTGAAAATTTGTCTGAGTTTCGGATTTCGGGTGACCCGTGGCATCCCTAGTTAAAACTTCCTAGGTTCCCAACGAAACTAACATGAGATCTCGTTTTTAGTTTACTTTTATGCTATCAAAAGTCCGCAAGTTTTGGCTGCAAACCATACATGCGCCTAATTTGACTTTTTACCTTAAATACCAGAAATGCGTCGTTTCGTCCTCTAACAAAGTGTTTCGCATTTTTTGTGTTTCGCACGTCGTCTTTCGAAGTTTAAATTAGCTTTCTTGTTGGCATTTTGGTATTTGGGCGTTTTGGTATTTCAGGGATATTTTTACGACTAAAATAATTGCGGACAAAACTTGCGGACTTTTTTTAGAAAAATAATTTTTAGTTGTGCAAAAACCAATGTGGTTTTTACGGCACCCCGCAATGTAAAGGACTTTGTTCTCAATGCTGGAAGAATTATCAACTCGAAAATAAACGTCTGTATGACTACAACAAAAACAAAGAATTGTTGAGGAAGGAAACGACTGAAAGAAATATTAGTAGCAAGACTTCTGATGTTAGGCAAACTTTTCGAACGCTTTTGAAGAAGTCCCCTTCAGTTTTTTCAAGTTTGTTTTTTTAATTTTTTTGAAGGACCTAGCTTCACGCCTCAACCATATTTTTGGAATCATTTTTGGGGGGTTCGTCATTAAAATCCGCAAATATTGTCCGCAAAAATTTGCGGATTTGTTTTGGGTTTTGGAAGAATTTTGGAATTTGCGGACATTTTTTTGCGGATTTTTGTGAGCATAAAGGAAGAGTATAGGCATTTTTCCTTTTGTCCTTAAAATCTGCAAAGGTTGTCCGCAAAATCTATTAATGAGTTGCGGACAGGTTTTGCGGATTTTTGTGAGTATAAAGGAAGTGTATACTAATAATTTTTTCTTTTAATGTTTGTTGACCTGCTTTAAAAAGTGCAAAAGATTTTTCTCATAATTTTAAAAATTTTGCCTAGGGGTCCATTATTATTTGTCTACTTAAAATAGCCTAGAAACATTAATAAGCATTTGAAGTGAACTCAAACTTATTTATAGTCAGAGTCCAAAGGAAAAATTTATCAAAAAAATTTACCTCAAATTCATTTAAAATTTTGCTGGCACACAGTCGAGTGTCTAATGCAAAACCTCTTAAAAATACCAAGCCCCCCCCCCCCCGCCCTCAAATACCAAACCTCTCAAAATACCAAATCTTCCTCAAAGTCACGCCGAAATACCAAAATGTTGATTGTAAAAGCCTTACAAGTTGACGAAACAACGTCCACCTTTGTCCACAATTTGGTATTTTGGCAGTTTTTTGGGGTTTGTATTTCGGCATTTCGGTAAAAGTTACATTTTATTGCGGACAATATTTGCGGATTTTACGGATATAAGGAAATCACACGGAAAAATAAGTTAAAATTTTAAATTATGGCAGAGTGTGTAACTTTTCAGAATAACCTTCCAGTCTCATTAACAATTTTGTTTTTCAGACGACCAATTAACTTCTCAACAACAACAATCATCTTCTCTCAATATGGCTCCTACAATTTTGGATGAAAGGTTTTTTTGATTCTTCAGAAATTTAAAAAACAATTTTTTAGGTCCTCAAGTCCAGACTCTAGCACAGCATTAGCCGATTTTCAAAAATATTTGTCTTCAACCTTTTCCTTTGCCGATGCAAAAGAGTTGGAAAAACAATGCCGTATATTTATTGAAAAATTGGCAAAGGTTTTTTTATTTTGAATTCTTATTTTTGACTAATTTTGGAAATTTTTGAGTGAATTGTTCATTTTCTTGAAATTTTGAAAAAAATTTCTAACTTTGTAGATATGATAGTAGATCAACTCCCACATTGATCTTTTTAGAGATAAGCAAAATCGCATTGGGACTTCGGGACAGGAACCTAGGAATTCAGAAGGGCATTCAATAAAATCGTGTACGGGATCCCTCCTTTGGGACTCTAGTCATCTTCTCGTGCTGAACACCAAACTCCATAAAAACCGGCGAAATGCCAAACTTTGGAAAAAGTGCCGGTTGTAAAATTGGGTTGAACTGCTGTTCTTCGATCCAGAGCCTCTACTCACCAAACTGCGGCCTAATCCGTTGGGCCATCCAACCACCCAACTTTTACGTTTTTCCTCCCATAAAACTTAAAATGAATTTTCAGGATGAATTAGCTCCAATCGATGACTTGTCGAATTCTGTCCAATCATTTTACCAAACAATGAGAGATGAAATAAATAAAATAAAATCGCTACCTCAAGACCTTAATTTTGCAAAATTTATGACTGAAATTGAAACTTTTGTTTGTGTAACTGGTTATCATATACTTTTTGGTTCGAGGTTTGTGGGTTTTAATTGTAAAAATGGGGATGATTTGGGTTTTTTTATTTTTGGGAAGTATTTATTTGTCCGCAAAAAATATTTTTGTCCGCAACATTAGAAAAGTGTCCGAAAAAGTTTTTTTACTCCAGAAATATTGTCCGTAGCGCAAAATATCCATAATAAAAAATTTGTCCACAAAAATGTTTTGTCCGCAATCTGCAAAAAATTGTCCGCAATTAAATTTTTTGTCCGCAATTTGTAAAAAGGTGTCCGCAAAACTTTTTTTACCTAAGAAATATTGTCCGCAATATGAAAAAATGTTTTTCCGCAATTGCACAAAATGTCCGCAATAAAATATTTTTGTCCGCAATCTGCAAAAATTGTCCGCAATTAAAATTTTTGGAAATTTCTTTGAAAATCGTTTTTACCTAATTCAGCCTTAAATTTTAACAAAAATTAAAACAAAATTTTTTTATAGAACCGAGGAGGAAACAGAAGATTTAAGTTTACAAACAAGAATACGTTCATTAAATTGGGTAACAAATGGATTTTTGGAAACTGCTTTGGATGAGTCTTCTGCACAGGTTCAGGAATATATGGATGAGGCAATAACTGAAATTGTGGATTTGAACAGCCAACGTTCTGTTGTTAAAAAAATGTTTGTTTGTTTAAATTTAAAAATTTTTTTTTCTGTTTTTATTGAACTGCCCATAGAAATTATTTAACTTTCCGTAGAAAAATTTTTGCGAAATCCGCAAGAATTGTCCGCAAAAAAATTTTTTTTTGAATTTTATTTTTAAAATTTAGGATTGGTTTTTAAATTTAAAATTGTTTTCCAAATAAATGATCCGCTCTATTTAAGAGACGATTATTTTTATAGTGGGGAAAAACTCATGTCTTCCTATACCCTTTATACAGGGCTCGATCTCGAATTTTTAAAAGCCGCAATTTTTGTAAAAAAATCCGCATTTTTAACAAAAATCCGCACAAATTTTTTGGCACCAAAAAATTCACTTTTTGCGCTCAACGAAAATGTTGAGTATTTTTGAAGTATTAAAATGGATTAGAGGGAAGCGGGTTGATTAAAGTGGCCTTTTAAGCAGTAAATCTAAATCCCCTATCGCTCCAAATCCTTTTATTATAATTCATTGATCCCTTGATTATTTTGGTCGGACGAAATTTTATCGGACTGTGGTTCTGTCCTGGCTATTTTAGCTTGACAGGAGTTGATTAAAAAAATTTTTAAATTTAAAGGGAATGCCTCGTTCGATGTTCAAAAAACATTTTCAATGCTCTCAAAGAAAGCCGTTTTGGCGCCCCAGCAAGTGCAGACGAATTTTTGCCAGTTCTAATTTTAATTGTGTTGAAAGCAAACCCTCCATTAATTCAGTCAAATTTAAAATTTATTTGTCGATTTGGATTACCTTCAAGACATATGCGTGGAGAATATGGTTTTTTTAAATTTTAATTTTTATTAAATTTTTTTTGTTTTTAAGGCTATTATTTTACAAATTTGAGCAGGTTTGGAAATTTTTTTAATTTTTTAAAAAGGTTTTTCCGATAATGTCAGGGTGTGCGCCAACATTTGGCGTTCCGAAATTAATTTTTTATACATATTTTTCGGGGGACCTTTCCACTCCTCTGGATAAAGGGTATCCACAATTGCGGATTAAGGCTGCGGATTTTTAAATTAAAATTTCCGGAGCAGGACGAATAGGTGCGGACGAATAGGCGCCATTTTTTTCGGCGCATCGTTTACCCATATTTCGGGGAACCTTTCCATTCCTTCTGACATGAGGGGTTTCCGCGATTGTGGACTGCGGATTGCTTAAATTAAAATTGCGGATGTTGAAAATTTTTTTCGTTTGCGAACACCCCTGCTCTGAATACGTCTCTGTTTGTTTTTACGTTTTCTCGGAATATTATAAAAAATTGGTGGAGCCTAGGAGAAGGGTGATATCGTTATTTCTTTACCTAGCAAATCCCCAAAAAAAATTTTTTTTCTATTTTAATAAAGTTTTTTCTTTAGTGCAATATATTTCATTCAAGACATGAGAGCATCCAGTTTACAATTAACCGATGAAGAATTTGAGGATTATACGAGTGGAAAGCGTATTCCAACATCATTTAAAAATTCAATAAGCACCTACGTTTGATTTCAAAATTTAATAAAATTTTTCGAAAAAAAATTTTTTTTAAAGGTAATGAGATCAATTGGCAACTCAATAAAAAGAATTGATGGATTGTTGAGTAAACAAGCAGAATTAGTTGGAAAAGTGGAACAATTGGAAGCAGGCATTGAAAGGTTAATTAATTTTGGTGTAAAATAGGGGTAGGCTGTTTTAAAAAATATTTTCGACCCGTTACGGATTTTGTAAAATTTTTATTTTGGGCTCATTCTAAAGCTCTTGAAATTTGCTATAAGAGAGCAACAATCTTATTTTTCAGAAAAAAAGTATTTTTAAGGTTACGGATCAGTTGAGTAAGTTGACAATGAGTCTCTTGTTCAGTTGAGTTCTAGCCCTATAACTCATCATGGTGTGGTCACTTCTTAATATTCTTGGTACTGCTAAATAGAGAATTGAACACACTACAGGAAAGCAAAATATCAAAATTATCGATTGATTTATGAAAAAGTTATGATCTAAAAACTAAAAAATTTTTTAAAAAATAGGTGATTTTTTGGTAGTTTATCGATCATAACGTTTTTGTCGGCCAATTAAGAATTTTGATTTTTTGTCAACTTGTAGTTTATTCAATTCTCTATCCGATGTTGCCAAGAATGCTAAAAACTGTTCATTCTTTCATTAGTTATAGGGCCTGGACTTATTTGAGGTTTACCCATTATTTTAATGAGAATTGGTAGATATTGTCAGTTGTGGTGTAGTGGTAATGTTTCTGGCTACACTTGTTTTCTCATAAAGGTTCGAGTCCTCTCCTTGCCGGATTTTTTAATTTTCTTTTTTTTCGAATTTATATCGTTATTTTTGGCTTAAAAATTTTTTTCTAGGCCTTAAAAAATTTTTTTCTAGGCCTGAAAAAATTTTTTCAGAGATTCTGAACAATTCAAGCGTCAAGTAAATGAATTTATTAACCAAGACTATTCAGACGAAATTAAGAAAATAATTGAAAATAATAAAAAAGCAGCTAAAGAAGAAGAGGAGGAAGAAAATTCGGGTAGTTAAAAAAATAAAAAAATTTAATTTATATATTTTTTTATTAAAAATTATCAAAAATAAATTTTATAGGCCAAAAAATTAACAAAGAATTTTTTTGATTAAGAAAATATTTAATCGAAAATAATGTTTTTCCGTGAGATTGCGTAGAAGACATTGGGGGTAGTTAAGCATTTATTCACATTAACCTCATTGTGGGGTACTTTCTAAGGTGCTGCGAGGCTAAGGTACTGCAGAGCTATAACTTCGTGCAAAATTATCGAATCTGGGATATCCTGATATGATTCGATGCTCCTTGACGAGCTGAATCGAGCTCTATACCAAGGTGTCCCTGATTGAATAATTCTGCCCATATAGCTCGATGGTATCTTAGCTTGGCCTGTTTTCGTGGCTTGTTTCCGTAGCCTGTTCCCCTCTTTGTGAGGTTAACAAAGTATGTAACGTGTTGAACATGTTTGAACCTGTTGAACATGGCGAAAGCACGTTGGCCACGCCATGAACCATTTTTGAACTTTAACTTAGATCTTGAATATGACGAGTCTTTTCTTGGTTTTTTGGAAAATACCGTATTTTTTGTATTAGAGCCCCATGGGGCTCTATTTTTCAACTATCCTCCAAAGTGGGGCTATATTACAGCGTGGGGCTCTAATAGAGCGTGGGGCTCTATTTTTCAACCTATTCTTGAAAATAAGTAATAGGATTTTCAATTATACGGTTAACTATATTTATCCAATCAATTAAAGTTTAATCACAAAAGCAAATTTCAACATTGAGATATTTCCAAATATGATAGTCACGCGTGTACACTAAGGCGCGGTTAAGTGCATCTGAGTTAGATTTAAGGCCGAATTGGAATTTTAATTTGTGGAAGGTTCGAATCCTATCGAGCCTTTGAAGGTTCGATTCTATTTTTCTTCAGTCCGTACGTTTCAATCTCTCGTGAATATATTCCGGTTCAGTCCCATGAAAGGATATAGATGTGATTAAGAAGGTATTTCCATGTTGACTCCGGGCTCCGGGTGGAAAATCAATGGATAATATTATTTCGTTGATTCGTGCAGATTAAAGGGATATCGAGTGATAAGAGGAGTGAGAAGGATATCAAGGTATTAAGCGGGATTTGGGCAGATTATAGTTTTTTGGGCAGATAGAGTAACTCGAAAATGCTCAAACTCGACTTACTCTACTTTATTTCACAGACGAGTCAATTTATAAAATCGGGATTTGCATCTGGATCTGATGCACATAACAATCCCGATCTCGGCCTCGGGATTGGCCGTGATCGGGATCAGGATTTGAAAAACCCGGCTTACTCCCGCCCGATCCCGACCAAGATCCCGATCCCGCTGAACTCTAATCAATCTATGCCTCCAGTGACAGAACCTAACTGGAATGAACTGCTTTGATTTGACTGGAAATGATAGAAAAGGCTGTACAGTATTAAAAATAAATTTATTAACTTAGGTATGTGAAAATTTCATAAAGTGGGGCTTTATTACAGCGTGGGGCTCTAATACAGCGTGGGGCTCTATTTTTCAACTATCCTCCAAAGTGGGGCTTTATTACAGCGTGGGGCTCTAATACAGCGTGGGGCTCTAATACAAAAAATACGGTATTCGAATATCTATAGAACCAAATCAGGGGACTTTCGAATATCCGGACACGAACCGGAAAAAAAATTTTTTTAGGAAGTAGTGCTTTAAGGGAGCACACCAGGGATGGGTCGGATTACCCGAAACCCGTCTCGGTTTTTTTAACCCGTTCCATCTCTGGCGTACACTAGTTTGCGCCATGGATTTGGAAATATTTTATGGCGCACAGTAACTGATTTTTTGAGGCACTGGTTATCATTATTTGTGAGGGGGAGATTCTACAAATACTACAAACTTGTTTATTTTTCATCAAAAATTCTTTTTTAATTCATCTTTTTTTCACATATAAAAATACTCTAGTTTTTTTTATATGTTGATGATGATGATGATGGTCAATCACTGAATAAAAATGGCGGAAAAATGGTGCTTTTTGTGGGCGATTATCGAATTAAAGAGAGAGAGAGAAGAGATCTCTCTCCCCCCAAAATTTATTTAGAAAATCTCTCATAAAGAGTGGATGCATAATTTTCCGTCAAGCGCTTTTTGGGCGATTTATATCTCATCAATAAAATTAAATCGTAATTTTTGTTGTTGAGTTTCAAAAATTGAAGAAAATTAAAAGAAGTATCGACAGGATAAAAATTTTTTTTTATTCCTGTAAAATTAAATTAGAGAAGAGGTTTGAGAGAGGGAGGAATACGGAAATGCTTTTTTGTTTGTGGAATTTTCCTGCGCGGTTCAAATAAAAAGAGAAATTGGAAAAATGAAAGCAATTTCTTTTAAAGAAAAAATTCCCTGATCCATAAAATTACGCCATTTTAAATTGGATTTTTGTAAAATTCTTGGAGGTACAAAGTTGTGTTCTCTTCACACTACTTATGGAGTGAAGGGAACATTGTACGGTGGGGGCAATTATTGAAAGAGGGTGATTATCTTCAAGGGGACATGTTCTCTTCACACTACTTATAGAGTGAAGGGGGACATTATATGGGTCCCATTTTTTGTGCCAAAATTCAATGCCCGACTCGATCTTTCGGACCGACCGGATCGGGCCCCAAATCCTAATTATAAGGTGGGGGCAATTCAAAGGGGGCATGTTCTCTTCACACTACATATAGAGTGAAGGGAACATTATAAAAGTAGGCATGGCTATGTTCTCTTCAAAGGGCCATGTTCTATTCGCACTACATATGGGGCGAAGGGAACATTTACATAAATCGAACATCCAGATTCCTTTCACACTACTTATAGAGTGAAGGGAACATTACAGAGGTAAAGCTTCCCTGATCCTCCAGTATTTTAGCGGCGTTTTGGGTAGTGGGTCCCGTCCCCGTCTTCACGGAAAATCCCCTTCCATAGATTCTGAAAAACAGGAGCACTATAAACAAATTTTAAGTTTTATTTTTGAAATATGGCTTTGACTGATCTATTTATTATTTTTTCCATTTTTCCGTTTATTTTAATAAATATTCTCAACTTTAAATGCATTCAATCTCAGGTATTTTTTAATTTAAAAATTTTCAAAAAATTTTATCGTTAAGGAATTGGATAAAGGCGGGGTTGGCTCTTTTATGAATTTAATAACTCCAAAGGATATAGCAGAGCTTACACAAGCAGCAACTCAAATTGCAGCCCAAACCTTTAGGAGTAATGGGGAATTAATGTAAAATTTTTTTTAAAAATTCTGAAGACCGACCTTGAAGGCCACATTGTCGCAAACTGATAACAGTCAATTAGCCTTTTGTAAGGAAGAATTGAGGGAGTGAAGAGAAAGATCCTCGGTATCTCACAATCAGTCAGTAAAGCTCCAAGTACATAGTTAACCAAATTTCTGTTCCCTTCACACTACGAATAGAGTGAAGGGAACATTCATCTTTTATGTAGTAACTACCAGGGGTCTTCAGACTCGTTGCCTGCCCGAAGCTAAACTTTTACCTGTCTCTTACTAAGAGGTAAAAGTCCATTCTTTCAAAGGGTATAGGTCTGCGACAAAATGGTCTTGCGACAAAAAGACAAATTTTTGTGAAATTTCAGTTCAAATTCTGGACCAGAAGTTCGCCCTGTCTCTCTTGATTCTCAGCCATCTGAGGTACTCGAGCCTCTGGAATTTTTTTAAAATTAATTTTTAGATGTTCGGCCAAGGCTTGACGAATTTAATGGGCCCAGTCAGACAAAGCATTGCTAGTGCTTTAACTGGACAACGGGTACAACAACAACAACCTGAAACAAGAGCGTCTTTAAGTAATCCACAACCTTTACAAGGAACTACATCTGGGGAGGATAGCAGTACTAATGGGGGTGAGAAGAAAAATTCTTTTGAAATTGGGGAAAAGATTTTTGGGTTAGGGGAGCCTTTCAGCTCCTTTGAAATCAGGTTAGCTCCTTTGGATCCGAAAAAGTTAGGGTATCAAAAAAGTTTTTGTTTGGGCTCCGAGTTCAGTATCCGAATGAGGTTGAGCGCAAGAGACGACTTCAAGAAGCGGAATGCCCTCGCTTCTGGTTTTGATATAGGTCCAAGCTGTCTATTTTATGGCGCACACCCACCTTCGGATATCGCTTGGCCCAAACCCGCAACCAGAAACCAGACCAGACGGGTCACACAAGAATCGAGATCTTGTAAGATCCCTATCAGAATCTCCTCTCTTGGCCCCATCCCTAAATTCAGAAAAAAATATATTTAACCACAAAGGCGGTCGTTCATTAATTGAACAATTGGCTGGTCAATTTCTTGGAACTTCTTCTGCTAGAAGGGATGATGAAGATACAAGAAGTGGAGGAAATTTTCGCTCTAATAGAGGAATCTCTACATTTGGGTCAGCAGAAAATAGTAGAGGAGGAAATAATTTGGATGGAATGGTTGGACAGGTGAATAAATTAATAAGTGAAGAAAATAGGCCAAAAATAGGAGAAAAATGTGAGGGAAGGAAGGGGGCTCGTAATCCATATTTTGGCGTTTCTATTTTTTATGGCGCACACTTACCCTAAGATAATCAGAATTTTTAAAAATCGGAATTGTGGTTTTAAAAAATCAGAACTCTTCTGAAAAATTAATTCTGATTTTCAAAAAAATCAGAATGTTTAAAAATCAGAATTCTGTTTTTTTCAGAATTTTGAGAAATCGGAATTCTGATTTTTCAGATTTTTAAAAATCAGCATTCAAGTTTTAAAAAAATCAGAATTCTTCTGAAAAATTAATTCTGATTTTTCAGAATTTTTAAAATCAGGATTCTGATTTCCCATCAGAATTCTCTCAAAAATTTAATTCTGATTCTACTATAAATCGGAATCCATTCATATTTTTTGCGTTTGCAATTTTGGCGCACACCTAACCAAATATTCTCTTACATCACCGAGGTTGACCGCTGGTCATTAACCAAAACCCTCAGGGTTTTGCTCATCTTTCAATCATTTTTTCTACCCCTTAAGGCAATGCGTCTCTTCTCTGTAGACAATGGAAATAAAAATAATTTAATCACTCCTTCTGATGATAGGCGAAATTCTTACTCATCCTCCTCGTCTTCAAAATCTGTTGGTGTTTTTCCAAAGTTGGATCAACTATTTCCGGGTGCTCAAAAAAATTTTGGATTTAAACAGGGAGAAGGTTGTGTCCCTTTTCTGGGGGAATTTATGGTAATTAATTTATAAAGATTTTTTTCTGAAAAATATTTTTTGTCAGAAAATAGCCTATGGAAATTGTGTTAAGCAGGCGGATGAAAAAGTTGGTTATTTTTAAAGAGTTAAAATCAGAATTCTGACTGTAAAATCAGAACTTTTAAAATCAGAATTTTTAGAATCAGAATTCTGTTTTAAAAATCAGAATTTTTAAAATCAGAATTTTTAAAAATCAGAACTTTTAAAATCAGAATTTTTAGAATCAGAATTCTGTTTTAAAAATCAGAATTTTTAAAATCAGAATTTTTAAAAATCAGAACTTTTAAAACCAGAATTTTTAGAATCAGAATTTCTAAAATCAGAATTTATACCAATCAGAATTTTTGAAAATCATAATTCAATTTTATACAATCAGAATTTTTTCAAAAATTAATTCTGATTTTATACAATCAGAATTTTGACCTTTAAAAATTCTGATTTAAAATTATTAATCAGAATTCTGATTCATATACCAATAAAAATTTTGTACAGACATGGGATACTTGGGGAAAGGAAATAAACAACGCATTAACTGGAGGCAAGTTTTTTCAATAATTCTGAAAAAATCAGAATCATTTTACAGGCAAAATAGACCTTTTGAGGGCAAGCAAAGAAACATGTAAAATGGGCGCAGAAAGGGAACATTGTGGACAATTGAGGAGGGCAATTAGTGGATGTGACATTCTTGGTTGGTAGGGGAAAGGTGTGGGGAGGGGGGGGGGGTGAGAGGGTATTTTTTGTGGTAATCAGACAAGGAATTGAGAGAAAATTGAAGACAAAAGACCGTTGGATCTCGAGAGGGAGTCCAAAACAGAATTCCGATCGGGGCCGGGTCTAGGATGTGCGTCAAAATTTTCGCGAGTACGTCAAAGGCCAATTTCAAATTTTTACCGCAAATCGTCAAAATGCCCTCCCTCGCATTAGTAAGATTCCGAACATGGCTGTGCGCCATGGCTTTTGGCATCCATTTTGCACTTGGCTTACATTTAAAAATTTGGCGTTTTTTTTGGCGCACAGCCCCGATTCCGAATTCCTAATGTTGATAGTCCACAGCCTCTAGACTGTCCAGTCCCCTCCATAAGTCATTACCCTATTGTCTCCCTCTCCAATTGTCATCCCTCCTTTAAAAATTTTTTTTCTTTAAAGGCTCAATAAATTTGGCTACAAATATGCAACGGTGAGTAAATCGGTAAAATAAAAAAGAAAAAATTTTCTTTTAATTTTTACAAATTTTTTAACAAAAAAGCTCTGTTTCTCGTTGTGATCAAGTAACTGGATTAATTGATCGAGTAAGTTTGGAAGGAACAATCCAGAAGGTTTTAACTTCCCTAATGGTCACCCCCTCTTAGTGGTCACTCCCTCGTATCATGAATATGTTGGCCTTCCTGCCATAGTAAAGCAACTGGGCTATAGCTATTTCTCTCCTTTAGCTAGTGCAAAAGGTTATTCGGCGGCTGGGAGCGAACCAGCATCTTCAGTAGACCGGACTGATGTGTTGGCCATTACACCACGCGCCTACTGTATAGCCTTAGGAATTAAATAGCTATATGCTTTACACCATATCATTTTTTGTCCTTTGATCCCCTTTATATTTGGAGTTGACCACCAACGGAGATATGCTTCTGGGAGTCAAACTTCTCTGGGTTGGACCCAAAATGAGGGGGTTGTGGGAGATAATTTTTTAAATTTTTTAAAGAATCCTTCAACTGTGCTGAGCCAAATGAATGGTCTAATTAATGGTGAAATGGCACAAGGAATTTTAAACAATTTTCTTGGATAAGAGAAGTACCCTAGAGGGAAAAGGAAAGATTGAAGTTGTTTGATTTTAACGCGGGTGATTTTGTAAGGAAGAGAAAATTTGTATTTATTTTTAAATATTTTTTTCATTAGTCTTGTATATTTTAAAAATTATTTTTTTACATTTAATCAATGTTACTGATGTTTACTATCCAAGTTTACATATAGTACGTACCATTTTGTCTTTTTTACCCTGGGTACTTTTTTGTCTTCTTTAGCGGTTGTACTATTTTGTCGCTGTTTAGCAGTTGTACCATTTTGTCAATTTCTTAACTGTGAACCATTTTGTCGTTGTACTATTTTGTCGATTTTATCCTTAGTTCCATTTTGTCTCTTTTTACCTATAGTTCCATTTTGTCTCCGTTCAACATTTTGTCATTTTTTGCCCTCTGACCATTATGTCTATAGATGAATTGATTTTATTTTCTTTGTTTAATTTCAAAACACCAAATTATTATGGGTAACTTTTTCTTTAAAATTATTTAATTTTTAATTATTTTCTAAATATTTTTTTAAAGAAATGTCTACATCAAGTTCATTAAATGTAATAGCAAAAATCCCTCAATCAGCAATTTGTTCAATAAGTAATTTTCTTTTGTCAGACAAGAAACTTGAAGAAAGGAATTGTTCAAAATCTTTGGAAAAGGATTGCGAAAAACCTGTTGATTTTACTAATGGATTTGAAACGGTTTGCTTTTCTATTTTATTTTTAAAGGGGGAGGGGGTTTCCTTGGATTAACGGGTCCAGTCCAGACGTGGGCGAAACGTTTCGTTTCGTTTCGTTGTTTCGTATGTTTCGTATGATTTTTACTGTTTCGTCTCGTTTCGTTACGAAACACTTTTAAATTTGTTTCGTTTCGTTTCGTTACGAAACACCTGTGATTTTTCAACGAAACGAAACAATTTTTTAAGCCTAAACTAAGGCCAAAATCTATAAAATTAACCATCTTTTATTGAAAATTAAAAAAATTTTCGCCTGCGGCGCTGAAAAAGGAAGATATCAATTACTTATATACTACAAATCCGTTTATACTCCACTCCCTAATCCGCATATACATATTACTTAATCGACGACAAATTCTATTACCGGACTCGCATCATAATTTAAAAATTGCGGATTGCGAGTTGCGGAAATACTGGAACCGGAACTTCCGGCGAAGCATTAGCTTATATCGCTCTCCTCTCGAAATGGAGATATGGAGACAATTTGGGTAGGCAATGGAGCAAGATAGTGAATTTTTTGGCCTACGGCCTTTCAAAATTTTAAAATTTTTCGTCTGCGGCGCTTAAAATAAAATTTTACTTGAAAAATATTAAATTTTATTTGAAAAAAAGCGTCGCCAAAAATTCGGCTTCGAAAATGATTGACCCCCCCCCCCCCTTCCCCGAAAATTTTCCTTGCTACGGGCCTGGCTTATGGGACAAATTGTTGTAAATAAACCAAAAACTAAATCATTTATAAATCGTAGGCGACTAATAAAGTATTTGAGGTCGAATAATTGCGAAATAAATGAAGTTTTGAAAATTTTTTGAATATTAAAATGTTTCGTTTTGTTTCGTTTCGTTTCGTAAGATTTAGGTTGTTTCGTTTCGTTTCGTTAACGAAACGATTTTAAAAAAATTTTGTTTCGTTTCGTTTCGTCAGAAAAAAATTTTGAGTTTCGCCCAGGTCTGGTCCAGTCTTCATTCCTTTAGGTGTGGGCTAAATTTTTATTCGACTGGAATTTTACTTTTGGAAGTCCCCCTTTTTTCCCTTTCTATTGCCCTGACAATTTTTGAACTTTTTTCCTTCCTCTGTTGCTCCCTTTCTCATGTTCAATTTGAGTTTAATATTGGGATCAAAAGTAAAGCTAAAAATGGTCAGGTTAATGCGAAGGAAGAAACGGGGTGACTTTTAAATTACAATCGTCAAATCTAGATACGTCGGTAAGTTATCTTTTTGGAAAGGCATTCTATTAAAAAATAGGACCTTACCCTCTATTTATTTTTTAAAAATAGCAGGACAGCAGTCTCTCCCCGTGAGATCCTTCCACGGGTCTGGGGAGCTGTCTCTCATTGTGGAACATTTTCCAATCCAAGTGTGTATTTTATACTGAAGTCCGAATAATTTCTCTAAAAATTTAAGAGTGACGACTCAGACACCTCACAACAAGTCCAACAAACCAAATGGCTTCGTCACACTTTAATCGTTGCCAGGCCAAATTTATCAATTGTAGTAATTGCCTCTGCCCAAAGATTTGTAATTTTGGAGAATTCGGAGTCGAAAACAATGGAAATTTCAACTCGAGTGGATGCCACAAAAGAAGATTTTGTTTATATTAGTGCCTTAAATGCTTTTGGAATTTCCTCGTTAAACTCTTCGAAGAACTCGGAAGATAACTGGACGTGTATTTGCGTGGTTTTTTTTAAATTTTTTTTTGTTAATTTTTGGTTACCCCCTTCCCCTCCCCTCATTTTCCTTTTTCTCCTTTCTTGTTTTTCTCCTTTAAATTGGTCAAAGACAAATAATGGTCAGGCTATGGGTCTATCTCGTGACTTACTAGCTTTTACATTTAGCCAGGAACCAAAGAATCCGAAAGGTGCCCAACTCGTCCAGTTATGGGACTTGTGTAGTTTACGTCCCATATGGTCCGCCCCTCTTCTCTCTTTTTTTATATGTGGCAGTCGAGTCTTTAAAAAAATTTTTAATTTTAATTTTAGTGTTTAAGCAATGGCAATTTGCTATTTTATTCACAAGAGGGAAAGCTGTTGTTTACTGAAAAGTGTGCGTCTACTTCCATTGTGTCGGTCAAATTATGCCCGTCTTTTTGTCCTGGAAATCAAGGTTTTTAGTTTTATTTGGGTTATTTAGGGAAGAAATTGGGGAAATTAATGGGTTTAAGTTGTGGTGTAGTGGTAGTAGTGTGGACTTTTAGTTGTCACTTGAGTTAAGGCCTCTTGCTGTGATATTATTTTTTGGATTTTTTTAGAGATAGTATGATTAGAAGTGAATGTTGTCAAGGTGTATTTGTCATGATGTTTTAGTGGTAGTGTTGGGGACTCTACCTTGAGGGTGTTAGGTAAGGTTGCGGATCCGGAAAAAGCTGGATATTTGAAGATTTCCAACTATCTGTTAATCTTTAGGGTATTAGGATTCAGGCGTTTTGGTGTCCTAGGGTTTTCTATTTTTTCTAACGCTTTACGTAATTATGAAATTTAAGGAGATTCTAGGATGTCAGTATAATTTTTATTTTCTTGATAAGGGAATTGATTATTAAATTTGTCGATTTCCCCTTTAATCTTTCTTTTTATATTTTTTAGAGCTCGTTTTATTAACCGCTGATTCAAGACTAATAGCAATAGAAGGTTTATCTTTATGTGTAGCCCTTAGAGCAGCTTGTGTATATATTTCTACTGGTGAAAGAACAGCAAAAGAATTATCTTCAGTTTTACAATTAAATGCTCAACAATTTAATTTGTACAATATTAACGGGGTAAACGATGTTTTGTCTACGGGAATAACTCAAGTTTGTGCTTTTGATCAATACATTGGTGCTTTTATGGCTGGTGGACGTTCGGTTTGTGGGATTTTTTGAATTTTAAAAATAGTGGGGTTGGTCTAGTTTATGAGTCCTACAAAGCCTTGAGAGTTTAATGAGGGTTTAAAATCTTTTTGGGGGTATTTTTATGAATCTTAGGGGGATCGTGAGCAGTGATGCGGAATTTCCAAAATTTTGCCGGCTCCAGTTTCAGTTCTGGAACACCATTTTTTAAATTTTGCCGGTTCCAAACCGGGTTCAGACATCTACCGGCTCTACAGTTCCAGAACTGGAACCATGCCTGTTCTAGAACTGGAACCCCCGCATCACTGATTGTGAGGTCTCGGTTACCAGACTCTTCGTAGTAGACCATATTGGCTCTTATAATTTACGAGTCCAGCGGAGGTCTGTTATCTTTAGTGTTGATTTTTATAACTTTAAAAGGTTCGTGAGATCTGTAGATGCATCAGACTCTTTGGATTGTTTTTATTAGACTCATTAATTAGGGGATATAGTTATGGGTCCATCGGAGTTTTGTGATCCTTTGGATGTTTTTTCATGGGTTTTGGAGAGGTTTTAGTTGTACCAGGCTCTGGATTAGATCGGATTTTCATTGGACTCATAAACTAGAGTCAGAAAAATTATTTTTAAGGAGCCAGTAACACGTGAACAATCCCCTTCATATCTTCAATATATTTGCACTGTTGGCTCAAGAGGAAAAGGAGAAGAAGGAGCGTCGAGTTATGATTCTTCAAGTAAAAGACAAAGAGAATTTGTAAATTTTGTTTGGAGAAGTACACAACCTTTGCCTGGAACTTTAACTGATGCTTTGTTTTCATTGACTTCAAAGGTTTTAAAAATTTTTTTAAATATTATTTTTTCTTTAGCTATCTAGGTTTTGGGGGGTTTTTTGGTTGAGAATTTTTTTAAAAATATATTTTTGGAACTTTGGGGGTTTTTTTAATTTTGCTGGTACTCCTAGGTTATCTATTTTAGATCCCGGATTACTTTTAAATAGACTCATGATACCCTCGAAATCCTATCCCTGATACAGTCCTTGCTTTGGCACATGATTTATTATTGAACTAGATTCAAGTAGTTGTTCTGGTTACTCGAAATTCGTACTTTTTATTGACCCCGAGATCTGGCCCGAGTAAAATTTGGAAACTCGACCAGAAACCCCGATCGACATGTTTTCTGATTTAAACATAGAGGGCAAACGCTGTTCCCATTTTCTAACTTTTTTTGTTTAAAATGGGGCCATGAACAAGACTGCACGCAATCGAAAAAAAAAGATTCCGCAACTCGCAATTTTTTAAAAAATCCGCAAATGCGTGCAGCCCTGGTCATGAAACATATTTTTAAATAACTTTTTACTCATTAAAAAATTTTTTAAAGATTTCTAACAACATTCCATCATTTGGTTTTCGTTCATTTTTGGGTGTAGGCACATCACGTATTGACCAACCACGACAAAAACAGCAACTTTCTGATTCACCTACAACCCAAATTTATTCAAAAAGTTTTTTAAAAGATGGAAAAAGAAAATCTGAACGAACTTTTGTTGCTCCAAATGGGTGGAATTTAATGGTTATAGTTGATAATATTGGAAGGATTTTGCTTGTAAATACAAGAATGAGAAGAATTTTGAGGATTTGGAAAGGGTTTGGAGATTTTTTTAATTTTTTTTGGAGTTAGGGCAGATTTCTCTATAAGATGTCTTTCAATATAAGAGATTTTTTAGAAGTTCATTGTGTGGGGAAATTTGCCCACACAATGTCTTGTATTTAAGATGCCCTTCGATTTACACTCCCTATGTAGAGTGTCTAAATGCCCAAACTTTAGATGCCAAACCTCTAAAAGCACTCGAAATGTCAAACAAATAGGCGTTCGTCATTTCGATGTCGCATTTCGACTTTTTGGCATTATATCTTCTAGGTCACTCTCAATTTAAGAGCTTGTCCATTGGCATGGGGAAGCTGTTTTTTGTTAAAACTGCGTTTCTTGTTAAAAAATTTTCCAGTTCTGAGGGTATAATTCAGTGTTTGTTTTTTAAGTTATCGCCAAGCTCGTTGTGGTTGGATAGAAAAACAACAAAGAAGTTTAGCTCCTTCTCGAACATCTAGCTCATCCAAAGCCCTTTTTCTCATCATTTATGTTCCTCGTAGAGGTTTACTTGAAGTTTGGTCAATGCAAAATGGTCCAAGAATATCTGCTTTTGAGGTGGATGATGGAAGATTAATTTCAATTAATTGTGGAATTTTGTGTGGAAATGATGAAATTTTGCAGGGGAATAAGGCTAATTCTTCAAAGTCATCAAATGTGATTTTTCTTTCTTCAGAAGGTTTATTTTATGTAAGTTTTTCTTGGTTTTTGAAATTAGGGCAATGGTCTTTTGTCTTTTTCTATAAATAGGGTGAAGGGAACATGAAAAGTTTGTTCCCTTCACACGAGGTGACTGGGACAATAACGTTAGTCCAGGTTCCCTTCGCACTGAATAGTTTAAGGATCGTGTTATAGCTGTTCCTTTCACACTACATGTAGAGTGAAGGGAACATTGAAGTTAATCCAGATCTCCTTCACATTGGATATAGTGTGAAGGACTATGTTCCTTTCACACTATATATAGAGTGAAGGGAACATTATAGGGGATAAAGTCTATGTTTTCTTCACATTACATGTAGAGTGAAGGGAACATCAAAGTTAAATCCATGGGCCCTTCACACTAGATATAGGGTGAAGGGAACATTATAGGGGACCAAAGCCTATGTTCCCTTCACACTACATGTAAAGCGAAAGGAACATCAAAGTTAAATCATGTTCCCTTCGCACTACATATAGTGTGAAGGGAACATTTCAGATATCTTCACCTTCTTAAAAATTTTTTTTAAAGTCAATTGATGTCCCTTTCAACTCATCAAACAATCCTACAACTATTGACAAATTAAATCTGACCAAACTTGACCAGGGTTTAAATTGATTTTTTTTGTAAAATTAGAAGCAAACAAAAAACGGTTAATTGTGATATGTAATTTTAAAATTGAACCCCCAGAAAAATTGTTTTGTATATTAGACACAAAAAATCCTTTTATTTTTCTCCTTTATTTTTTTTATAAAATGCTAAATATGAAGAGGGAAATAGTTCTTTTTTATCTCCCTAAAAGGTCCGCAAGTTTTCTGTCCGCAAATTAAAATTTTTTTCAGAAAGGCTCAAAATGGTCAAAAAGCTTATTTTAATTTTTTTCGATGATTTTAAGTAAATTAGGAAGTGACATGCTCACAAAATAAGCTTATTTTGAAAAAACTTGCGCATTAAAAATTGCGGATAGTTCGGGGAAGTTTTACGGACTTTACTAAAGTGCCTAAACATTTTATTTTTTTTTAAATTTTTGAATAAAAAATTAAAAAAAATTTTTTTTGGCTACATTACACGCTTTAATAGCGTCTTTAATTTTTTTTAAATTTTATTTAGTCCTTTAAAATTTTTATAAAAATTTTTGAGTTTATTTAATGCTTCGATTTAATGTTCCGCATTCTTGTAAAAATTATGCTTCTACTTTTTCACTTTGTTTTGGACGAGTAAATTTGAAATGTTTCTATTCTACCCTGTCTCAACAAGCAGAAGAAGAACATTTTTCTCCCCAATTTCAACCAATTATTGGACTTGAGGTTTTTTAATATTTTATTTTTATTGAATATTTACGTGCTTTGGGTTATCCTAATCCTAGTTCTTGCTGACATTTATGCGGATTAAATCATTTGGTTTTAAAAAGGTCAGAGCATTTTGGTCTCAAAAAGGTCAGAGCATTTTGGTCTCATAATGGTCAGAGCATCCATACTACCCATTTATCTATCCATTGTGTTCAAGTAGGTTATATCTGCCCTTATTGGCCTTTTCTTGCTTTGACCCATATGAGTCTTTTTTGTATTTGACCTTTATGAGTCTGCATAAAAATGTCCGCAAAAACCGGGTTGTGTGACTGAAAAATAAGTACTATTTTTTCAGTTGCATGCACAAATCGCTTCAAATACCAAACTTTTTTCAGCAAGTTCTTCAGCACACAATGCCTCTGTTGAGTCTAACTGCCATGTTTCCATTTTTGTAAGGTTTATTTTTGAATTTTTGCGGCTTTTCAAAATTTTCTTTAGATCTGGGTTCGGTTGAAAAAATTCTGGGTCTATCATCGGGTCAGTTAGGAGTAGAGTTACCGGCCCGGTCCGAAAGATCGAGTCGGGCATCGTAAAAGACTCGGTCAGGCCGGCCCGAAAAAAATAACTCGAACGTCGGCCCGACTCGAAAACGGCAACCCTAGTTAGGAGGGTTAATTGTAAGAGGGAAAAGAGTCAGGTCTGGTATTGGAAAATATTTCGAATCGGGTATCGGTCGAAAATGGGCTGGTTTTCGGGTACTCCTTGACAGCCCTTGTCGCAATACACTGACTAAACCCATTTAAATTTCCTTTTGTGTTTAGGATTCAGCAATACCCGGCACACTTCCTCGTTTAAACAGCTCTTGTATTCATGTATTTTTTTACCTTTTTTTGCTGAGTTAATTTTTTTAATTTTTTAAAGAAATCCCTTTTGGCAGCCGTCCTCCTAAATTGTCAGGTTGCCGAGTTTTGCAGGTTTTTTTTATTTTAAATATTTGCTGGATTATTCCTTTCATTTTCAGATTTGACAGAAAGCATTACCTCTATCCAGACTTGCCTTTAGGTTTTTTTAAAAGTTAAAAAGCGTCTTTTTCCTTTGCTTTGTCAATGTCCGCAAGTTTCGTCCGCAAATAATTTTAATTTTTTCAATGAGGAATTATATCTAGGGGAAAGAGGAAGAAAAGAATAATGAGTTTTATGGGCTCAAAATTAACAATTTTAAAACTTGCGGACAAAACTTGCGGACTTTTTTTGTCTGCAAATTTTTTTGCGGACTTTTATTTTGTCCACGAAATTTTTGCGGACTTTTATTTTGTCCGCAAATTTTTCAAAATAATAAAAATTAAGTTTTAAAATTTGCGGACAAAACTTGCGGACTTTTTTTGTCCGCAAATTTTTTTGCGGACTTTTTTTGTCCGCAAATTAAAAAATAATTTTTAAGGCTACCAAATCACTCAAAAAGCTAATCCAATAGCTAAAAATGGTTATTTTAATTTTTATGTAAATTCAACGGATGAAGAAGACGACTCGGTTTACTACCAAAAATCTGTTGGAATAGAACAAATTCAATTAGAAATGGACAGTGGAAAATCTATAAGACATGGAAATTTGGACTTGATAGATTTAAATAGAGCGGGGATTGCTTTAATTGAAATTGTAACAGCTCCAGATTTTTACAATACAAATGAGGTTATTTGCTTTGTTGAACAGCTTAAAATGGCGCTTTCTCATAATGGAATTTGCTTGGGACAATTTCATGGTTTTTTTTATTTTTGAATATTAATTTGTGAAATGAGTTAACGTTGGGTGTGGCCTAGTTGATAGTGTTTTAGTCTTTTGGCTGGGAGTTTTGGGGGTTCGGGTTCTATTTGTGGCAAGGACCTTGGGGTGAGAAATATTTTTCTCTGTCTGTGGGCGCGCCGAAATTTGCGGATTTTAATTTGCGGACCCGAAATTTGCGGACCCGAACTTTGCGGACACGAATTTTGCGGACCCGAACTATGCGGACACGAATTTTGCGGATCTGAGATTTGCGGACCAAAAATTTGCGGACCGACAATAGAGTCTACTGAACCTCGGAAATTTCAAAAATTTTAGCCTGCGGCGTTAATTAGGATGAATTCAGGCATCATGACCTTATGAAATGGACATATAAATGATTTCTTCAAGGAATTTTCACGATTATTTAAATTATGAAATAATTTTAAGATAAAAAACTGATAAAAATGTTGAAAAATCAAGAAAAAATCTTGATCTAGTACGGATCATGGTAAACTCTGCCGGAATCATCGAAGAATAAAATTTTTAATTTTTTCTTTTTACTCAAGTGTCGTTCCTAAAATCTTGGTTCCGCAAAAATCAGGTCCGCAAACTTCGTGTCCGCAACCTTCGGGTCCGCGACTTTCGTTCCGCAAATTTCGGGTCCGCAAAGTTCGCGCCACGCTGTCTGTGATCAAAGTGTCTTTCCCTCTAAAAATTTTTTAAATAATTTTTTAGTAGTGTGGTTAAGTTGGTAGGTAGTTTAGATTTTGGGATGGAAGGTAAGGGTTCGATTCCTATTAGTCGACGGGCCTTGAGGAAATATTTAATTTTCATTTTTTTCCTGTTTTTCAAGAGGCCAACCTCCAAAAAAATTAAAAAAAAATTTTTTAGCCCCCTGAATTTTTCCTTGGATTTTTTAAAAATTTTATTAAGCCTCTAAAAAATTTTTTTTCTATATTTAGAAGGCAATTTAAGAGTGGATGCAAATGTTTCAGTTTCCAAAAATGGTGAAAAAGGATCCAAAGTTGAACTAAAAAATTTGAGTGGAATTGGCCATATGTATTCTGCTTTAAATAATGAAATTAAAAGACAACTTGGAATGGTGAAAAATGGAGAATTAATTGAGGAAGAGACTAGGGCTGTTGATGAACAAGGGTTTGATTTTTTGTTGATAAAATTATCAAATAGATAAATTGATAAGATATTTAAAATAGGTGTCTTAGCGAGTGTTTTTCCTCCCCTTTCCATGAATTCCAAATATCTTTTGCCGGTCGGAATAGGGGAAGGCAGCTTTTCTTATGGCCGTTTCAGACTCAGGCCATATTTTGGGCCATAACTTTTTTGATTCTTATCCGATTTAGTTAATTAATATACCAATCGAAAGCTCTGGATACGAGGATTATTTTAACTAACAGGACTGATTTGATCAGATCATTCTACTTAAAGTTAGAGCCGAATAAATATCGAAATTCACGATTTCTCGCACTTATTCGGCTTTAACTTTATGTAGGTCTATCTGATCAAATCAATCCTTTTAGACAAAATAATCTACACATCCAGAGCTTTCGATTGATATAATACTTATTTAAATCGGTTAAGAATCAAAAAGTTATGGCCCAAAATGTGACTAAAACAGTCAACCAATAATCTGGTGTCTGTGGTCAACTGGATAGTGATGGTGACTACACCCACAATTTATATGAAGGTTCGAATCCTTTTGAGGGAAATAATTTTATTTTGGCCTATTTTTAATTTTTTTTAATTTTAAAAATATTTTTTTTTGAAATTTCGAAAATAATTTTTAATATATTTTTTAAGAAGAACATTTTCTGCTCGTTCAAAAGGCTCAGAATTGGATTATCGTTTCATTCCAGAACCAAACATTCCTCCCTTAAAAATTGAACAAAATATGTTAAAAGAGGCAAAAGACTCAATTTTGTTGGATTTTCCATATTTGGATTTAATTGAAAAATATAAATTCCCACCAAATTTTACCATGGAAATTTTGGTTTTTTTTTAAATTATTTTTGAAATTTTAATTATTTTTTTTTAATTTTTAGAATTGCAAAAAATTGGAAAAATTAATTCAAATTTATCTTGACTGTGGACCTCCAGTTTGTTTTGATTCTTTTTTTCTTTCTATTTTAATTTTTTTATATCCGACTTTTAAAATTTACTTCTCTTAACTTTGTTAATAATAAAATAAAAATCTTGCGGACAAAATTTCGGACGTTTTTCTAAATGCGGACCTTTATAAGTCTTCTTAATCCTCTTTTTTTGAGGACTGCCCTCCCTCCAATTCCCCTCCTGCCCTTCAATTCCCCTTCCATGGATTCAAAAAAGTCGTATAAAATCGAAAAAAAATTTTTGCGGACAAAACTTGCGGACATTTTTTTTCAAATAAATTTTTAAAATTCGTTTTTTGTTCTAAATAACTCTTCAAATTTCCACAAAATCAAAAAAAGTCGAGTATAAAAATAAATTTTATTTAATAAAAACATTTTTAGGTTCCATTTAAACACTTCAAAAAATGGTTAGACGAATTAAGATATTTATGTGAAAAAATATATATTAATGAAACTAATTATTTTCCTCCAACAAAGTTTGTTTTTCTTATTTTTAATAGAGAAAATTTTTCAAAATAATTGCCAGAAAGGTGTTTGGGATAGGTTAAATTCCTCCAAACTTCCACTAAACTTCCATGCTTTTCTCTTTTTTTAATAGAAACCAGTTTTTGATTTGCGGACAAAATTTGCGGATTCCTGAACTTGCGGACTTTTCCCTTGCCAAAATATTCATCTTAATCATTCTTTTCTCTTCTCAATTTGCGGATTCCTGAACTAATTGCTGACTAAACTTGCGGATTTTTTTAAACTTGCGGATTTTCTCTTCAATTACTCCAAACCTTCAAAAATTTATCTTTAAAAATTTAATTTTAGTATTAAACTCCTTCATTGTTTTGCTCAAATAGTTCATTTGACTTATACTGGAAAGTTGACTAATTTAATTGCAATTGATTTAATGAGAGAATTTGCAGAGGCTGGAGAAGGAGAGGAAGACTATGATTACAATCAACTTGGAGATGAAATTAAAGAGGTTTTTAATATTTTTATATTTTTAGAAAAAATGTCCAAGAGGGTCAGTGGTAGCAAAATGTAAAAATTGACTAATTCTGGGCAAAAAGTGTCCAAAAGGGTCAGATTTTTAATGGGGGGTTCGAACCTCCGAACTTTTAGATATAGAGAACATCAGGTTTTCCCACTACACCAGAAAAATGAATAGTCCTAAATTAAATATCTCGGTATTGTAGGGAAGGTCAACCCAGCTAACTAGCACTAGAAGAGGATTTTAAGATCTATTAGGTGAGATGGTGAAAGTAGCAGATCTTAGTCATCAGTATCTTAGTCAGTAAGACACCTGTGTGCGCGGCAGAGGTTAGTCGAAAATTACGACGGTGCCGGAAACCTGAACTGTAGGAACTCTGAATTTCGACCGACCTCTGGTACGCGGGGAGCGAAAGCCATCAAAGAATAACTCCCACTAGGTCACAGGAAACCTTTATTTACCCCGCGGTATGCATGGAGCGAAAGGCACCAAACAATAACTCCCATTAGATCACAGGAAACTATTTTACCCCACTTTTTTACTATATTTTCGTCAAAATTCACATTTTTTCTAATTTTCCAGCTGATTCAAAATCGCAATCTTTGGCGCATTACAAATTCACAACAAATAGATAAACTTGTTTTGGATGCAGTTTTGGATCACACACCAGATTTTATAGATAATATGATTGCTCAAAAATCAAAACAAAGAAGTAAACCCTTTGCAAAATTAAAGAGAGAAATTATTGACAAAAGCAATAAAAGAATTGCTCCAGAAGATGTTGATAACTCTATTTGGAGGGTAGTGGATTTGTCAGGTATAGAGAAAGACATCCCCTCTCTTTTTAAGGATTAAAAATGACAAATAAAAATTGTTTCACCATGTGGGGTTCGAACCTTGGACCTATAGAGGCTGTAGAAATTTGGTTTTCCCACTGCACCAAAATTACCTTGGGGAAAGAAGTTAAATTTAAGGAAATGTAAATAAAAATTGTTTCCACCTTGGACCTATGAACACTAAAAAACAAACGCTTATCCCACCACACCAAAAGAGCTATGGTGAAAGGAGTAGAGACAAACTCTTTGAAATTCATTTTAAATTATAAAAATTGTGCAAAAATAATTTTTTCTCATGTGGTTCGAACCTTCGTCTCATAAGGGATGAAATTGTCTATTTTCCGCTACACCACGAGACTGTATGGAAGAGTAGAAATTCTGCTATGTATTTATTTTCTTGAAAAGTTTTAATGCGCAAAGATAAACTGCTGTGGTGTAGTGGGAAAAGATGAGATTTTTACTAATAAAGGTTCAAGGTTCGAGTCCCAATGGCGGTAAATTATTTTATTTTTCATATTAAAATGTTTTTATGGATTTTGGATGACTATAAAAACGAAATTTTATTTTTTAAATTTTATTAAGAGTATCACAATGGCAGTTTAGTGATATATAAGTATTTATATAAAAATTAAGAGAATTAATTAAATTTTAAATTAATTTTGAGTGGCCATAAAAGTTATTAAGTGAGGAAAATAAAAAATAAAATTAAGAGTATGAAAGACACAAACTTTTTTGTTTTTTAAATAGGGAAAGGCACGAATAAAAAAAAGTGAATTTTGGAAAAAATTTTCTCCTTGAGGGCACCAGAAGACCTTTAAGATCAGCTCCCTATTGATCAAATGACTCAATGATGCCCATCCAGAAGGTCAAAATTCCCTGGAATACGTTGACATGCACAATTTCACGAGAAAATTCTGTCTTATGTCCTTTAAGCCCATAAAATTTATTCTTCCGCTCCACCGATATCCCGTTAAAATCCTTCCTTATCAGCCTAAATATTTAAAGTAGGGGAATTTGCCCTTTTGGGAGTTGACCTTTAGAATCCTTTGATCAATAAGGAGTGACCCCTAGGGAGTTGACCTTCTGAAGGTTGACCCCTTTAAAGTGGCTGCAAAACAACTTTTTGCACGTCAGAATATGAAGGGGGAACCAACAAATTTTCTGCTGTTTGATCTCCAATTTGTTGTGAATTTTGTTGTTGTTGTTGCTGGGGAATAGCTACAACTCTCATTTGATCAGAACCATTGGACATCTTAAAAATTTTTTTATATTTTTTTTCGACACTCTTTGGCTTTTCCCTCACCGTTATAGTCGCGTCCTCGGGTGAATAACACTCGTATTTTGGACATATAAATTTTGTTGGGTACTGGTTCACGTATTGAGGGACCTGAAAATGATTGTAAAAAAATTTCCGATCTCTTTTATAATTACAAAATTGCAAAATGGTCAGAACCAAAATTGTCAACGTCCAAAGCGGGAAACCAAAAATGCGCAGGTCCAAAAATTAACATTTAGGGTTTGACCATTTTGCATTCTGGCATTTTTGGTTCTGACCGATTTGCAATTTGACCATTTTGCGTCTTTGACATTTTAAAATTTACAAAATTCACCTGTTGTTGAGGAAATCCAGCAGCTACAGCAGCAAGTGATATTTGGTCGAAATGGTGGTAATGATTTGGGGGTAATACACCCAGCATTTGTTGGGGATTTGAAGGCCAGAAAGAACGTTGTTGTTGCTGTTGAGACATTAATGAAGGTGGGGTTGTTGTTAGATGAATTGTGGCATTATTACTGTTGCTACTGTTATCGCTCAAAGGAGAATTGGTGTTTGAACTGTTAGGAATGAATTTTCTGGATTTATCATAATGAGTTTTTACATTTTGACATTTTTGAGCTTTTTTACCATTTTGAGTTTTGAACATTTTAAACCATGCCATTGTGAAATTTGACCATTTTACAACTTTTCATATTTATAAACATTGCGAATGTCAAAATGGTAAAATGTCATAATGGTAAAAATGTCAAAATGGTAAAAACTCAAAATGCCAAAAATTAAAAATCTCTAAACTTACGTATTATTCCCTCCCGAATTCCTTTCGTAGGTGGTCGTTCCACAATTATTATGTTTTTGACTTTGTTGTTGTTGTTCGCCCGCAGCACTCAATATTCGTGCAATATTCGAATTTACTTGATTATGGGCTCCATTAGAATTGTTGTTTCCCGGGGGAAGTAAAACTTGACGTTTTGCCTGTTGGTGGGAAGTAAAGTTGCAGTTGTTGGAGCCATCAGAAGAGCGTTTTAAGGACTGAAATTTCAAAATAGTAAAATTAAAATGTTAGGGTATCAAAATGGTAAAACTAAAAAGTGAAGTTTAAAAATGGTAAATATAAAAAATGCAAGGATTCCAAAACGGTCAATGTCAAAATGGTAAATTTTAAAAATGGTCAATTTCAAAATAGTAAGAGCATAAATTTCGTAACCCCAAACGTTAAAAACTCTCACAGTTCTTTGTTGATGCTCAATAGAAATGGGCAATTCCAGGGCAGTGGCATTATTACATCTCTTCTTCGCGCACAGAGCCCCAGCCATATATTTTGAATTAAAAAAGCGTCTATCCAAACAAACAAGGCATATTCTACAATCGGGGCCTCGACAATCTTCACAAGCATTACAGCCAATTCTTGCTTTGAAGGTTGGGGCGTCTCTCTAAAAATTTTGTGACAAAATGAGAAAAATTCCACTACTGGGCATTTTGTAATTTAGAGATTTTGACATTTTTCTGAAGAGATTTTTCAAAATATCTATTATTTGATCAATTAATCTTCCCATTTTTCGTTCCTAATTTTAAACAGTTTTAGCCTATTTTATGAGGGCTGGTCAATTAGTTTGCTCCCTGTTCCCTTTATTTTTTACTCCACTTTGTGACATTGGGTGGCTGGCACTTACTGATACGTAGAAAAAAAATTTATAGAGAAGGAACGGATAAGAATTAGACTGATAGCAAATTGAGTATGAGAAAAGTGGGGGACCTCATTATGAGGTATTCTCTATTTAACACTCCCATTATAAGGTACCCTCTATTTAAGAAACACTCGTTATAAGGCCCCTTTTCAGCCCATCCCAAGAGGCATCTCACAATGAGGTCTGACTGTATAACTTTCAATAATCTCTCCAAATTCACCTGTAGTCTATTCTCCAACACACGTAAACACCTTCTTTCAACACACGATTGTTTCTTTACTCCAGGGCCACCAAATTGAGGGCTATCCTGACAATAAGTACATTGCCCACAAGGTTTGCACTGACACCCCCTACAAACACCACAACGTTGAGAACGATTAATTGAAGAAGTGGAAGTAATGGAAGATGAAGGGCCTGATGGGTGTGAAGAGGAGGAGGAAGAGGATGCCAAATGACTTGAATATCCGTTCTGAAAAAATGGGAGATATTAGAGTCTGGGGTAAGAGTAGAGTAACTCGAGGTTGAGGTCTTGAGGCCATATTTTAGGCCATAACTTTTTTCATACTTAACCGATTTAGATGATTATTGTTTCAATCAAAAGCTCTGGATTTAAGGATTATTTTGTCTAATAGGGTTGATTTTATCAGAGCATCCTACAAAAAGTTACATTTGGGTAAGTGCGCGCAATCGTGATTTTTGATATTTATTTAGCTGTAACTTTTTGTAGGTTGATCTGATCACATCAATCTTGTCAGGTAAAATAATCCTCACACCAATAGCTATAAATTGATATAATGCTCATCTAAATCAGCTGAGAATCAAAAAAGTTATGGCCCAAAATATGACCTCGAGAGTGAACCGACATTAGAGCATTGTATCAAAACTCACCCTATGTGTTGAACTGCCATTTTGTTGAGATTGGGGATGTAATATATGCCCACCACCCATTAAACGTTGACCATATCCTGCAGCTATGGAGGCTGCCAAATGTGGGGGCATAGAACCAGTGGGGGCTGAAGGCATCGATGTAAATTGTTGCTGAGCATTAGGGTGACAAAAAAGGCCTGAAAGTGAGGGGAAAATTGATTTGAGGGGTGAAAAAGAGATCATAAATTTTTTAAAAATGATTTGGAGATAGTAAAAGTTCGTTTTCAATCAAAAAATTAAAAAAGAAAAATATCGGGCAACGAGCGGATTCGAACCTCCGATCCGATTTTCTACCATTCTTGTGTAGCCTAAAACACTACCACTTGGACACAATGCAACTTAACTACTTTTAATTAATTCAATTATTAGTCATTCAGCTTTAAAAAAATATTTTTCCAAGTCATTACTTAATTGCCGAAACGAAACATAAAATGACGTCTTTCATCCATTTTACAGTAATCTCCCCCTATTTTTCCCTTAATTTCCCTTAATTCTCTCCCAAATTTTCATTCTTGTCTCTCTCATTTTTACACACTATTTTCTAAATTTCTACCAAGATTAGCAAATGCCTGCATTGTTTCTGTTTGTTGTTGTTGAGGTTGTTGAACTACAAAACCTCCCCCATTAGACTGGAAAAAGGCTTGTTGTTGCTGCTGTGAATATGTTGGTGATGAAGTATTCGAAGTCTGTTTTTGTCTACCTTCCATTAAAGAAGGCTGCTGATTTTCGTTCTCAACAATTTCTTTTTTAATAATTTTTTGGTGGTGGTGTTGCTGACTTTCCATCCGCGCGGAAAGCGTGCGGAAAAAGTTGAAAAATTTTCTAAAAATTTTTTAAAAATGTAGAAACATGTAAAAATTGGTTTTCAACCAAAAAAGTTGAAAAGAAAAATAACGGGGAACGAACGGATTCGAACCTTCGTCCTAACTTCTAAGCTTCCTAGAAAGCTTAGAATACTAACCACTGCTACACAAAACTCTAGAAAGAACAATGAACACGCAAAAGTTGGTTTTCAATCAGAAAATTTAAAAAGAAAAATAACGGGCACTGGGCGGATCCGAACCTTCGACCCGAATTTCCGACCATCCTAGAAAGCCTAGAACACTATCCAATAGGACACAAGTAAGGCTAGTTAAATTTAATTAAAACAATTATTAACTCCTTTAGGGGAAGATTGGGAAATTTGGAAGGGCCAAGAAGATATCAACAGATCATTGAAAGGGAATATTGAGGGATTGAAAGAGAGAGTCTCGACTTACTAAGAGTTGGCACAGACTCACAATGCTGCGCACTATAGGTTCTAAAATACAGAACTGCGTAAAGCTGGGTACTCCATAGAGCTGAGTGTATTTATTCCCCATAATCTCTCTAAATCCCTCTAAATCCCTCGATTTTCCTTTCAAAAGTTATGAAGTCTTTAGGGTCCAGATTTTTCCAAAATTTTTTAAAAAGTTGTGTGTCGTCTTTATTCGCAAAAATTTTTAAAAAAGGAAGAACCAAAAAGAGCGATCGATGCAAAAATGTGAAAAAAATAAAAGGGGAATTGTGTTGTGTTTTTAGTTTATTTTTGAGAGAGAAAGAGAGGCTGGAAAGGAAAGATCGTGTCGTAAACGAAAAGAGGTATATATTTTGAAAATAAAAATGGAAAAAAAAGATGGAAGGAGATGGAGAGAGGCGCGGGATCAGGTCAAGGCCATCTGATTTTGAAAAAATTTTTAAAATCTAAAATGTCAACAAAGAAATGAGGTGGACATTTTGAAAATTGGACGTTTCGACGTTGGACATTTCGAGACATTGGAGGTTTAGAAAATGGACATTTTGACATTTATAACCAATTCGAAAATGGACATTACGAAAATCGACATTTTGAAAATGGGCCTTTAGACATTGGCATCTATGTAGTAGATGGGCATTTCCAAGAATAAAAATTGATCACATAGAGGCCCTAATCTTGATGATATTCGGTAGTGTAATACTCTACGATACTTGTAGACTACTTTCAGAACGTAGGGAACATGTTCCCTTCACACTACCCATAGTGCATAAGGAACATGCCTCTAGACCCAATTTATTGTACGAGTATTAGTTAAAGAATCTGAAGCTTTTTCACCATCAAATGACCACTTTGTGGTGATCTGTTGGGTGTTTTTTAAAGGTTGATCTTCTGAGCCTTCCCCCGTCTAAAAATAAATTTTTAAAAAATAAAAAGGAATGGACAATCGTGTGTGTAAAGGAATTGAGGGGGGGAAGACAGTTCGAGAGCGCGGAAAAAAGAGAAAAGAAAAAAGAGTTAATCCTTTCTCAAGAAAGGCTGGTTGTTGTGGACAGTCATATGTTTGTGTTGACCTAAACAAAAATTGGCCCGACAAACAATTCAAGTGGTGGGGGAATGTGATTGAAAAGAAAAAAATTTTTGTAGTTATAAGAATGTTTGTATAAAGAATTTGAGGGCTTTTTAGACTAAAAATAAAAATATTAAAAAAGGTAAAATAGAAGAAAAGTTAAGGGAGAGGGAAGGGGACTTTTAATACAAGATTAAACACAAATGAATTTTTTGAAAGAATCAAAATGTCAAAAGGAAAGATGGTCAGAAATTTCATAATGTCATGGAGTAAGTAGGACATACTCACTGAGTGTAGGGAACACGTTCCCTTCGCACTACCCATGGAGTATATCGAACATGTTCCTTACAGACTACCTAGAAGCATGAGGAACCTTTCACAACACCTATGAAACGTAGGGACCTTTACTCTAACCATGGAGCGTAAGTCCCTACAGACTATTCATGGAGCATAAGGAACAATAACCGTGGAGCGTAAAGAACATGTTCCCTTCACACTACTCGTGGAACATGTGAAACATGTCCCCTACAGACTATTCATGGAGCTTAAGGAACATGTTTCCTTCTACAGTATCTATGAAGCTTTAGGAATGTTCCCTTCGCACTACCTATGGAGCGTAAGGATTTCTCATTCTAGAGCATGAATAAGAAATTTAATAAAACCAAAATAGTCAAATAATTTCTAAAATATTTCATTGAATAACTCTTCTCAATATTCTCCTCTAATGGAATTTAGGTCAAAACATCAAGAAACATACCGAAAAATAAAAATATTTAAAGATTTATTAAGAAAAAAGATAACAGAAAAGATTATAGCTTTTTTGAAGAAAACCGAAAAAGGAAGGGTAAATAAAGAGAAAATAAATATATAAATCGGCATATCGTTTTACCAAAACAATACAAAAATTTCCCAATTTTTTTGTTTAATAGGTATATAGGCATGTTCCCTTCATACTACTCATAGTGCATAAGGAACATGAATTTTTCGAAAAACTTATTTCTCGGTGTTCTCGTCATCCTACTCATACAGTGCATAAAGAACATAAGATTTTCAGATGTTCCTTTCACACTACTCATAGAGTGAAAGGAACATAAATTTCTCGAAAATATTATTTTTCAGACGTTCCCTTCACACTACCCATAGAGCGTAAGGAACATGGATGAATTTTCCGAAAAACTTATTTTTCGGGTGTTGTCTTCCAATTACTCATAGAGCGAAAGGAACAGGAACAAATTTTCCGAAACTTTCATTCTTCAGATTTCCCTTCCGACTACCCAAAGTGCGTAAGGAACAAGAAGGGATTTTTCCAGAAAACTTGCATTTTTCGGGTGTTCCCTTCGCATTACCCATAGTGCGTAAGGAACATGAAAAGGTCGAGAAATGGAAATTTTTCGAAAAAAAACTTTTTTAGGTCCTTGTGCTTTTACCTCTCTTCGCGCAAGTGTGGTAGAAAGAATAGTATCATTGACGAAAATCATTCTCATTCAAAAAAATTTTTTTAAGAATAAAAATGCTTTTCTCTCTGGAACCGGTTACCCCTCTCCTTCTATTTTTACCTTTCTTCTTTTTATTTTCTTTGTACTCCCCCCCCCCTGCCCCTTCTATTTTCTTTCTTCCCCCATCCCTCTTCTTCCCCACAAATAGCCAATTAAAAAAATTTTTTTTCCTTCTAAAACAGTATATAGCTCCCCCTTTGAATGAGTAAATTTGAGAGTAAAAGAAGCTCTTCTAAACAACTAAAAATTCTTTCAGTGCCTAAAGGCTCATCAAAACTTTTTCTTTTATTTTCTCTTTGTTTTGTGTTGTTGGGCAAGCAAATTGTGCGCACACATAAATTAATCACTTTCTATAAAATATAAAGAAAAGTACTTATTTTTGCTAGTTTTATAATATTATTAGCTCAACCCAATTGAAAAAAAAGAATTTTTATTAAAAAGAAAAAATTTTTTGGGTAAGGGAATGAATTAAAATAAATAAATTTTCCAATAGATCAACAGACAGAAAAGCATGTTCCTTACGCCCTATGGGTAAGGTGAAGGGAATATTCAAAAAATAATTTTTTCGGTAAATTTTTCGGGAAATTCATGTTACCTACGCCCTATGGGTAGTGTAAAGGGAACATTCGAGAAATAAAAACTATTCGAAAAATTCATGTTCCTTATGCTCTATGGGTAGTCTGAAGGGAACATCCAAAAATAAGAATTTCTCGGAAATCCATTAATGTACCTCAAGCATTACAGGTAGGATGAAGAGACTGACTCTATGGGTAGCGTTAGTCGAAGTTTCTCGGAAAATCCTCTCGTGTTCCCTAAGCTCTATGTTTAGGTGTGAAGGGCCATTAATTGAATTTTCTCTAGTCAATCGGTTTAACGGCTTAATATTACAGAACGAGATCAGTTGGGTATTTAATATTTTGAAGGGTTGATCAATTGTTTGTTATCGAGTGTTGATCTTTAGGGTGTCCAAAAATAATATTTATAGTAAAATGCCCAAAAGTTGAAGACAATGGAAGAAAGGAAAAATTAATTTAAATAAAAGTGTTTGTTCTTAAAAACTTTTTTTTGTTCCTTTATTTCCGACAAGAATAGAGAGGGGAAGATCATTGTTTGAAAGAGAAAATAAAGAATATATAAATAAATTAATCAAAAATAAATTAAATAATGCCGCTTTTGTGTATGTGATTTGCTTGAAGAAAAAAAAAGAACGGGTTTACTACCAGAAAAAATATGAAAATAAAAAATATTATTTTTGGGTGGGCAATATGGGGGGAACCAAGGGAGAGGGAAACATAGGGAAAGAAAGAAGAGAAGAAAGCAATAAATAAATGAGCAATTGTAATGAATCTAAAATAATAATAAAAAAATTTTTATTTTTAGAGGGAAAATGGCACAAATAAAAATAAAATAATAATTTTTTGGCATTCTGTATTTTTATTTTTTATAATGGCAAAAATTATTTTTTATAGGCAAAATTGTGATATAAATGAAGGAATAACCTTTTAATTAATAAAAATAGATAAAAACCCCAGAAGATCAACTTAGGGGTATAAATTTAAAAAAGTCCAAAAATGTCCCTAGAAAAATTTAGATAAAATGTCTTTAAGTTAGAGTTTCAACAAAATGCAAATGAGAGAAAATTAGGACAATAAGGAACAAAAAGAAATTTTTGGACAAAATGGAACAGAGAGAAATTTTGGACAAAATGCCCAGAAAAAATTTTGGACAAAATGACACGATGAGAAAAAATAGACAAAATGCCAATGAGAAAATTTGGACAGAAACTGAGTAATTTTGGACAAGATGACACAGGGGGAAATTATAGGCAAAATACCAAATATGGTAAATTTCGGACAAGAAGTTAAAGAGAAAATATCAAGGAGAAGATTCACATCAAAGGGTCTTCAAAATAAAAAAAAATTTGATTTTAATCTAAAAATTTTATTTTTCCTTTTGAAAATATTTAAAGAAAACAATATCAAAAACATTTTTATTTTTTTTTACAAATAAAATTTATGAGCAAAAATAAAATAGGAGAGAGAAAAAATAAGTCAAAATGAGGAGAAAAATAAAAGAAAATCGAATTTAAAAACTCAATTCTTTTTTAAAAAAATATATGAGCGGGAGGGGGAGGATGTTTTTTTTGTTATTGAATAATAAAATAAAATACTAAAAAATATTTTTTAATAAGTACATGCAGTTATACACAATTGAATTTTTTTATTTATAAGGGTATTCTTCTAAAAAGGCAATTTTCTTGATACTTTTTGTATTGTAAAAGCCTTCAAAAAATTTTAGAAGGCTCAGAAATGACTTTAAAATTACAATTTTTAAATTTTATTGCTTTAATTCGAAAAAATAAATTAAGTATCCCATGATGGATTCGAACCCTAGACCTTTATGTAATGTTATAGGGATGAAGTCACGAGCACAACCAACTTAACCATTCTTTTTATTTGTTAGGGAATTCTTCTAAAAAATATTTTTTGTCGCTTTTTCCTTCCAAAAACCTCCGAAAAAATTTTAGAAGGCTCAAAAATAATTTAAAAAATTTTATTCTAGCTTTTACAATGTTTAATTCGAAAAAATAAATCAAATATCCCATGGTAGATTCGAACCCCAGACCCTTATAGGGGTGAGGTCAGCGATACAACCAACTTAACCAAAGAGACATTTAAAAAATAAAATTATTGTTTGAGTTAAAAACGCAAAATTAAAAAAATAAAATTTTATTATTCCATGAAGGATTCGAACCTCCGCCCCCTATTTAATAGGTTTAAGTTGGCAACATAACCAACTTAACCAACGAGACATTTAACAATTAAAGAGTGTTTAAAATATATTTTTGTTGTGTTGTTTGATTTGTCATAAAAAGCGCAAAAGAAAAGCGCAAAGACAGAGATAAAAGAGGAGAGAAATTTTATTCTTTTCTCTAGTCGGTCAGTTTTATTTTTAAATGGTATTTTCACATTTTTCTTATTTAATAAAATTTTTTTTATTTTTACTGAACTGTGCGCCCCACACATACAAACACCGATATATAAAATTAGAGAAAAATAAATATTTTTTTATTTGACTAAAAACTCGGTAAACATAACCAAACACACACTCTCGCGGTGGCTGGCACACACACCTTTGTGTGCAAGAAAATTTTTGTGAATGAAAAATATTTTTGGTAAAACTGACCAGACTAGCTTTTAATGGACAGAAAAATGATGATTTTATAAATAGAAAAAGAAGTGAAGGGGATTTTTAAAGAATTTTTAATTAATTTGAAAAAAGGGGGAAGGAAAGGTACACCTTGGTTGAACTCCCATAACTCATAAGAGGATCAAAATTTTTTAATGTTCTTGGTACCTCCGGAATAAAGAATTAAATCCTCTACAAGATATCAAAAAATCAAAATTCTCGACTGATCGGTAAAGAAGTTATCAGATTTATAAGGTCCCGAAAAATCACATTATTTTGAAAATGCGATAAGTTCCGACCCCAATAACTCCTAAAAGGTTGATCAATTTTCAAAGTTCTTGGTACCATTGGACAGAGAATTGAACCCTCTACAAGATACCATAAAATCAAAATTTTCAACTAATTCATAAAAAAGTTATGACAGATAAAGTCCCGAAAAATTACATTTGGTGAAAAAAATTTTTTGTTTTTTGATCACAACCTTTTTATGAATTAAGTCGAGAATAATAATTTTTTGATATCGTATGATTCATTCAATTCTCTATCAAATGGTACCGAAAACACTGAAAAGTGGCTAACCATTCATGAGTTATAGAGCCAGGATTCAACAGAACTTGCTCCGAGGAAGAAAAGAAACATTTGACAAAATTATGAGACGAGAAAAATAATTTAGCAAAAAATAGATCACACAAAAAAATTTACAACCCCCAAAAACAATGTGAAATTATTTAAAAATACTTTAAAAACATTTAATAAACAAAAATAAAAAATTTAACCACACCTGGACTCGAACCATAGACCATTTATTTAGGGAGTCGAAACGTCTACCACCTCAACCAACAAACAACACAATAGAATCTTCATTAAATAAATACTAGTAGCATTAGAAATAAATCAAAAATAAATTAATTAATTTTTAAGGCACCCTAAAATTTTTTTAGAAATTTTTAAAAAAAATTTTGACACCTCCAAAAAATTTTTAAAAATAAATTAATGCATTTTAATACATTTTTAAATAAAAAAAAACAAAAAAATAAATGAGCAATAAAATTTATCAATTATTTGAATTTTTGTACTTAATACAAATCACGTTAAAATAAAAATATATAATTCTCTACCAGTCAAGTCAAAATTTAAATTAATTTAATATTTTAAAAAATTAAATTGAATAATTGGATTTTAAATTTTATTATAAAATATAAAGTAAAAATCACGGGGGCGTGGCTTATGGGGGAGGGGGGTAAACTACACAAGACCGAAAAACTTGAGTAAGAACACAAAAAATGGAGCCTTCTTCGTGAGTTATATGGTCGGAATTTCCTCAAAACCTCCTTTGGGGAAAAAATAAAAATTAAACGGAAAATAATCTGAAGGAAAAATACAGCCAGATTACCGGGCCCCAACTCCAATACTAAGCAAAAAATAAATGGGGCGTGGCTTATAGGAGGGAACCACCAAATCCTCATTTTAAAAATCCAATTATTAATTTTAATTTTTTTTACAATTTTATATATTTTTTAAATAAATTCTCAATCTATTTTTAAATAAAAATTCAATATTATATAAGGTCTCGAGGTAGACAACCAAACAAAAAAATTATCCTTTTCTCAACTATTTTTTTAAAAAATTTTTCCTAAATTATACCCTTCTCCCTCTATCCTCTCTAATGAAATTCAGCATTAGAACGGTCTTCATATTCCGGATGATTTCGAATTTTTCCAATAAATTCCTCAACAGGCACTTGTCCAATACAAATATTGTGAACAGCTTCGAATAATGGGAACCTTTAAAAAATTTTTTTTTAATTTTTTTGAGGCCTAGAAAAAATTTTTTTACAAATTTTCTGCCTTTTACAGATTTCTAAACTCACAATAAAGGCCCTGCTTTAAAATATTTTCCCCAAAAAAATTTCCGAAACCGAAATTTTAAAAAATGACATTTGGTCCCACCAGGAATTTAAAAATAACTTAATTTAAAATTAAAGAATAAACAAACATTTTAAGCAAATCCCGTGTCTTAATAACATCATAAAGCTCCGCAGCAGTCAACGGGCCTTGAGCGCTTTGTCCTTTGAGAAGTTCAGCTTCCAACTCGTACAATGGCTAAAAGATATATTTTAAAATTTAATTCACTCCCTCCTTTTAGGAAATATATTTCTCCTTTTTTAATGTTTTCTTTTAGCTACCGTCCCTTTGACTTAACTCTAATGTGCCAAGGATACTCGAAATCCGGACTTTTTTTGACCTGGAACTCGATTCAAAAAAATTTTTGAAGGCCATATCCGAAACTCCAACCAGATTTCTTTCCCCGCGAAATCCCTGCTTTCTAATTTTGGAATTTAATGACTTACTGGTTCGCTCTTTTCATTTCACTCACTTAAATTTTTATTCCTTAAATATTTCAATTTGAAATTTTAAAAAATGACATTTAATCCCACCCTTCAATTTAAACACCCAAGTGCCACCCGCACAAAAAAAATAAAAAAATATACTCGTTTAGTTTTCGCAAAGGCTTCGCAAACTTTTCGGTTCCTTCCTCCATAACAAGTAGTTACCAAATCAGCAATACCACAAGATTCAAAGAAAGTTTTGATTCGAGTATTTGGATAGAAATATTCAATAAAACGCATCATTTCCATCAAACCAAGGCGGATTATTGCTGCCTAAAATAGACAAAAATATGGAAAATAAACGCCCAAAGAACTATCCAAATTCCAGGGCATTTAAACTAACATGTACCCTTTGGTTAAGTTGGAAAATGTTTGGTTTATACGAAGAGGGGGATGCGGGTTCGAATCCATCCATCGAAAATAATTTTTTATGAAGAAAAAACACTACAAAGAATTTTACCTATTATCTATTATAAATTTATTTCTGGTTTTTTTCCGGAGCGCAATAGAGCTGTTCCAAAGCAAAAATCAGAAAACCTCTCAAAATCGAAATTTCGGAGCAGAAATGACCTGAATCTGGGCCCGTCGTTCTCTAAACTTTTTCAGTAAACAAGTAGCCTAATCCCGAACCCCTCAAAAAAAAAACTTAAAAAAGTTAATTAACCTTTGTATTGTCTCCATATCCCAAGCCATCAGAAAAACCTGCAGCACACGCAACAACATTCTAATTAAAAAATAAAAATATCACCGAGAAAACAATTTTCAAAGAAAAACCTTCAAAGCCCCACAAATTTCCACAGTTTGAAAGTCTTGAACAATATTAATTCGGAAATTGTCTGTGTGGAAAAGTTTTTTGAGTTCAATTGCTGTAGCGAGATTTTTGCTCCCAATTGTTGCCTCGCAGAACTGAAAATTTTTAAATAAATTATCTCTAGTGGCAAGATAAATTTTTAAAAAACTAAAATCTCTTATAATTCAGATCATTAAACAAAAAATCATACCCTTGGTTAAGTTGGAAAATGTTTGGTTCCCAATAAGAGAAGGGTTGTAGGTTCGAACCCGTCCAGTGGAAACCATTTTTTATATGGACATATAATCTCAAACTTAACTAAAAATAGCCAAAATAAATTTTTAAATTTTTTTTAAAAACAAAAATCAACATTTTGGTTAAGTTGGAAAATCACGAAAAGAAGAGTTGTGGGTTCGAACCCTCCAGTGGGAAACAATTTTTATTTGTTGAAAAGACCCTAAAATAACTCTAAAAAAGATTATATGAGGCTACAAAGTCAAAAAATATTTGAAGCCTCACCACTATGAGTCATTTTCATAAACTATCCCTTATAGGCATTTTTATTCTGACTAAAGGAAAATAATGGACAGAAAGGCCTTATAAGGAAACATCGGATACTGTGAAAAAAATGTACATAATTTTTTTTAGTACCAATCGACAGAGGACCATCGACTTTCTATTGAGTTGTGGTGCGGGTTTATCTAAAAAATAGGGCCGAGTTTGGCCGTTCATAATTTGAGTATTTAGGGTGGTTGAGTTTAAGGAAAAGAGGTTAACAAAAAAATAAAATTAATAAAGAAAAACCTCTTTTCCGTCCAAATCTCAAAAAACCCCTTGAATATCTAAAAAACCTCACATTATCATTAGCCACTTCAGGTGCCAGATTCGCCCCCATCAAAACCGCAGCATCAATACCCAGAGTCTCACTAATGTCCTCAGAGATTAAACGAAGTTTTGAGCTTGTAGACTTGCCAGAAAGTCCTTTTATTAAAGAAACTGCTACAGCGCTGCTTTTGACGTTTCCTTTCAATTGATTACAAAGCTTCTCAACAAATTGGTGGGGAACGACAAAGACGAGAATATCAGCATCCTAAAATTAGAAAAAAATCCCTCGATTTAATACAAAAAACCAGGTACTTGTGGACTACCCCAAACCAGTTTAACCGGACATATTTATGCGGACTCATAATCTTGTCATCATAAAGGTCTCATAATGGTCAGAACATATAAGTATACTTTGCAGATATTCAATGTATTCAAAAAAAAAGTTGCGGACATTTCTTGCGGATAAGTTTTTGCGGACAAAAGTTGCGGACACGACATTTTGCGGACAAAAGTTGCGGATAAGTTTTGCGGACATTTCTAGGAGATGTTTTTGCGGAAATCTTAGGAACACTTTTCGTGGACATTCGGGGAGCTGGAATGATTTTGCTTCCTTTTCATATCTGCCCTTTATCAGCTCGACTTAATTTCAAAAACTGGTGACCATTATCAGCTCGAATAATACGTCTTCAAAAACTGGTTTGGGGTAACCCACAATTATCAAAAAAAACCTTTGTAGCCTCAAGAAGATCAGGAACGGCAACAATGTTCTCTGGCAATTTCTAAATTTAAAAAAATTATTTGAAAATCTTTTCGATGTAAAAAAACCTTTCCAGGCAGATACTTAACGTTGATATGTTCAGTGTTGATAATTTCGCTAAGCTTTTTGTCATCAACCAACTTGAGAAAAAAATAAGATTGTACACGAAAAATGAAAAATACAGAAAAAGGACTTCTTGGTTTAGTCGGAGAATTTTTGATTCGCAAAAGTAAGGGTCAAAGGTTCGAACCCCGCCAATGGAAAACATTTTTTTATTAAATTAGGAGGGGAGCGCTTAACAGGAGAATGGCTCAGCTCCTAGTTTTCGGGTCTAACTGTAAGTTGATCCCACAAAAGACAGACCCGCGTATTTCAATTAGGTTTACAAGGTTTTTCCCGAGCCATTGGTTCATGCGGACTCCAGGACCCAGATTTGACCAAGACTGCGGATTAGAAATTTAAGACCCAGATTTTTTGAAATCCCCGATCTTTTGTAAATACACATCTTAAATAAACTAAAAAGCAGACCTCTTCGAACACCCACATCGGCACTCGCGTTTGGAATGTGGTGCTGTGCTGAACAACGGTGTTTCCGATAATTCTAAAGACTAAAGGTTTAAAGATATTATCAGAAAGAAACCGTGCAATAGCTGAACCCCAATTTCCAGATCCAATAATAGTCACCTTCTTTTGTGCCATTTTAGAGGAATTAATAGAAAAAACTAATTTAGAAAATTTAAAAAATTTATCTAAAAAATGGGAAAAAAATGAGAAAAGAAAATTTGTTAACTGCGAAAAATAACAATCTCCGCCTTTCTTATACTATTTATTTTTATCTTTCTCTAGTCAACAAAGAAAGTGAAAAATAAAAGGCGCCAAAATTACAAAATATCTAAACGAAATACCTAACTACACTTCGTCCAACAGAAGAAAATAAGCCATTTTGTCACACACTCTAACTCTCTTTCTCTAGTCAACACAGAAAAAGAAAAGTCCAAAATTTCAAAATGTCTAAACAAAACACCTAAACTAACAGATCTTACAATTCGTCCAACCGAAGAAAATATACCAGTTTGTCTCATTAAATAAAATAAATCTACCTCTAATTAATCCAAACAGATTTATCCTCATCTCCTTTTCTTTAGAAATGATTCAGAAAATTTTTGAGGGTATTTAATTATGGGAATTTTTTGGGAATAATAAATAAATCATTCATTTTTTTTTTATTTTAGAGGAAAAAATAAAAAGGATCAGAGGAGCTCTCTGTGTGGTCAACAAAAATCACACAAAAAGATAACTAGAAAGGTGGACATTCTTGAGAAGAGGACACAAATCGCCGCTTTGCTTTCTCTTAATCAGCTAGGAAAGAAACTAGAAGATGCTTATTGTTGGATTTCTCGAATAAAAAAACAAAAAAAAATGAGTGTGGGACGAAATGTCACTTTTTCTTATAATGGGACGAAATGTCGCTGCCGACCAAAAAATATTTTTTAGACCAAAAAAAATTTTTTGTTGAAAGGTCTGCATTAACAAAATCATTTCAATGTAAATTTGGTGTTATTAAGAAATAATTTTTAAAAATTAATAGAATGAAAGAGATAAAGAAATAGGTCAAAAATACTGAGGGTGGGGCGCGCTGTTGTGGGAAAAAACTTCAAAAAATATTTATTTGCTCAATTATCTGCAAAATAATAATTATTAATTTATTTTTAAAGAGAGAAAGAAGATCTTTGGTTATTTTTAAAAATAGTAGTAGTAAAGGTAGCGAGCACACAAAGAACAAAATACCTATAAATGAAGGAGAGAGGAGGAGGGTGAGCAAAAAATTGGGGGAGGGAGGGGAGGAGAAGGTTTTGGTGGTTGATAAATTGGGAAGGAGGGGAGGGAGGAGATGGGAACGAGAGGGTTGATAAATTGGGAAAGGAGGAGGGAGGAGAGGAGGAGAAGGTTTTGGGTATTGATAAATTGGGAAGGAGGGAGAGAGGAACGAAGGGGGTTGATAAATTAGTAGTGTTTGCATTTGTGCATATTTTTTTATAATCTTTTAACTTTTTATTATTTTTACCTTTAATAGGAAAATGGTAATGAGAGAAAAGAATGTGATTTACTAGGTAAAATTCATGTGGAGGTCACATAACTAAATTTTTATTTTTTTTTTAGAAATTTGCGGACAAATATTTGCAGACACTTATCAATAATCCGCAAAATTTTGTCCGCAAAAAAATTTCTGTCCGCAAATAACGATAAAAATTTTAAGTAGACATTTGCGGATACCTAATAATCCGCAAATTTTTGTCCGCAAAAATTGGCAAATTTTTAAAAGGATTTTTAAATACATCTACAAAAAATTAAATTTATTTCATCAAAAATCTTTCTATTAAAAAAGGCAAGAAAATTAAAAAATTAAGGCTATATTATTGATGATTAGTAGAATATTATTGGTAGATTAAAAAAGTCTCAAAAATTAATGGACAAATTTTTGCAGATTTTTTTTTGCAGACAAATTCTTTCCCATATTTTAGATTTGGTTAAAAATGTCATCTGCAGAAAGTCCGCAAATTTTATTTGTCCGCAAAAAAAAATCCGCAAAAAAATTTTTTGTCCGCAAAAAAAATCCGCAAAAATATCATAAGGATAACTAATCAGTACCCTTTAATTTTTTTAAAATACCCATCCTTTCCTCGTCTTTTCTTCATTTTCCTTCAGTCCCAGCAGGAATTTTGTGTTTTCCCCATCCATGGAAAAGTCGAGAAAATCGTTTAGATTCGTGATCCTTTATTGACAATAACTTGAAAAAAAATTTTTTATTTTTAAATTAAAAAAATTAAAAAAAAAAACCAATTTTCTAGGCCTTTCAGGCTGTTTCATTTGTATATGTCCACAATAAACTTGAGCTGCTTTATAGGCCAATTTTATTTCAACCTCGCTGGCACCTTTAAAATAAATTAATTTTTTTAAATTTATACAAGGGGAAAAATCAGAATTCAGAATAAATATCAGAATTTTGACAAGAAAATCAGAACAGAAAAAAAATCAGAATTAATTTGATGGAAATATAAGTCAGAAGTATGTATCAGGGAACCAGAATTAATTTCAGAAAACCAGAAAATCAGACCAGAAAAAAATCAGAATTGGCCGAACCAGAAAAATCAGAATTATGGTTCAAAAACCAGAAATCAGAATTTGAAAAATAAAATTAGAACAGAAAAAAATCAGAATTAATTTCAGAAGATGGGAATATAAATCAGAATTAGGTACCAGGGGAACCAGAATTAATTTTAGAAAATCAGAACAGAAAAAAATCAGAATTGGGAGGACCAGAAAAATCAGAATTATGGTTCAAAAACCAGAAATCTGAATTTGGATAAGAAAATCAGAATTCAGAAAAAAACCGTATGATTTCAAAATCTGAATTGGATAAGAAAATCAGAACAGAAAAAAATCAGAAATAATTTCAGAAGATGAGAATATAAATCAGAATTAAGTATCAGAGGGACCAGAATTAATTTCAGAAAACCAGAACAGAAAATCAGAATTGGCCGGACAGAAAAATCAGAATTATGGTTCAAATACCAGAAATCTGAATTTGACCAGAAAATCAGAACAGAAAAAAACCCCGTATGATTTAAAATCTGAATTGGATAAGAAAATCAGAACAGAAAAAAATCAGAAATAATTTCAGAAGATGAGAATATAAATCAGAATTAAGTATCAGAGGGACCAGAATTAATTTCAGAAAACCAGAACAGAAAATCAGAATTGGCCGGACAGAAAAATCAGAATTATGGTTCAAATACCAGAAATCTGAATTTGACCAGAAAATCAGAACAGAAAAAAACCCCGTATGATTTAAAAATCAGAAACAACCCGGACCAGAAAAACTAGGATTGTGGCCAAGAAACCAGAAAAAAATCAGAGAAAAAAATTAAACAAAATGTTTATACCAGTTCCCAGCCATATATAAACAAAATTGCCATCATCGACAATCATAACGTCATCATTTTCAAGATCCTCCTAAAAATTAATTCATAAAATTTCAGAATTTTGACATTGTTATTCTGATTCTAATTCCGGTAAAATAAGAATTCTGATTTTAGAAACCAGAATTTAATTCAGAATCCTAATCAGAATTAATTTTTAAAATCAGAATTATAATCAGAATAATTTTAAAAACCAGAATAAAAAATCAGAATTTTCTAAAATCAGAATTCTGATTTGAATAATCAGAATAAAACCAGAATTAAAATCAGAATAATTTTTTTGAAATCAGAATTAAAATCAGAATTTTCTAAAATCAGAATTCTGGTTTTAAAAATCAGAATAAAACCAGAATTAAAATCAGAATAATTTTTTGAAATCAGAATTGTAATCAGAACTGGTTTTAATTCTGATTTTAAAAATCAGAACAAATTTTATAAATCAGAATTCTAATTTATAAAGAATTTTCTGACTTCTAAAATCAGAATTAAAAATCAGAATTAAAAAAAAATAAAACCTGACAAAAATCAACAGTTTTTTCAGACACAGAAAAATAGCCCTTTTCATTTGTACATCTAAACAGTCTTGTATGTTGCATAAAATCTGCATTTTTATCATATTTTCTATTCTTTCCTCCTCCCAAGGTTTGCCAAAATAATTGGGGCTCTTTTCCTTCTTCAATTATTTCAATGGGCAATTTTAAATCTTTTTTTACTAGTTCATTTGCAACCTTTTTTTAAATAATAAAATTTAATTTTCTCAAAAAAAAATTTTTGCGGACAAAATTTGCGGACAAACAACCCCCAATAAACCAAAAAAAGAAAGAAAAAATCAGAATTAATTTCAGAATATAGGAATTAAAAAATCAGAAAAACAGAAAAATACAAAGTCTAGCTGGTGTCCGCAAAAATTTCTAAGACTAGTGTTTCTCCGCAAATCGAAGCTCTATTATTCGTCAAAACAAATTTTGTCCGCAAAAAATTCTTCTGTCTGCAAAAATTTTTTGTCTGCAAAAAATTTTGTAAGCAAAACTTTTTGTTGTCCGCAAAAAAATTTTTTATCCGCAAAATTTTTTTTGTCCGCAAATTTTTTTGCGGATTTTACGGTTGCAGACATAAGTTACAAAGTTACCAAAAAAAACTCGAGTGGGTGACTAGGCGAAAATGAAATCAGAACAGAAAAAATCAGAGACGTATGTCCGCAAAAATTGTCCGCAAATATCAAACGTCAACTTAAAAAATAAAAACCTCTTCAGCAATTTTGAAAAAATAAGAATCACATTTAGAGCCTTTCCAAACATAAATAACACCGGATTCATCCCCATCAGAACAAGGCGTTCTAAGAATATAACAAAAAGCAGAGTTGAGACTAGATACACGGCAGTCGACTTGTATTGTTCTGGTACAGATACTGCTTCTAATAAAAAAAAAATTTGGATAATTATCCGCAAAAAATGTCCGCAAAAAATTTTTTGTCCGCAAATTTTTTGCGGATTTCAAGGGAATGGGCCAGGGAAAAAATTGTTGTCCGCAATTTTTTGCGGATTGTCCGCAAAAATTTTTTGTCCGCAAATTTTTTGCGGATTTCTTTCCAAAATTTTTTTTATAAATTTACCCATTTGCTCTCATATGAAAAAGTTCTGGTTCATTCAATTTAAGTGTTGCTTCTCGACGTCCACGCCTTATAAGAATTTTTCTCTTAAAATGAGACAGAAATTTGTGATTTTCTTGTTGTTGATTCATTCGAACCTAAAGAATTAAAATTTTATAAAAATTTTTTTCAAGGGGATGGGTCAGGGGAAATTTAAAAAAATATTTCTTACTGTCCAAAAAATTTGAAAAAATTTTCTGAAATATTAACCGACCACCCAGGCCTAATCATACCACAAGGACCACAAAAGGAATCGAACCTTTACCCATTCCCCTCAAAAATCTAACACCTTAACCATTACACCACAACCACAACTAGTTAACTTTTTCATTTTAGGGACTATAATTAATTAAAAAAATTAAAGTAAAAATAACAAACCACTTCAAGCTTGTCTTTAAATAGGGTTTCAAATTTTCTCTGAAATTTTAAGAAATCTTAAAATTCTTAAAAATTAAAAAAAACCTTCAAAGAAAAAGTAAAATTTAACCATCCCATATTACTTGCTTCCCTTCCTTGCCAAAAATAGACTACACATTTAAAATCAACTTCTTTTTCCTCTTCTTCCGATTCTTCTCCTCTTCCATTTCCTCCCTGAAAAAAATATTTTTATTTTTTAAAATCAGACCTCCCTATAAGATATCCCCTCTAAAAATATACAACTCAATAAGGATCACAAGCCATAAATAAAAAAATTTTGCGGACAAAAAAAATTTGCGGACAAAAGTTGCAGACATTTTTTCAAATTTGCGGAAAATACGTGCCGATGAATTTTTAGATACGTGGGTAAAAGCCTGCGGACATTTCTAAACTTGCGGACAAATTTTGCAAACTTTTTTTTTAAATTTGCGGACATTTGGGTCTTAAGAAGTTATCTTGAAGTAAAATTTTAAAAACCTCAACACTTCCTTTACTTCCATTTTCACTCAATTCTTCATTATAATCAAAATAACGACATAGAAAAACATAGCAATCCATTGTATAGAAAATACCCAATTCTTCTTTTGGAAGTCGAACGAATTTTTTGCCTTCCTAAAAAAAATTTTTTTTTAGAATTTGTAAAAATTTTTTATGTCTTGCACTTCCAACAATCCAAAATTGCCCCTAAAATTGTGGGTAATTTCATAAGTTGCGGACAATTCGAGGGTTGCGGACAAAAATTGCAAACATTTTTAAAATTTGCGGACACAATTTGAGGACAATTTTTAGAAGTTGCGGACTACACTTGCGGACATTTTTGAAAGTTGCGGACATTCTTAGAAGTATCGGACACAATTTGCGGACATTTTTGAAAGTTGCGGACAAAACTTGCGGACATTCTTTGAAGTATCGGACAAAACTTGCGGACATTTCAAAAGTTGCGGACACAATTTGCAGACATTTTCAAGATTTGCGGACACAATTTGCGGACATTTCAAAAGTTGCGGACAAGAACCAAAAATTTCTTTAATTTAAAAAATACCAAAACAAAGGATTCAATAACTTCCAAATCCAAATTAAAATCTTCAATTAATTGGTCAGCTTCTTCATGTGGCATAGTTGGTAAACGGTCAAGGAATAAGGCTACCAAGTCTGTCTTCATTTTGTCTCTTTCCATAATCACCTTAGAAAAAAAAATATTTAATAAAAATTTCCTCATAAAAAAATCTCGTACGGACAATGCGGACCATTCTATTTTTCAACACCCGGCCTACCCTTGTCACAGATGGTCTACCGACTTTCTCGCCCTTGACGAAAATTTTTTGTCCGCAAAAAATTTGCGGATGTCCGCAAAAAATTTGCGGACAAATTTTGTTTATTTATCCGTAAAATTTTTTTACTCCTTGAAATCTCCACCTACCACCCTATACTTTTATAAAAAGTAATTATAAACCTTAATATCAGCCCCTCTTCTCTGAACAGTATCCGCAGTCATTGTAAAATCAAAAGGCACAATATCATCCCAAGAAGAAAATTTTGAACGAAAAACTGTCGATTCCTCTCCCTCTATTTCACGACAAATTGTACAAAATTCTGGTCTTTCTATGATTTGATGAAATTCTGTTGCCATTTTCTATGAAAAATTTTTTAGAAAAAAATTTGTCCGCAAAAAATTTGCGGACAAAAATTTTTGTCCGCAAAAAATTTTCACAAAAAATAAAAACCTGTCCAGCCATTTTTAATAATCTACTAGCTTTTTTCCCAATCCAAACAAAAAGTTCAGAAGTACAATCAAGTATAAATACACTGAAAAAACATGATTAATCTTAATTCTAGAAAAAATAAATTTCCAGAAAAATATTGCGAACAAAAATGAAACTAAAAAAAAATCATATTTGTTGGTAATCTTCTCACATCAGACTTAAAAAATAGAATATCTAATTTGTATACTAAAAATTTTGTCCGCAAACATTTGTCCGCAAGTGTTGTCCGCAAAAAATTTTTTCCGCAAAAACGTCAGTTTGCAACAGGGATGTCACGGGTTGAGAAAAATGTCGGGTCGGGTTTCGGGTCGGGTTTCCAAAATTTTTCTCGGATCGGGTTTCGGATTTCGGGTTGAGCAAAAAGTCGGGTCGGGTTTCGGGTAACCCGTGACATCCCTGGTTTGCAAGAATACTTATCCGCAAAAGTTTGTCCGCAAAACTTTTGTACACGTCCGTGGCACCAATAAACCCTTCAAATTAAACATAAAAACAAACCATTTAGGTTTCAACATCTCTTTGTATAAAATATCATTTTTCAATTCAATTTGAGGCAATTCTACATAACCCATTCCAAGCTGTACTTCGTACAATCTTTTACGTTCAGGCTTGTGATCTTCTGGGATATGTTCAAATATTGGTTCTTCTGGCTTTGTTTTGGAGCCTAAATAAATTTTTTAAACATTAAAGATGGTGGCTTATCCAATTTTGGGAGCAAACAAGAAAATGAGTGAGTAGTCCAAAACTACGCAAAAATTTTTGTCCGCAAATTTTTTGCGGACAAAAATAGAATTGTCCGCAAATTTTGAAATAGAATTGTCCGCAAGACAAAAATAGAATTGTCCGCAAGAATTGTCCGCAAATTTTTTGCGGACAAAAGAAATGGCCAGAACTTTTCAGACAAAACCTGAGCCTAGTTTTACGGGCTAAACTCCGAAAATCAAATTTTATAAAATACTCGTCTCGCTTAGGCTAACAAAAACAAAAAATAACAGACCTTGGTAGGAGGGGCTTCTCTAAAATTTATAAAAAATAAAAACCTGTTAAAGCCTCCCAAAATTCGTCAGGTGTTTTCAATTGATTACAAGATTCAATTTCTGCTTTTCCTTTTTTATCTCTTTTATTCATTTTTACAGCAAACAAACGAACTTTATTTGAGAATGTTACCTGCAAAAAATATTTTTAAATTAATTTTTTAAACAGAGGGTTACCCGTAAAAGAAAATTTGTGGACATTTTTTTGCGGATTTATTATTTGCAGACATTTTTTTTCACAGACCTTTTTTGCGGATTATTTGCGGACAAATTATGCGGATTTTTTCTACAAACTTTTTCTGTTATTTTTTGCAAACGTCCGCAGAAAACTTTGCGGACTTTTCTGCATACTTTCTTGCGGACGTCCGCAAAAAAAGATGCAACAAAAAGTCCGCAAAAATTGTCCGCAAAATTTTCATTTTCTAATTATTTATTAAAAATTAAATTAAAAAAAAAAACCCTAGAACGCGATCCACTCCATATCCAAATAATTTTATCAGCATCCAACAAAAAAACAAAACGAGGGTCAAGAGATTCTGGGCTAAGCGGCACAGCTTCCATTTCTACTGAAGGCCCATTAATATATGCACGATAAAGCCTTGAAATGAAAAAATTTTTTTAATAGAAATGCGGTCAAAGGCTTCTTTACAAATAAACCCAAAAAACCACGACCTCGAGTATAAGAGACCCTTCTATCTAAGGGATCCTCCCTACACTCTTTCGATCATCCTTATCTCAATTTTTTCCACTTTCCCCTTATTTCAGGGGAAGAGTGGGCCCTCAAACCATTCTGGCTACGCTCTTGTAAGAGATCCTCTTAAGCAGGCGCCCTTTTTTGGCCTTAATGAGGTCTTTAAAATTGAGGTCGACTCATTAAAATAAATTACACAAACTTTTTAACAAAAGGAGCTTTTTCAACCACATAAAATCCTGATTGCATTTTTGCACCGTCAAAATAAATCTTAAAAAAGAAAAATAAATTATATTTTTTGGCGTCCTAATTCATAAAAGCCCTAAAGATCCTCCAACTTTTTTCATAAGAAACAAAACAAAGCTGTTTCGAAAGAAAACCTCGAAATTAAAAAAAAACCACAAAACTCAAAAAATACGAAACAAAACGAAACTCAAAAAATACGAAACAACGTTACATTCAGGTCACCCGGGAAGTAAGTAACCCTTCAATAAATATCCTCAAAAAATTAAAAAAAACCTCCTTACAATTTCTTCACTAAACAATTCCAAAAATTCATCAGATTCATCGTTCATTTCTTCTCTTATTGTTCTTTAAAAAAATTAAATTTACACAAAATTATTTTAAAGAAACCTGCAAGATGCTCCAAGGTGATTTCTTAGGTTTACTGCGTGAACAGCTGCACACATTGCCTGAAAAAACCGATTATGAAACGAAAGACGAAACACCAAAAAGGCAAAATTCGGCAAAAGAGTAAAGACGAAATTGGCATACCCCAGACCCATAGGCCCTTAGCTAGGATTTTTTCCGGCGCCAAGGGGAGACACATTCACGCACACTAGTGATGGATCGGGTACCCAAGTCTCTACTTTTCTTCGACCCGAAAACCCCTATCCAAAAAATATGAAAAACTGGCCCGGAAACTCCTCAACTTGACTTTCTCCACAACCTCGACTCAACCTAAACACATTCACTCTCTTGTGCTCCTTAAAATCTGACTTAAAGACAATTCTGGGATGCTCGTACCAAAATTAGCTGATAAAAAGATAGCAACTTTGAAATGTCCTATAAATCAGGGATAAGTAGGGATTTTTAAATTCTCATCGGACCAAGTTTCGGGTCCCAGGTTTGGGTATCGGATAAACTGACCGAACCCGGTTTTAGATATGCCTTTTTTTGAACCTTCAAACATTTCCAAGTATTTTTTACCCTCCACCCCCCCTCCCCCCTCCATCAAAAAAAATAAAAAAACCTTGTCCAAACTCGTCTTTTCCCCAATCCAATAATATATTGCATGAGTTAAACTTCCACTGGGTTCACGTGTTGTTTTCAAAATTAAATAACTATCAGCTTCATAAAATTGTCCATGTTCTCGAGGATCAATTAATGCCGAATAAAAATTTTCAATTTCCCACATCCACAAATTATCACAGGAACCAATTTCATCATCAAAAACGTCTGAATAATCGAGGCGAGGCTTTTGTTTTGCCAATTTTTCCTTAAAAAATTTTATTAATTGAAGGGGATCGACACAGGGACCATAGGAGAAAAATTTTTATTTTTGGTTAAGTGGATAAGAGCCCTGACTACAAAATCATTTAGGTCATGGGTTCGAACCTTTTCATGGTTAATTGATATTTTTTAATTAAGTAAATAAAATAAAACATAAAATAGACATTTTAAATAATATTTTAAGAGTCCATAATTTTTTTTTAAATTTTTATGGTCAATGCCCGTGACAAAATAGGGAAGTATTCGGCTATGCAACTCATCCACCCAGTGATAATTTCACTACTATTAAAAAATTCCAAGTACCTTCCAACTAATCTGACCAAGTGCAGAAGCATCATTTTCATCATTTAATTCAATAGATTGGCCTTTGTCAAATGCATCTTTCGCTACTTTAGACATTCCCTAAAATCAGCAAATTTCAGAAAAATTTTTTTAATTTTCAACCACCCCCCCCCCGTCCTCAAAAATTAAAAAGAGTTTCTAAAAAATTTCCTAAACCCCTTAATTTTCAACCCCCTCCCTCCCTCAAAAATTTCAAAAAATTTCCTAGACTCCTAATTTTCACCCCACCCCCCCCTTCTCAAAAAATTTTTTCAAAAAAAACCTGAATAACTTTAGAAGCACTATCCTGATCTGCTTGATGCCTTCTTCTCCTTATAAATTCCTTTTTTCTTTGAGCAGCATCTTTTGGTCCCCCACCACTACTAATATCTTTTTCAGAAAGGGTGGTAGCTGAAGTTGTTGTTTGCCCAGCAATTCTCAACTTGAAAAAAAATTTTTTTTTAATTAATTTATGTCGGCCTCAAAAACCTGATTTTGTAATGAAAAGTCAATATTGTAGAAAGCCAAAGCTTTTTGTTTATCACTTGGTTTAGGTGGCATTACAAGGTCTGGATTACTAAATAGATAAAAAAATTTGCGGACAAAAAAAGTCCGCAAAAATTTTTGCGGACAAAAAAGTCCGCAAATTTTTTGCGGACAAAAAAAGTGCGCAAAATTTTTTGCGGACTTTTTTTTACTTACTTAAACAAAAAGTCTGTTTCCCTTGAATTTCAAGCCTATGGTTGAGTTCCGTAAACTTTCTTAAAATCCTGGACCTAAAGCCCATTAGGCTGTGGCAATCCATTCTCCGAACCAACTGGCCAATAGAAAATTCAAACCCCAGTAGACCCTCGGAGGTTCTGGATCGAACCGAAGAACCGATGATTTTTCGGTTCGGGTTTTCAGTTCGGTTCCGGATATCCAAAGATTTTCCAAGAACCGACAACCCTACCTCGAAGGATCGCTTAAAAATGTTTAATTATCCCATTTTGTCCGCAAAAAAAATTGCGGACAGATCTCGCCCAACAAAATTTTTGCGGACTTTATTATAACACAGCCAAATTGATTTTATGTTAATAAAACAAACTTTCGAAGATCCAATTCTTTCAAATCTGGAAGTAAATGAATTCCTTCAGGTAGAGTTATTAAACGGTTATTATCCAATTTAAGTTTTCGCAATTTTACACACCTTCCAACACCTTCAGGAATTAATTCCAAATTGTTGTGAGATAAAAATAATACTTGAAGTTGCATTAATTTACCAAAACCGGCGGGTAGACCTTTAAAAATTAAAAAAAAATTTTGCGGACAAAAAATCTTTGTCCGCAAGTCTTGTCCGCAAAAAATTTGCGTACTCTTGCAGTTCATTAATCTTATGGATTTTAAAAATGATTTTTGATTCTTTTTTGAATGATAAATCATTTTATCAAAAATTTATAAAAATTACTGTCCGCAAAAAAATTTGCGGACAGTAACTTGCGGACTTTTCTCCAAAAATTGATTATTTTTCTATTCACACCATTCTCTGTATTCAGTCAAAATCATTTATTATGGCTTTTTTTTTTGTTCATTTTTTCGTGAAGAAAACAAATAAAAATATTATAAAAAATGATTTTTAAACTCTTTTTCTCTCATGATTATTATTATTATCGAAAAATAGAAAAATTATCAAAAAAAATTTTTTTTTATGTTTAGTTTTAACCTTCAAGTTTATAAGTGATTTCAAATAGGTATCATTAATCGAAAAATCAAGTTTAAACGTAGGGATCACCATACCACTTCAGAACCGAAATGTTTAAAAAAACTTTTATCCGCAAAAAATTTGCGGACAAAAAATTTTTTGCGGACAAAATTTTCAAAAATTTAAAAATTCACAAACCTTCAAAATTTAATTTATTATATGTTGCATATAATCTCTGTAATTTAACACAAGCAATTATTTGTGAAGGTAAAGCTTCCAAATCATTTCCAGACAAATTAAAAGTATCCAAATTTGGCCATGTTCCTTCGACAAAATCTAATTTTGTTAATTTGTTAAAACTGAGATCCAATTTTCGAAGGTTTTTGAGAGAAAAAATTGATTCAGGAATTTTTGTTAATTCATTCATTGCAAGATTTAATTCCTTAAAAATTAAAAAAAATTTCAGAATTTTTTGTCCGCAAAATTTTTGCGGACAAAATTTGCGGACAAAATATTGCGGACACAACCAAGAATTTACTTAATTTATAAAATACCTCCAAAACTAAATACCCCTCAAGTTAAGATAGCTGACAAAATAAAAAAAATTGTCCGCAAAAAACTTGCGGACTTATTCCAAAACTTGCGGACTTTTTCCAAAAATTATTTTCCAAAAACAGAATTATTTTCAAAAATTATTTTCAACTACCTAACAAATAAGCAGCACCTCTATTTAAGGTATCCCCTCGGTATAATGTAAGAAAAAGATTTCAACGGATTTCAGGAATTTTTGATTTGTCCGCAAAAAAACTTGCGGACTTTTTTTTCCAAAACTTGCGAACTTTTTACAAAAACTGGGTGGAGCATCAATACCTAACAATAAGCGGCACCTCTATTTAATTTTACCCCTCGGTATAATTAAAAAAAATTTCAGCCTTATTTCATGAATTTTTGTTTTGTCCGCAAATTCTAACTGCAAAAATTGCAGACAAAAAAATTTTCTTCGATTTAAAAAAGATGACTATTTTTTCCTATTGTCTTAAACCAAAAAAAAATTTTTTTGGTAAAAATATTTAAAATGTCCTTTATTTTTTTTATTTTATTTCCTGCCCTTTAACATCCCCCCTTTTTTGTCCTTTTCCCAATATTTTTCTTTCATTTCCCAAAAAAAAATTTTTTTTTCAAAATTACATTCATGCCATTTCCCTTTTCCCTTAAAAACCCCACAAAACATTAAAGATCAACTAAAGCAACATGAGACTTTTTTGTTTAAAAAATAGCGTGGGCGTTCATTCCCAAAGGAATAGGCTTAAAAAAGAGGGTATTGCTTACATTAACAAATAAATTTAAAAAAAGGTCAAGAACATTAATCAAATAAATTTGACACTTTTAGAAGGCGGAAATATTCGAAAGTTATCCGAGATGTTTTTAAAAATCCGCAAAAATAAAAATATGAATTTGCGGACAAAACTTGCGGACAAATTTTGCGGACATAAGGAGAATTTTTTTAACAGTCCGCAAAAAATTTGCGGACAAAATTCCATTGAATGAAAAAAGTCCGCAAAAATAAATATAAACTTGCGGACAAAACTTGCGGACATAAGGAAAAATTTTTTAAACAATCAACAATTAATTTGTAGACAAAATTTGCGGATAAACTTCCACTGAATGAGGAAAAGTTCGCAAATAAAAGCCAGCAAGAATAATCCGCAAAACGGCTAAACTTCCTTACAAACCCAAGTAAACTCTTAAAAAACCTCTCAAGGGTAAAAACAAAAAAAATGTTTTTGAATAAACCTGTAGGTTTTGAACTTCCTCAAAATTAAGCGTCAAATTTTGTAAAGTTCTGTGAGTATTTTTTAATTCAATTACTCGTAGTTTGTTTGAACTTTAAAAAATAAAATTTTATTATAAAAAATTTAAAAATTTGTCCGCAAAAAATTTGCGGACAAAATTAATTTAAAAAAAATAAAAAAATCATACCCTGGTGCTTGTTTAAATTGAAAATGAGTTAATGGGTTATTTGATAACTTCAATACTTGTAAACTAGTTAGGCGTCGAAGTTGTGGGGGAAGACTGTCAAGGTTGTTGTTGCTCAAATCGAGGTAAATGAGATCAATTAGATTGGAGAAGATCTGAAATAAGAGGTTTAAAAAAAGTTGTCCGCAAAAATTTGAGTTGTCCGCAAAAAATTTTTTGTCCGCAAGTTTTTTGCGGACAAAATTTTCTGTCCGCAAAAAATTTTTTCCGCAAGTTTTTTGCGGACAAAAAACTTTAAGACATGGAGGCACACGGATTGTTTACGGATAAAATCTAAACAATTTAGCTGTCATGAAAGGGACGTAGCGTAGAATGCCAAAACATCGAAATTCTAAATTGCAGGGATGACGGCATAATGCCAAACTAACATAAGTAGAATGTGTGGTTCCAACTACGGGGGAGAGGTTATTTCAACGACGAGAAAAATAGTTTCAGACAGCGGCTAAAGGTTAACAATTTGGTATTTATTTGGTAGGCATTTGACATTTCGCCGTTTTGGTATTACGAGTCAGACCGTAATTTTTTGCGGACAAAAAAATTTTTTGCGGACAATCCGCAAATCTCAGAATACTCTCAAAAAATAAAAAAACCTGATTTGGTATATTTTGAATATTGTTACCACGTAAATTTAACACAATTGCACATTTTGCATATTCCAAATTGGAAGGGACATCCCTCAATAAATTATCACCAAAATCAATAATTGTCAAATCCTTCATTCGGAAAATATCTGTTGGAACACCCGACGTTTTTATTTGATTTTTGCGTACAACCACAGATCTCAAAAGAGGTAGATCAGACAATTCACCGTGGACATTCTGCAAAAAAATTTTTTTTTGTTAAAGTTAGGAAATATAACTGGTCTTAAAACCCTAGGTCGGCTTAAAAAAAAGTCCGCAAATTGTGTCCGCAAATTTTTTTTGCGGATAAAAAGGAATTTAGTAAAACTTATATGTTAAGGGATTTGGAATTTGCTTTCGAGTTCACCGAAAGAGACTATCCATAGTAGGTTCCTGCTCAGGGCTGCACGCAATTGCGGATTGCGTAAATTTAGGGGGGTTTGAAGTAAAAATCCTTAAAAATCCGTAAGTTAGTTATGTCAGCAAGTCTGTTGCAGACTCTATGTATATTCCAGTAAACCGCAAAACTGCAAACAAAAGCTAGCAAAAATCTGTTAACGATTTAAAATCCGCACGTTTAAAATCCGCAAGTTGGGCCATCCATTAATCTGCGGACAAAAAAATGCGGATTTCTCGTCTAATAAAAATTAGTCTATCAAGCCCCTAAAATTCCAACCCAAAACCCAAAAAATTTAAAAAAAACCTGTAATTTATTATTAATCATTTGAAGGTGCTCCAAATTTTTTAAATTAGACAGCACATCAGGCACCCTTTCCAATTGTGTTTTATTCAATTTTAGCCAAGTTGCTTGTGTCATTGCAACAACTTCATTTGGGAAACGATCACCAGAAAAATCATTTGAAGACAAATCTATGCCCTTAACAAAAGATAGCACTCCTGTTGACATTTTTTGAGAATTCTTTTTGCGATTTTGAAGAGATCTCTAGTTTTTGCTTTTTTTAATAAATAAAATTTTAAAATTAAAAAAAAAATTTTTTAAAGATATTAATGCAGAAGATGCATTTATGTGTAAAATAAAACAAAAAAAATGGCATGCCATGTCACCTTTTTAGATTCAAATCTAAACTGAAAATGAGTAAGAATGGCTCAAGTGTCTAAGAAAAAAAATTCTACGACGAAAAATGGACCAATAAAAGTAATTTTAATTTTGTCCGCAAAAAGATTAAAAAATCCGCAAATATTGACCGCAAATTTTCTGCGGTCAAACACAGAAATTTTACATCTTCTTAGTTCGTTTGAAAAGATCTTACTTATAATTAGTTTGCGGACAAATTAAAAAATAATCTGACCGTAAAAATGAGTCGTCCGCAAAAAATATAATTTGTCCGCAATTTTATTTGCGAACAATTTTAAAAAATTTTATTAAAAAATGATCAAGACATGGAAAAAAAATTTTCTAGCAAATTTCGAAAGGTTTGAATTTTATTTTGATTTTTGCGGACATTTTTTTGCGGACAAAGTCCAAATACTCACTTAATCAGACAGTAGTTACCCCACCCGGACCGTATCAAAGGGAAATGCCGCCAATCTATAGGAGGGGTGTCGGGGGAGGGGTCTGGGGGAGGGGTCCGACAAAAAACCAAAGGGTATGAGGGGGTTTTGTCGGCTTTTTCTTTTGATCTTTTTGATGATCCTCTTTGATCTTACCGCCAGGGTAATAAATTATTAATCGGGGGAGGGGTCCGAACCAATTTGTACCTCATAAATAATTTCAAGGGGAGGGGTCAACCCCTATTAATGCGAACCTATTGACGGATTTGGCGCGCGATGGGGGAGGGGGTCAGGGGAATTAATTAGTACTAATTGGTTTGGGGGTTGGGTGTAAGGTAAAACCAATTTGTTTTACAAATGGTTTTGGGGGTTGGGTGTAAGAGGAAATCAATTAGTTGATTGATTGATTAATTGGTCTGGGGGAGGGGCAATGAAAATTTTATTACCAAGAGGTGTTAATTGATTGACTAATTGGTTTAGGGGTTGGGTGTAAGAGGAAATCAATTAGTTGATTGATTGATTGGTTGGTTGGTTGGTCTGGGGGAGGGTGCAATGAAAATTTTATTACCAAGAGGTGCTAATTGCTTGACAAATTGGTCGGGGAGGTGGCAAGGGGGAAACCAATTTGTTTTACTAATTGGTGTGGGGAGGGGGCGGGAAGGGTCCACCGTATCAAAGAAAGCCGCCACTCCTTTGATTGATGATTAGGGACAGCCAAAACATGCAAATGCATGTTTTGTATGCTGATATGCCTTAACGTGGGAAGCCCAAAAATGGTGTTTTTACATTGGTACGAGCACTTTAGGACCCGGTTCTTAATGCATATATTTGCATATTTCGGCCCTCCCGTGCATATTTGCATATTTGTGCATATTTTGGCAACTTTTGCATATTTTGGTCCATATTTCGGCATTTTTTGGTAAATTTTAGTAAAAATCGGCGAAAATTTTCAATTTTTCGGAATTTTTTTGGTCAAAAAATTTATTATAAAAATTTTATAAAAAAATTTTTTCGAAAAATTTTTCGGAAAAATTTTCTTTTGTTAAATTTCTATGCAATAATCTAATTCCATAAAATCTTTTAAGAATTTTCTTAAATTGCGGGTTTGAAGGCTAATTTCGAGTTTTTGGCTTAAAATATTGATCTTTAAAGCATATTTTAACTAGTTTTTGGTGCATATTTCAGTGCATATTTTGGCAAATTTTGCATATTTTGGTGCATATTTTGAACTTTTTCGCTGCATATATATGCGCATATTTGGCGATTTTCCGTGCATATTTTGGCTGTCCCTATTGATGATCAAAGAGAAATGCCGCCGAGTCTGACGAGAAGGGGCGAGGGGAACTAATTGACTAATTGGTCTGGGGGAGGGGTAAGTAGAAAATTTTATTTCGGAGTTACGTAATTGGTTGGGTGTTCTCAGGGGTGTTGATATTTTGGGGTTAACTTCCTTTGCATAACTTTTTTTTTCATAGGAAAAATTGAGATTTTTGGAAAAATAAGGTACTTTTGTAAAACGTCATAAAAATTTTTCTAGGGCTTAATCTAAAAAATTGACCGGTCATTTTCTAGAGAATTCTTTACTCTATCAGATGCAAAAAACCGGATTTGTTTATCTTTTTTGGTTCCCATGTTATTAACCAAAATACCCCAAAACCATGAATGAATTCTCAAGGTCATTCGAATTGTTTACAGAATAATAATATTCAAAAATTAAACATCTGTCGTTCAAAATTAAAATAAAATTTTATGAAATGAAGAATTCTCAAGGTCATTCGAATTGTTTACAGAATAATAATATTCAAAAATTAAACATCTGTCGTTCAAAATTAAAATAAAATTTTATGAAATGAAGAATTCTCAAGGTCATTCGAATTGTTTAAGTCTTAATTTTTAAACATCTGTCATTTAAAATATTTTGTATAATCGAGGGACCGTATAATTTTTAATTAATATTTTTAAATATTAAGAATTAGTAAAAATTTGGGCGAGTATAAAAGCCAAAAAATTTTTTTAAAAAATTTTCATTCATTAATTTCTTAACTCCAAAATGCGTCATTTAATCGATGAGTGTGCTGAAATACTAAATTGCCACCCAAAGTCTCTTCGAGACCATTTAAATCATCCGGCAAAACGTGCCCTTCTACATTCAAAGCTCAAAGGAAGGGCTGTCCGAACCCTCTATTCGGACCGTAACGACTTTCGCAAAACTTTCACGTTTCACGGTTTTACTCATAAAGGTTCCTAATTATTTTCCACGTACATTAAAATTACATTAAGGAGCACATACTCTAATGGCTTATGGGGCACTCTCTCGTCCATATAACGTCTCCGTCACGGCTCACTACTATTCACGACACAGGATTCGTTTACGTTATCCGTATCTTCAATGCGTGGTTGAGAAGTTTCCACGGCGTTGTGAGGACCGTTACTACCCGATTGAATTACTTGAATTAGTTGATGATAAAGAAGAGGATTATATTAGCTTCCCAGTCCTGGAAAATGATAAACCATTGTATGTGGATGTTTCTGATAAACTCAGAATTGACAAGGCAAATTCTGATTCCGACAAAAATGATGAACCATTAGAATTTGATATGCTGGATGAGATGGAAGGTTGGTGAACATGTGCGTGCTGCATACATATTAGTTAATCTTTATGAAATTTTCCAAATTTCATCTTCATTTGCTTAATTCTGCATTTTTACCCCTAAAAATGACTACTTCTAATTGATAATTATGAATTTAGTTTGTGCACACGTGTGTGCACATGTGTAGTGTGCACACGTGTATATGCAGACCACACGTGCGCACATAAACTTAATTGTAATTTTTATGAAATTTTCAAATTTCGTCTTCGTCTTCTTAATTCTGCATTTTTACCCCTAAAAATGACTACTTCTAATTGATAATTATGAATTTAGTTTGTGCACACGTGTGTGCACATGTGTAAGTATGCACACGTGTATATGCAGACCACACGTGCGCACATAAACTTCATTGTTAATTTTATAAAATTTCTAATTTTCATATTCATTTGCTTAATTCTGCATTTTTACCCCTAAAAATGACTACTTCTAATTGTTAATTACGAATATAGTTTGTGCACACGTGTGTGCACATGTGTAGTGCGTGCACACGTGAATATATAGACCACACGTGCGCACATAAACTTCATTGTTAATTTTATAAAATTTCTAATTTTCATCTTCATTTGCTTAATTCTGCATTTTTACCCCTAAAAATGACTACTTCTAACTGTTAATTATGTAATGAGATTTTTTAAATTTTAAAATGTTATCTTCGTCTTCTTAATTCTGCATTTTTACCCCTAAAAATGACTATTCTAATTGTTAATTTTGCACTTATTTTTTTTTGTAATTTTAAAATGTTATCTTCTTTCTCTTAATTCCGCATTTTTACCCCTAAAATTAATTACTTCTTCACACTAATTTTGCATAATAAATTTTATTGAAATAAATAAATATTAACTATATGAAATTAAAAAGTTACAAAATAAAAGAGAAAAATAGATACAATAATTAATTAGAATTGAAACCATAATCGAGTACAGAAAAGTCGCTCGGGCGTAAAACACCCTTGCCGACAAAAGGAGCATAATTTTTTTCATAGGTTGAGTCAGTACAGAACCTCGTTTAACAGTCGGCCTAAGAAAATTTGGGTACAAGATATTTATGGGGGAACATTCCTCAGTAGCAAAATTTAAAACTTTTTCTTTAAAATTTTCATACTGCATTCCTTGATTTGTAACAACGTCCCAGTTAAGAGTGATTCCACGGATCTTGAGAACATATTCCGGTGCTGCATCCATCTGGTCCTTACGTTGTAATTTAAGCCCATATTGCTTGGCCCCACCTGAGCAATACTCAATAATGCGATGTCTTGGGTACTCATCGGTGAACTGACCCAGATGTGGCCCTAGTTGAAGTGGGCAGGATTCTTTTGGGTGAGCGAAAATCAAAGAATCCGTGTCTAAAATTTAATTTATTTACAATTTTGAAAAATTTCTATTTACCGGTGTAGAGAAGAGTACACCCGGGAGTCCGAACCACCTTTTGCATTGCTTTCAGCAAATGGAGACGTGCACAGGACGTCGTCCACAAGGAGATTACTAAAAAAAATTTTATTCAAAAATTAGAATTAAAATTTGGAACTTACCAACGTTGGAGCAGTCATGCTCCTCAATCCAATCCTTCTTTGTTAGATGACTGATAAGTACAACATCCTGAGTTAGTTCATCCAATCCAGTCACTTCTTTGCTTACGTCATCCATCAAATTCCTAACCTTGGCTGGATCATCGGTCACAGTGCACTGTGAAAGTCCAAAATTTCTCAGGGAAAATCTGCCCCCTAAAATAAATAGATAATATTTTAAACTTATTTAATAACTTACAAAGGTTATTGAGACATAATTTTGCCTGCGTCCTTTTCCCTTTATTCGGGATCTAAATATTTCAAATTAAAAATTTTTTATAGAAATATATTTTACCATTTTTTCTCGCTCGATATTAATATTGAACATTTCAGCACATT